ATATACAATAATCATAATTTCCCGCTTAAAGCTGAAGCTCGATCTTAAATCTAAATTCACAAATGTATCTCTAAAAGCTAGCTTAAAATAATATCTAAACTTGCACCATCACTGGCCAGACTGGAGATGAGGATTGGGCTGGAGATGCGGAGATGCCACCGGCAAAAAAGCAGCGACAATGAATGCAGGAAGCAACAACTGTCGTCGTCGTCGCTGTAGTTGTCGCTGGCGACTTCCTACCCATCATCCGCCGCCTCCAAGCTCCCATCTCCCATCCTCCGAGCCGGGGATGCGCCTGTGGTGCTCCCATAACTTCGCCCATTGCGTGAGCTCTGGAAATATTGCTGGCATCTTGGCAACTTTTTCCTGTCACTCCACTGGCTTGGAATCGAAATGCAAATGTCTTCCCCCGCTGGTGCCACCCACAAAGGCGCCTAAAGTTCAAGTCATTGAAATCGCAGCATAAAGTAAACAAATTTCTGTAGCTAGCAAATTTCGTTTGCATAGCGACTGTAAACGAGGTTCAAATACTCAAAGCACAGCATTTAATTTTTGTAATCATGCTTGCTAAAAAAAATACATCTATTTTATGCCTCTTTTATGGTATTATCACTGTGTAATAATGCTTTTAAGGCTTTCAATTAGTAAACTCGTTTTCTAAATGTGTGCGGAGAGCTTTAAATTTTAACTGTTAAGCACTTAACGCTATTAATTACTGAACTTGCTTGATAAGGGTTCAGGTGGAGGTTAAATATTTTTATATATTATATTATTATATTATTATTAGAAAAGTCTTTATAGTTTATTAAATTTAAGTTGGGGATCAGGTTGTTAATATTTAAATTTAAATACGTTTGCCAAAGTATAAAAATTGGTATTAAACCTTATAAAAGTATCTGAATTCTTGTATTTAATTTTTTTAAATTTATTTTATTTATTTTAAGTTTTTTTAATAGGCAAAAAAGTCCGATAAATTGAAGGTCCTTTATGTATTAAACTAAGTAGATTAACATACTTATTTACTTATCTTTACTGATTTTTAAAGCATTTTAAACTGCCCTAAGCTCTCCTAAAATCTCTACCGTTTTTATTTTAAATTTCACCCAGTTGATTTTTCTTACATTTCAATGCTTTTTATCGCCTCCCGGGCCTTGTGTTCCCCATTGGTTTTATTTTTTGGCTGCCTTTGTAGACCAACACTGCTTATTTTTAGCCACATTGTTGAGCGTGAGATTTATCGCCAGCTGCGGTTTCTTTTTTGGCGATCGGCGCGCTTTTGGCGATTTTTTCCCAGCGGCATTCGGAAGTTGAATGAAAAGCGTTTAGGTAGAGGAAAGAAAAGTGGGCTTGAATGGTTGAATCTGTATTTAAATACTCTTTTTCTTAGTTATAAAGATTAAATTGAGAGACTTGAATCGTTGTACTGTATCTTTAAGTTTAAATCAAAAGTATAAATATTTATGATGTTATGACAGATAACTAGGTAAGCCCTTAATTGATTTGTTTTATAATTTTAAATAATTTAATAGTTTTATTATCTTCAAAGAAAAACTCCAGCAACCTTTAAAACAAAATTGATCTATAATATTCATACCCCTCGTAATAATCATAGCATTCCGTTTGGCAGGGTATAAAAAGTGAATAAAATTAGGCTCCTAGCCTTGACTCGGCGCACTTCAAGGCGACTGACTGCCGGCATTTTTTTTTTCTGGGACTCGACGGATGTGAACTCGAACTTGGATTCCAGCTCCGATTTGCATTCCCATCCATCTACTCCACATCGGTTACCCTGATTGCGCCTAGCTCCTTGGGCAGCTCTTGTCGAGCTCTTGGTTTATTTTCGGTTTATTTTGACTTTTGGATTCGATTTTCGATTTCCCACAACCGCAAATGCAACTGCAACTGCACTCCGGAGCAATTTATTGCAACTGCAAGTTTGTCAATATATACACGAAAAATCGCTCGACGCTCGTTAGCCAAAAATAGTGTTTGCATATGGCTCTTTGCTCTTAGCCTGGCCCGAAGCGAGCCACAGGTTGCGCAACTCCCGCCGCGGAGCAAGGCGATTCAAGGTGAAATCGCTAGAGGGGGGTGACAGGAAGTACTCACTGACAGCCCGACTGCAGTTGCATTTTAATTTTTATTATTATTATTCCTAAGAGCGCGACCATCAACTTGTTTGAGCCCGGCATCTCCACATGCCCCATCTGCTGACGGAGATTTGTTTTTCCCCAACTCTCTCGGCCACTATCCGTCAAGTGTCGCTTATTAACTGCCGGCCGATGAATCATAGCACTCAGAGTTTAATTGGCAGGATGGGGGGGAAGGAGAAATTCCCGGTCCATTAACTGCTGAAATATGACTAATCGAGAGGCCTGAAAACGGTGTCAAACAGCGCTGTAAAGTGCCAGCCAGTGAGTTACGCCTATTGATCGCCGAGGTGAGAGCTATTAAGCGGTTAATGAGATGTTAAAGAGGCAGCTACTGTTTTTTTATTGTTTATTTATTAAAATATTGGTACAAAGCATTAATTATTGTTTATTTATTAAAATATTGGTACAAAGCATTAACATTTCTTTGGGGGAGTTAATAGATTCAAGAGGCAAGCGATTAGTACCATTATTCATAATTAAATATAAGGTTTTATACCAATAATCTTTCAAAATAAATTTTTAAAATTTACACAGCTTAGGATTTTTACTTAAATACTTCTATTTCTATTGTTTAATTTTATTTTTGTTGTACGTATTATTTTCTATAATATCTTTCTTTTATTATCTTTAATTTATTATTCCCTCTGTTATTAATTGATTTTATTTCCGTTAAATAACAACGTTTATCAACATTTAAAAAGACTTGGCATCAAATTGAATAAGTGAATGATTTTCTTTTACCGTCACCATTTTTCTGTTGATTTGTTTTCTGCTTTGTATTCGGTTCATTGAACGCGAAGTTGGTTCGATCTGCTGGACACTTCATTAAACCCAACACAATTAGCTGTCTGAATACGAACAAGCGGAGGTGGTAACATTACCAACAATAAAAGACTTGCAAAGATTTTAATTTTGTTTACGAGGTGACATCAAATCGAATTACGTAAGACAATAATAAAAGCCGAAAGATGATTAAATTTCCTGAAGATATAAAATTTCTATTTGTTTTAGCCATTATAACGATTGGGTAATGTTTATTTCGATTTATTTTGGTTATTTTTAAAGGTTTCCAAACTAATAAAAAAATATTGCAAAATATATTTATTACAACCATTTTTTAAGGCTCTAAAAATATATATAAGACTCCACACAAGATTTATCCCTTCCTCATAAAGGCAGGTACCAATTACCTATAAAAATGTGGTAATAGGGCATTTGTCCAAAATCTCTAAATCTCACTTTGAGTTCAAAGCAGAAAAAATGCCATAAAAACTCGAATTATTTTGGAGATTTATGTGGCGCGGCAAATACACCAAGGATAGGGGTTGTCTGGCGGTAAAAAACGATCCCGCCTTGCAATTATTTTCGCACACCAGACACGGCCAACCCAGTTTTATGAAATATCTTTACGGCAAATCTCTGCGGCGGATCGTAGGCCTTGCACAGTGGCACACTTACAGGCACAGTCACTAGAGTTATATATGTACATATGTATATATAGTGTATTGTATTCACATCTATCAAGGCACGTACTCGCATTTGTCATACAAAAAAGGGGACCGAGAAAAGTAAGAAATTCCCCCGCAGACAAAGAGACCTAAAATTATTCGAATTTGCCATTGTTTTCGGGAGTTTTCCTTTGATTTTCACTTTCATGGTGAGCGTGTGCAATAATTTGGCGGCTGGCCCCAAGGAAAGCCGCCTGCTCACCTGGCCAGCTGACGCTCGAGTGCGGGATCCGCTGAGGCCGAGGCTGGAGTCGACGCTGTGCCTCCGCCTACCCTCGCTGGCTTTGGCTTTGGTTTTGGCTTTAACCTAGCAGCAGCCGCAACAGAGACAGCCGACAGCCCAGCAGCGATGAGAGCGAAAGTGCACGACACTGGGTCTCGACTTGGCAGAGGCTTTGGGAGAGAGTACACTGGGAGAAATGTATTTACGGTATGCTGAGCTATATGCTACTTTAAGATTGAAGCTCGAAGGCTCGCTTTGGGGCACTAAAAATAAGTAGTTTAGTATTTTTATTTAAAAAAATTAATATATATATTTTTGTGCATATTTTTAAGAAACTTTAGAGGAAACGTGTAAAATTCCATCTAAATAGGGTTTTATGGAAATAGAGAAATATGAAATTATATAGACACAGGAAAATATCCATTGAGATAATTATATAAATTTAAAGTTTCAACTGAATGGTTTAAAAAAAAAAATAAAATAAAATAAAAGATAATAAAGCAAAACAATGCAAATTATCAAGATTTTTAAAATCCTTGTGTGTAAAATGATGCCCATTTTCCTTCGAGTGTAGCCAGAGATGGCTCTCCAGCTCCAGCACATCCGACAGCGGGAAATCGGCGGTGCTGTAATAAGTTGATTGTGCGGTAATTTCGGTTTCACTTGCCAACCTACACAGTCGCAGTTACAGAGATACAGGCCGAGACCCAGGCAGAGGCACAGGCAGAGACAGCGACAGAGGTTAACCCCGGAGATATGGCCAGGTACTGGAGTTGGAGAGGCACCGTCACCGACACCGACACAGATGGCCAAAACAGAGCCTCATTATTGGCCTGCTCGCCACGCATGCGCAGTGGTGGCCAGAAAGCAAAGACCAAAGTCGCATCATCATCATCATCATCATAGCCGAAACGAAACTCAGACACACACAATCGTACAGCTGGAAGACTGGAGACTGAAGACTGGAGACAGAAGACTGAAGACCGAAGCCCGAAAACTGAAATCCGAAAAAGCGAAAAACCCTCTCGCAGCTGAGCTGGTGGTGGTGGTGGCGTGCATCTCGGCTGGATTTCTGTATAAATTGCTGATGCGGCTGCAGTAGTTCGTCAGTGAAGCATTTGATTTGGTCTAATAAACACAGCAGCCGAGTGCCAGTCGAGGATATAGCAACGTGAGGCAGCTCGATCCAGTCCTGCAATACAATACCCCTTATTCCGTTCTGTTTCTGTTTTTCCCCCACGAAATCCACGAATCCACAGACCGAGGATTACTGTGAGATAGTGTGAGAGCCAGTGCTAAAGTGAGTGCGTTGTGAGAACCGTGAACCCAGCATCCGTGCAGCATCTACCCTAGTTACGTTGCCCATACGCACCGTTGACCCAGCCATGAAAGCCTTCATCCTGATGTCCTGCCTGGCGCTAGCCGCCGCCCGTCCCGAAGCGGGCTACAACTACAATCGTCCCGGAGGCGGCGGCGGCTCCGGAGGCGGCTCCCATGGAGGTGGCATCGGAGGCGGCTTCGGCGGCAGCTCCGGTGGCGGATTCGGTGGAAGTTTTGGTGGCAGCAGTGGAGGTGGCTTCAGTAGCGGAGGAGGCGGTGGCTTCGGAGGAGGCGGCGGCGGCGGTTTCGGAGGTGGATCCGGCGGTGGTTTCGGAGGCGGCTCCGGCGGTGGCTTTGGAGGCGGATCCGGCGGAGGCTTTGGAGGTGTGTAATTTCCAGGATGTAGGGTTCTTCAAGAAATTATTAAACAAAATATCTAATAACTCTTAGGTGGTAGCATTGGTGGCTTCGGAGGCGGCGGCGGTGGTGGCACCACTTTGGTGCAGAAGCACATCTACGTGCACGTCCCACCACCAGAGCAGGAGGAAGTGCGTCAGCGCCCTAATCTGCCTGTGGGTCAGGCCCAGAAGCACTACAAGATCATCTTCATCAAGGCCCCATCGCCACCCTCGTACCAGGCTCCGGTCATTCCCGTGCAGCCCCAGAACGAGGAGAAGACCCTGGTCTATGTGTTGGTGAAGAAGCCCGAGGACCAGCAGGATATCGTCATCCCCACGGCCGCGCCCACACAGCCCTCGAAGCCGGAGGTGTACTTCATCAAGTACAAGACCCAGAAGGAGTCGGGCGGCGGCATTTCGGGTGGCATCTCGGGCGGTCTCTCTGCCAGCAGCGGCGGATTCACCCAGACCAACACCGGCGGCGGCTACACATCGGGCGGCGACTCCGGCTTCACCGGCGGCGACAGCGGCTCCATCTCGGCCCCGTCCAGCAACTACGGCCCGCCCGGCAAGTCCGGACCGTACTAACTCGCCCACTCACCCCCTGCGAACTTCGAACTCGGCCCAAGCTGCTGACTAGTCCTGAAAGCTGACACGCCCCCAGTTTCCGCTCGGAAAGCACCATCATCCATGCATCCCATTAACCATCACTACGATCTTTAACCATTGTCCTGGGAACCCTCTCAGTCTCGAAGGGGGCGGCGCTTTCGCCCACCACTTTTGTACATAATACGTTTCCCCCCACGACTCACTCTCTGCTGCCCCCACTCATCTGTACATTTTCACCGATTTTCACTCCACATTGCCTACTTTCCTGCCCCGGAAGAAGACGAACTCTATTAGCGAATAGGCGACGGGCGGCGGGTTCCTCGGCTGGGAACTCCGCCCGGCGCCCGGAAGAGCGACGACGACGATGATATGTAGCAGATGATTTAGCGGGGCTTGACACAATGCTCCATACATATAAATATATATATTTTAATTATACTAGGAATAAGTACTTTATGCACAATAAAAAAAAACAACGGTGACAAAATTACGAAAAAAAAAACAAAGAGATCTTTTTACTTAAAGGAGAGAGAAAGGGTTTACCATTCGTCCTTCCTCTACATTTAGTTATCCCTTCATCTACAGTATCTAGTTATCCTTTCTTCCTGCATATTTAGTTATTCTTTTATGGCAGAAAAGGAAGTTTTCCTAATTGCCCCGTTTAAAGCTACCAAGGAGAGAGTCCTTGTTGGGGGACTTGGCAACTAATTAAAAGTAATTCCTTGCCATTATTCACATAGCTGCTGTGTTTCCTTTGTGGCTTACCCTCAGCTGACCAGTAGTTTAGGCTCCTGTAATTAATTTTAATCCTTTCAATGCCAAGAGTATTCTTCCTGTCCTTAAAGTCGGTGCTTTTTTTTAAGTTAAGAGTTTGGTTTCCACTTCCGAGGGGCGCTTCTTTATACGCTTGACTTTGCTAATGACAAACTGCTGCTTTGGTTTTTCGCTGTCATTACCAATTGCCTTTGAAAAACTACCATCTGCCTGTGCTAAAGTACATTTTCCTCTCTTTTTTCTCGTATTTATTTTTTATTTAGTTTTTTTTCTGTTGGCAAGTTTAATGCCTTAAGTATACAGACAGCATCGGCATTGTCATTGCCGCCGCTTCTTCCTCTTGGCTGTGCTCTGCTTTGGCACTTTCACTTTGCTGGAGTTGCTTTTGTTAACCCATTTTGGCCCAAAGCATTGCCAAAATAATACTTGAAAATATAAAACGAATTTTTGGTAGATTATTTACTAATTTGTTCTTAAATTTATTTAAGATTTTAAATTTATTTTTTACATAATACAACTTGTTGAAATTTAATCCCTTAATTCATTGAATTTCTACTTTAAAATAATAAATAAAATGTGTTAGCCGTGGCCTATCTTTTACCTGCTAGCTACAATTCATTTCGATTCAATTCGGTCTGTGCCGTTGCCTTTGTTTTCAGCTTTATATTTTATGAGAATATCCCCCCTTTTCCGCCAGTCTGGGCCAACTCTGTATCCAAACAGATGGTTGTTTTGGCCTTGGCTATAGCCTTTTCTGTTGCTGTTCGCCATCAATGGCAATCCTTCATGGAAAGCCTTGCCGTAAAGAACGATTTAGTTTATCGAGTTCACAATAAATCTTTTTGACTACATTTTCTGGAAATAAACCAACTGAAAAGACCTTTGGGAGCAACATTTATCTGAAAAATGTAGAATATCTAAGTTCTATGAAAGATTAATTGAAAAACAAGAAAGAAAGCTAACTTTGGCCAGCCAAAGTTTGTATACCCTTGCAGGTAACAATTAAAATATATCATAACTAAGCCAAAAATGCATTAATTTCGATTCGGAAAGCAGTTTTGTGTTAGTATTTATTAATTTAAGAAAACTGCATACCAAATTTAAAATTTTAAGAAATCAAAACTGTTGGCCATTTTTGCAAATTTTAATGATGTAACCCCTTATAAAATTTTGCAAAAATGGCCAAAAAATCGATTTCTTCCTGACATATCTAGAAAGATTCCCCTGTTGATGCTGATCAAGAATATATATACTTTATAGGGTCGGAAAGGTCTCCTTCACTGCGTTGCAAACTTCTGACTGAAATTATAATACCCTGCAAGGGTAAATTAACTAGGAAACATTATTAAATATTTCTTTAATTCACAAGAATTTTATCAATGCCGAATCTTCAGGTAAATTTTTCCCATTAATAATTGACAATTTTAATATTTAAGCCCATTGCCATAGGCCAATTCAATTTATTTATTTGATTAGAATACGTTATTAGATACTCAATCATTTTGACATGTTCAGTTATGCAAATGTTATTATTCATTTGCTTATTTGCATAACGTAGTAAAAGAAATTATTGTGACACTGAATTTTTGCATTTGTTTTCTATTAAAATCAAAGAGATTTTCGATGACAGTCACGAAATAAAATATTTGATTTAATAATACATTTAACAAGAATTTTCGATTATAGTTCTACTTTAAATTTAAATTAAATGTATATATTATAAAATAAGAAGTAAGCACCATTTATTTGTGGTCCTAATACAAGTCAGATCGTATTTCTATATGTCTAATTACTTCAGTTCGACCTTTTCCTGTTTGGCTGGGTCGTAAATGGCAGAAAGACAATATAATTCCGGGGCTGGTCTGCCAGTACGCGTGGCCTGGCTATTCCTGGCTGGCTCGTAAACCGGCGAACGTGTTTTCCTGCTGCCTTCAATTGGCCAAAAACAGGAGAAAACTCGGCCTTAAACAGCGCTTTGCATGTGGCAAACACAGACTGTGGGTGGTGCCGTGTGTATTCCCAATAATTCAAACATTGCCAGATCCTGTCCTGCCTGCAGTTTGGCAATTTGAAAAGTTCCTGGACCCGCAACATTGTCGCAAATTGGTGCACATCCTGTTTGGAGAATGTCCTTCAATTCTCCTATTGTGCACTTTGAAACTTCTGCTGTTGGATTTCCATGACAGTACGTATTCGACGCGTTGCCCAGGATGCAGGATGACAATCCATAGGGGCTGTTTGGAGGCAGAGGAAAGAAATTCGTGTGCATATATTTACTAAAGTGCAGTTTTCGTGTCACCTTTGTTAGATAGGATGTCTAACAAGTCATGTTATTAGCTTTAAAACTTGAACTTTCCCAGGGAATATATTGCATAAATAAAGTGTCATATTAAAGAGCAACAACAAATGCGACAACCGCCACCATAAATATTTAAATCGCAGTTGAAGAATAAATAAAATAATTTTAATATAAACGAATGTTGGCAGAAATACCCATTAAAACGATGTGGGAGCTAAAGGAAAAACAATTTATGGGCAGCTGAAAAATGCTTAAAATTCAATTTGGTGTGGAGGACGCACAGGACAAACACGAGGGGCCCGGGATCCATGTCGCAGACAGCGAAGAGTAAACACTTCCGCTCCCTTCTTATCCAAATATATACACTTAATATATATGCTGTGGCATAAGCGGACAACTTTTATGACCTTTACTTTTCACTCCGAGGGAGACGACGTTTTTTGGGTGTTTTTTCAATTTTTTCTGCCTGGGAGTGACACGCCCACAATAAATCGCAGCCGCAACACTTCCGCGAGGTCAGCCACTGGGTGGTGACGGAGAGGGGAGGACGTACATAGGAAAGAGCACGGAGCACGGGGCGGATACGCAACCTTTCCGCATTTAATTGACAGCTCTTTCGGACGGTTTATGACACTTTGGGCGCTTTAATTAATTGCTCTTACTCCCTAGTCGTCACTTTGGCGAAGGCCTCGGGTTAATTATAATGTATGTCGGTCGTAAAAGTAAAAGTCGGCTCACGTACTGAGAAAAAATATATACATATATGTATATGTGCAGCACAACTCCAAAAACTCCGCGAAAAACACTTCTGGGCTTTCATTTTATGCCGTTTTATTGTCCAATATGGCTTACCACAAGGAGCCCAGGACCTGGGTCCTATTCTTGATGCTTTGTTATCCTGGCATATAAATACTACATATATATATAATTGCAGGTCCATTTACAATCCGCCCTTTGCCATTTCCACTCCCATTTTGCATTTCCCGCTTTTATTTGATTATTTTTTATGACTTTTGGATTTTTACGATACTTTGTGGTAGTCACTTTGTTATTTCGTTCACTTCATTTCTATTTACCGGTCAAGGAAAGTGCAACAAATTGGCTTTAAGTTTTGGTTACCATGAATTATTATAAAAAAAAAATATGTAGGTCGAATTTTAAATATTCTACTAAAAATTAATTATAAATGCAGACAAAGCAAAAAAATGTTTTTTCAAGTAGGAACTTTAAGCAACATTTTAGGGCTGGCAACATTTTAAGGTTAGCAACATTGCATGACTGCAGCATGTTTTTAAACATTCCAAGGTAACATATTACAGCCAATATTTCAAGCCGCATTAAACAGTTAAATAAACATGAAATTACTAGAAGAAACTTTGCAGAGTTTGGCCGAAAAACAAGAAAATTCAATTAAAAAGGGCATCAAAACTTTGCAAAGTAAAGTGTACATTATTTTTGACGCTAACTTGGCTTGTAAATTGTTCCGCAAATTAGTTGCTGATTAGTTTGGCTGCCCGCCGCGGAGGGAATTGTTTAATGGCCGTTTGATTTTTGGCCATTTCATGGATAAAATGATTTAAGACCGGGTTGCTGGTTGTTTATTATACCCTAGCAGGGTTATTTTGATTTTAGTCAGAAGCTTGCAACACAGTGATATATTTTAGATTCTCTTGAGACCTGTGATGGCCATTAAACGAAAGGTTGCCGAAAGGTATATATATTTCAAATCGTATTTAAAATCATTTTAATTTTTTTTTATTTTGCATTTTTTAAACAATTTATGCAGGATGCCTAATAGATTCAAAATAAATAATAGCACAACTTTTAAAATCAAAATTAATCGATTTCCAAGTCACATTACCAGCTGCAAGTGTAAACAAATGTCAGCTTACCGAAGCTAGTATCCTTTCTTTTTATTTTTAAGTTACCAACAAATTTTACAAAGTTTTCTTTTCCCTCTCTCCCTTTCTCAAGCTCTCTCTCTCTCCGATACTTTCGCAATTGTTTGGCAATTAAAAGTGGGCTTCAATTACCGCTGGCCGAGAGGTATGCGGGTCAGTACCTTTCGGGGAACTGGCCAGGCCAAAGATCACCTCAGGCACGAGGTAATCGATAAGTGAAATGGAGTGATTAATGGCTGTAACCGCTGATTGAACTAGTTCCCACTGGGGGATATAGATTTTTTGTATTCCTCAGTAAATCCCACGCAAAATGCGGCGACGCCTTGTGAATGAAATTTGGCTTTCAATTTATGGCCAACTCTTTTTTGTTTACTCACCAATTCCGTCGCTTTCAATGGCTTAAAGCTAAGCAGATAAAAAAAAACCTAGGAGAGCAATCAAAGTTACGTGGCACGGCCGAAAGAAATTGCAATCAAACCTGTTAATGCGCCTAACGCCCCTGTTTTTTTCTGTGTGTAACTGATTGGACAGTTGTTTGTGAGAAAGCCTTAACAAACAAGAAAGAAAGCTAACTTTGGCCAGCCAAAGTTTGTATACCCTTGCAGGTAACAATTAAAATATATCAAAATATATATATATATAGCCAAAAATGCATTAATTTCGATTCGGAAAGCAGTTTTGTGTTAGTTTTTATTAATTTAAAAAAACTGCATACCAAATTTAAAATTTTTAGAAATCAAAATTTTTGTCCATTTTTGCAAATTTTAATGATTTAACCCCTTATCAAATTTCGCAAAAATGGTCAAAAAATTGATTTCTTCCGGACATGTCTAGAAAGATTCCCCTGTTGATGCTGATCAAGAATATATATGGTTTATGGGGTCGGAAATGATTCCTTGACTTAGAAAAATATTATTTTGTATTATAAAATCGGATTTTTTATATTAAAAAAGTCTTGATTTTTTAAAATTAAAAATATCATAACTCGGCCAAAAGAGCATTAATTTTAAATCGGAAAACTGTTCTGTGCAAGATTTTCTACAGTTAATAAATCTGCATACTTCATTTAAAAATTTTTAAAATTCAATTTTTTATCAAAATCAACAATTTTAATGATGTAACCCCTTATAAAATTTTGCAAAAATGGCCAAAAAATCGATTTCTTCCTGGCGTATCTAGAAAGATTCCCCTGTTGATGCTGATCAAGAATATATATACTTTATAGGGTCTCCTTCACTGCGTTGCAAGCATCTGACTGAAATTATAATACCCTGCAAGGGTATAATAACGGAACTAAATTAAATCTTGCAAAAAGGTAAATAAACACGGCAGTTAAAGGGTTTATTTAAGGTTCAAATATGATTGTAGAGGCTATTGATTAATTAAGGAGCTAGGAAAAAACATTAAAGATAGCTTTTGAGGGATTTTTAACAAACCACAACCTTTGGGTTTATTTAATACAATTTAAAAAAGGAATTAAGCGAGCTTAATTGGTACACATTCTTCGATAAGTTCGATTAATTCCTCGGAAATAAATCAAATTCCCAGCACTTAAAAAGCAATCAACCCTGATCCAGACATGCCTCCTGCATTAATTAAACAAACTAAAGGGAGAAACCCTTCCAGAGTTCTGAAAGGAGACCTTCCCTCCACTAGACGTGCTGGGAAATTTAATTAGTAGAAATTAGAATTAGCTAAAGGGAAAGAGCGGAAGGGAGAACGCTTTGCACCTCATTTGGGCCAGCCTTTCATTTTCCTTTCAATAGCAATCCGAGACGAAGCACACTCGGCCTCATTGAAGGCGACTCGGCGGATCCAAGCTCATTTGTCAGCTTAAGACTTTAATGGCCCAGTTCCTCCGACTCTACCGGTGGGTGTGGTGGGCATGAAATCATTTTGATTTTGATGAATTACAACACTTACAGTGCTGAGTCCGAGTTCGAGTCCCGGACATGAGCTCATTTCTTTATGTAAGCCCAGACGGGGCATTAAACCAGTTAAAAAAAAAACACCCCGAACAAGACACCGAAAATAGCCGAAAACGGTCTTGCGATGATTGCAGCTAATGCCGGCAGCAATTAAGCCGTGAGACTGTCTCACTGAGGTGGCCAAGACCAGCTACCAACGAAAATAAAGATGAAACTGCAGCCGCAGGCGCTGAAATTCCACTCGCGGCGAAGAGAGTCATATAGCACTCGAGCTGCCCCCGGGGGCCTAAAGACTCCTCCATCGCCAGGTGACGTTGCAGTTTACACCCACAATTTGCCAAGATCACTGAGAAAAATAAGAACTAATTTAAATTAAAGTAAAGCTCAGGCAGGAAAGTGAAAAAAAAATAGATATAGAAAAAAAAAAGTAAAATAGAAATAGTACAAAAATATTATTTTTATTTAATTTAAAATAATTAATAATATAATTATTTTATTCAAAAACATACCCATACGTTTTATTTAATATATTCCTTACCAAGTCTCTAAGATTTCCTCTCCCTGTAGGCAAAGGGAAAGCTCCTGTGGGACCCGGGTTCAACTGACACCGACCACATGCTCGGCGGAGGCCAAAGGTCACCGCTGCCGGAGACGCGTGTCCAGACGATGTCTGAGCACACACATATTTGTATAAACATTCATTACGAACCCTGAGCTTGCTTGGCTTCGCTCTCTGTTTGCATCCCGCGTTGTTTTGACGCCCGGCCAACGCGGCGTATACTTAATGTTGACATTGTTAACACTCCCTCGACTAACGAGGCATTAAAACGAATCAAATGGCCTCGTTGAGCACTCGTTAACCACGTTACCCCCAGCAACTAAGCAACTTGGCAACCCCAACGCGGAAAATTCTCCCTTTTTCCAGCCAATAAAAAAATAGAAGCCGGGTCGAGTTCATAAAAGCAAACTGCCAGAGAGCTTTGCTAAACGGAAAACTGTCGCCAGATGTGTGCTCGAATCAATTCATAATCCCCGCATATTGAGCAAGATTTTGCAGCTTCAGTTTGTGATTATGCCATAATATTTGCATGCAAATCGGATTCAATTTATCCGCTCGCCGGGATTCTATGCGAATTTGGCATATGATTCGTTTATTGTCATCTTATTGCCCTTTGCATCATCAGCAGCACAAGCATCAGAAGCAGCAGTGGTAATCGCAATCAAATGGCTTTTGTGCTAAAAGACTTTGACGTTGATCTCTTGTCTGTTGCACTGTAAACAAATATGAGTGTCATATGAAATTGTGAATATAAAAAACTATTTTTTTATAGCCTTACAGGGTATTTTAGTAGTCGGAATCAAGTAACTTAGGGAAAGAGTCATTTCTGACCCCATATATCATATATATTCTTGAACAGCATCAACAGGCGAGTATTTCTAGCCATTATGGAAAGGAACATTTTTTTTTTTAATTTTTTCAACATTTTATTAGGGGTTACATTGTTAAATTAAAAATAATATATATATATATCAGCATAACCAGCGTTAAATTTTTTCACAAATATTTTATTTATTTATAATTGTCAAGTGTAGAAACTCAACATCTTTACCGTGTCTGAGGCTCAGGGGCTATAAAGCTTTACGGAGTAGTTTATCAGGTGGTCACGTTGAAGAGACGTGGCCACTGGGCTCGTCGTTATAGTAAATGATGTCGTCATATTCGGCGAATTCAGTGTCGCAGGAAAAACAAACTGAATTGGGTAACTTTTTATGGCTGTGTGACTGACACAGTTTTTGTGTGAAAAACTCCAACAGGATATGGAGTTCTCGCGGGGCAACCTTCACCTGTCAAAAGCCAGCTGACAAACAAAATCATTTTCGGAAACGGCAATAACCGGAGTTTATGACCGACTTGCGTGTCAAGGAGGAGCGTCAGGATTTAAGGGAGTACTTCTCAGATATCTCACATTTCTTGCCTTAAAAACCCCGTTCATAATTAGACTTAAAGATGCCCCCGATAAAAATTAGTTTCAAGTGGCCATAAAAGCAAGTCATTGCCTCTTGCCCGATATATAAATAAACCCAAGCTCGTTGGCCAAGTTTTATGGTCAGAACTGCGCCCCCGTTTATAGATTTTACGGCTCTGCAGGCTGGGATCCGTAAAGATTTCGGCACATGCGAGGATGTGTCCCGGGTCGTGAAAGAGAAACAAAGGACGCAGGCCGAGGTGCACGACCGCAGAGTCCTATAAATAGAACCCGACTTTAGTGTCCTCCGACTTAATAAGGCTTCTTTCCGTTTCCTTTCCCTGCCTTTACAGATGGTTAAGATGATGCTGACGGTTGTGTTTGTATTCACCAGTTGCTGGCTGCCCTTCAACATCCTGCAGGTAAGTGGTGTCCTTTGGAAAAATAAGAATATATATGTCAGACTCTAGATTTTCACAGCTCCTGCTCAACGACGAGGAGTTCGCCAACTGGGCGCCGCTGCCGTACGTGTGGTTCGCCTTCCACTGGCTGGCCATGTCGCACAGCTGCTACAATCCGGTGATCTACTGCTACATGAACGCCCGCTTCCGGGGCGGCTTCCTGCAGATCATGCACCGGGTCCCCGGATTGCGGCGCTGCTGCTGCCTGCATCGCCTCCTGCGTGGCGGCGGGGGCGAGAGCAGCTCGGGAGCTACCGGTGAGATGGCCTTCAGGCACTATCACCATCGCCAAGTCGGCGATGGGCTGGGGCTTGGGCTGGTCAGGAAACCTAAGATCCGCATTAGGTGCTACCCTCCACTCTCTCTAGTATCCGTTTGCGTGCCGTTTCCATTTCCAATCTCTCAGTGTGTAGACCGTTTCGCTACCAACATTAATGCTGCTTTTCGAGATTTTTAGGTGTTTCGGCTTTTTGAGATAAATAATTACAGATGAATCATTTTGATATGCTATTTTTATGAGTTTATCGGAGTGTTATAAAATATTTAATTGATTTTTAATGGAATTAAATTATTTTCTGAAAATAGAATGTTGAAACCTTTTTTATATTGATTTATAATTTATAGATATTTCTGTGACATTGCTGTGATTGACTTTTAAATTATTAATTTGACTTTTTTCATTTATTAATTATTAATATAATTGTTGAATAATATTAATAAAGATAAATCGATGCATTATATGGCTAACATTTGGCAGATTAATCCCACTATTTATTAAAAGTGTCAACTGTGTGTTACTGAAGTGTCTGCAATCCGGAGAAGACTTAGTTTCGCATTTCGTAATTATTTCCATTGCATGGCACCCACTTGCTGCATGCCCCGAGCACCACCCACCCACAGTTTCCTGTTAAAATTACACAAAAATTGCTAACCAAATTTGCTAACAATGTTTTTTTATATTTACCGCTTCATGTCACATGTCAAAAATTCAAAGGAACCAACGGGGAACTGCGTCTGAATCGTGTGGACACCTGCACCACCTACATCAGCACAAGGCGAAAGCTACGAGTGAATTCTATGCAAGTGGTGAGTCTCATATATCCTTAAAGAGGTTATTGTTCTAAGCTTGTATGCCTTGTATACTCAAACATTTTTTAAACGAGTTTTATGATTAATTAAATTCTCATTTTATTTATGGAGAATATAAAATATTTAAGACTCTCTCTAATTAAGTAAATAAAAGAGACTATAAATTACATTTTCAAGCTCAAAATAGTTGTAAATTACAATAAGAAAACCGAAACCTTCACTATTAATCCTCCTACACAATCTCTCTCTTTCCAAATTAGAGTCAATTTTCACATGCCGAGACGTCAGTTTTGCGGTAGCTTCTCCCCCGGAGGACTCACCTGTTCACCGAGCAGCCACTGTAGGTGTTCAGCCCCACCTAAACGGCAGCTGTACGGAATTGTGAAGAGCAGGATATTAAGGACAACCAAAGAATCTCCCACGAAACTCGTGTGCGTGCTGTGCGTGTGTGCTGTGTGTGTACGAGTGTCTGTCTGTCTTGTAAGTGTAAGTGTAAATGTCAACTCAATGTAATTTTACCAAGATTGTAATGTATATTGAAATGTAATATCAATTAAAGGTTTATATACGAAATATTTGGATTTGTAATGAAGTTCGGTACTAGAGAAATAAGGCCCCAAAGCATGCAGCATCTCTTTGTTACCTAGACAAAATATAGCCTACACTTGGGCGGCCGCACAGAGGTTCCATCTAAAAGCTTTTACCATTTATTTGCACCTCAAGAGCCGTGCAAAAGGCACACCTGTATAATCGATTTAAACCTAAGACTAAAGTACGAATATGTAGAAAAATCACTTGACTGTTCCTGTTTTCCCTCTTGGACCTGGTTTCCCTACCAAATCCTGCACTTGGGCTGGCTGGGATTCATGGGCGTGCCGCGGGCACACTTGAAGGTCCTGGCGAACTCCTCCGAGTTGGACAGCACGCCTCTCAGACGCATCTGTCCGGGGCAGTGGGAGTCGCTGAGGGCATACCGTGAGGCCGCCGGTGTATAGGTCTCGCACCACAGATTCCCGAAGGAGATAAAGAATAGCTGCTCGTGGGTATAGTGCTCCAGACCGGGCAACTTGGCCCGCTCCCGGCCCACCTCCTTAACGTAGAGCCGGTAGGCATAGAAGGCCTCCCGCATGCCGCCATTGTCGGCGATATTCTCGCCCAAAGTCAGTTCGCCATCGATCTGAGAGGAGAGGAGGGAACAAAGGTAAGTAGCTCCACAAAATCATATTAACCCCAGAATCCTTCTATACTAACATATTCATCGATATCCTCCAGGTGGTACCGGCTGTACTGTTCCACAAAGCACTCAGTGCGGTTAATGTACTCGTCGATGGTGCGGTTGGACCACCACTCGACCATGTTCCCAGCCCGGTCGAACCGCCGGCCGCTGTCATCAAAGCCGTGCGTCAGTTCGTGGCCCAGAATGGTGCCAATTGAGCCATAGTTCAGAGCCCTGCCAAGCACAAGGCACACAGTAAATGTGGTTAGAGTCTATTTCTGGAAGGGATTAGTGCAAGGTGCGGTGCAAAAACGTGCCTGCAGCTCGGTTGTCTGTTTGCTCTGTGATATGTGCTGAAGTGCTCTGCCAGGCGGACTTACTCGAGACCCAGGTCGTAAAAGGGATACTGCAAAATGGCAATGGGTACAGCTGGAAGGGAGATATATGGCTTAGGGATTAAAAGGACATATTTTCCTGCTGGTCACTCACTGATTGCATTCGATTGGAACGTGTGAAAGGCATTCACATTCGAGGGTGACGTCGCCCAGCCAATGGGCTCCGGCTTGTCCATCTCGTTGAGCTTCTCCATCATCTGCCAGTGGACAAAGTCCATGAGGTTCTCCAGGTGCGTGCTGGCGTTCACCTCGGCGCCCTCGTAGTAGTCATTCAAGGCGCTGGCATTGCGCAGCCACGAGGGGAAGCCAATGAAGCTCTTCATCTCGGCCGACTTCTGGATAGTCTTCCGCTTCGTGGCCTCGTCCATCCAGGAGGTGGCCTTGACCAGGCGATCGAAGGAGCGCCGTATGTCGCTCAGCATACGCTGCACACGAGGCAGTTTCTCCCGGGTGAACTCTTCGTCCGCCAGGACATAGCTCACCGCCATCCCGAACAAGCTATTCACCCCATTAGCGCAGTACAGGGAGCGGGGAGTGCTGCCCTCCGTGCCGATGGCCACGCGCATGTACTCCGAATGGAGCAGCCGCATGGCACTGGTCGTGTGCAGCACCAGCTCCTCGATAGTGCTCAGCCAGAGGTAGGACTCGATGTGGGAGGCCGGCGTCTCCTCCAGATACTCCACCACGTGCTGCAAGTACAGGATGTCCGCCTGGCTAGTGATGATGGTCAGATTGCTGGTCATCTGGGGATTGCCCGCGTGCTTGGTGCCCTTTAGAATTAGCTCCATGTAGCGCAACCAGATGGGCAGCGTCTTGGGGGCTATGTTCTTGTCCGTCTGATTCTGCAGGTCAAGCAGGGAGATGTAGATGATGTCGTCGGCCGGGTTCTTCGAGGGCTTGGTCATGTTCTCAGCGTCTTCTTTTAACTGTAAATAATTATAATCAATATTAATAATTTAGGGCTATAGTAGCACCTGCCTCATGGACCTTCTTGGCCACCTTGACACCCTGCTTGACCAGCTCCGTGATGCCCTGGGTGGCCTCCTCCTGGTTGACCCCTGGATCCACGTACAGCAAGTACTTTTCGATGACCTTGCGCACGTAGTGCAGGTAGGCCGCCATTCCGGCGCTGGTCTGGCGAGCTGCCTCCTCCTCCTCGCTCTCGCGATCCTCCTCATTGTCATCCTCATCGTCGTCGCTGTTCGTCATGAAGATGGTCTTCCGGTGGATCTTTCTCAATAGCTTGTGGGAGTCATCGTTGTTGCTGTGGGGGAGAAGGGAAGGTTTTCTATCCTGAGTTTGTTCCGTCTAAGAAATTCGCCTTTTTTACTCACAAAGGAAACGCCGAGTCCGTCTCCGGCGTTCCCAGGGCAATCCTGTTGATGGTCCTGTTGAAGGGATCCGGAAAGACATCGAAGCCAAAGATGAGATCCATGCTGAGGTGCTGCTTGATGGCCACTATGGACTCAAGCCAGTTGTAGCTGCGGTTGGCACTGGCACTGGCATACTTGGAGCCACTTCCCAGGGTGAGATTCAGGGACGAGGGGAGAATGGGAAGTCCGAAGCGCAGCAGGTAACCCACCAGCGGTTCCAGATCCCTGGCATCAAGCTGTTTCGTGTCCATGCAGCCCTTGTACATGGTCTTTGCCTTGCCCACGGCCTCGGGCTCGGCCCGGCTGATGTTGGAGCGAAGAAACTCCCGCACGAGCCGCATTATGTGTGCCTGCCGCTCCCGGAACCAGTCATTCGAGGTCACCGAATCCGGTCGGGGATGTTCTTCCGCCCAGCGGCCGCAGGTGAATTGGTAGAAGTCCTCACAGGGATCAGTCTGCTCGTCCATGGCGTAGATAAGGCTGGCCGCCGTGCGGATGCACTCCCGGCTACGGCAAATCGAGCTGGATTTCTTAACTGTAATAATGGGGAAGGTGGGTGATAATTCAGGTACATTTTCATTAAAATACAATGAATACTCACTACTTAGGCTTAAGACTATGATTGCTATCAGCAGAAAAACTACCAGGGCCAGCAGACCGCCCAGCACCACCTTGTGGTAGTAACTGCGGCGGAACCTGAAGGTAAGACAGTTAATTAACAGGTTAAATCAGACCAAAGCCCACTCACCTGGACTGAATGCCCACCAGGTTGGTTCCTATGGGCTGGTAAGGAAGCTGCTTGCCATTGGCACTCGCCGTGGTCGAGGCAACGGCTAGAGACCCATTTCCGGCTCCGTTGATAAGCTCGTTGCCGCCTGCACTGCCATTGGCTCTCACGGGTGCCGATAACAGGCTCAGATTACCTGAAATTGGTTTCAAAACAATCCGGACTCACTATTGCTCGGCTCTCTGCTTAATTAGCTTCTAAAAATTGATTTTAACCGAAGCCCGAGAGAGAGGGGCACGTTTTAATAACACTAATTAGTCTAATGTCAATACAGCCCTGGAATTCGTGGTGTTCGTGTTCTCTATTCCTATCTTGATCGATTGTCCTTTGGCTCCCCTGTGTCCCTAATCGCCTGGCTAATGCACGTCTGTCACTTGCGAATGCGGAACTGCACCTGGCAGAAGCGGCATTAGAAGGCGCTGGTGACAACGTCCGGTTCAATGGCCTCAAAACGATTTCGCATGTCCGGCAGCAATTTAACCCATTTTAAAAAATCAAAAGCCCAGCCAACCACACGACCTAATCTCCAATTTACATGTGAAATGAAGAATACCGGAGGAACTCTTTGATAAGCAGGATAACCACAGTTTTTGTACCCATTAAGGGCGGTTCTTCGGCTTATTTTCATTTCATTCATTTATTGAAAGTGGAATAGGAAAGATAACAATTAAGAATTTTAGCTATATACTATAGAGATCGAAAAATTTCACTCAATATCGGCATGTCGATATTTGTATACCTTGCAGTTTGAAATTAGATCATTAAGTTTCGATCTTTTTTCAGCCAAATAAAAACAATGATACATATAGAAAAACAACGAAGTTTGCCTCTTAAGAATCTAATTTAAATAATTTAATAATAATATAATTTAAAACATTTTAAAATCATTAAGAAAAATTACTTTATTTATAAGTTTATTTATTTATTTATAAAACAAAATGTTTTAAATAATTTTCCCTCTGGTTCCTCAGGCATCTGTATCATATTGTGGGCCGCTCTAGACTGTTCCGACATACATCATAATAGTATAATGAGAATAAATGAATACTACCTGCATTGTTTTTATTATTTTCAACTATAGCTTTGCCATAACTTTCATTCTTTGTTCTTTTGTCAGATGTCTTTGCTGTACTGTTAAATCTCAATAAATAAAATCCAAAATTTTGTAAGCCCCACAAGATGTTTCATAGTCTAAGCGTACTGCTGTTCAACACCTCCGAGATCGAGAGGAATCTCTTCAGCATGGCCGATGATGTGTACCAAACCATCGAGATCTTCGAGCAGGCTGCCAAGTTCGAGGCCAGGATCGGCAGACCCTTTGAGATGCTGTCCATGATCTTCGACTGCCTTGTCTTCTTGGCTGTCGCCCTCGCGATCGTTGCCCTGGTCCTGCAGAAGCGTTTCGAGAAGCTCTGGCAGTTGGCCAGGCTGAGCCACCTGAGGGAGCAGACGACGAACCTTAAGAAGATCAACAAGAAGGAGACCCTCCCGGTGGCCAGGTCGTCCTCCGTTACGTCCCTGCCGGAAGTTAACGCAGAGCCGGAGGACGATGGCATTAGTATTCCCAAAGACGAAACCAGTGACAAAGAGGAAGATAATATCCTGGAGCAGAAGAACATGTTTGGTACTTCCCGTTGGGCCAGAAACTGGCGAGTATCGATGAAAATCCAGAATTTCGGCTCGTTCTACGACACCTGGTTCCGCTAGATGTAGATGCGGAGATCGTGTCCCATTACCTGCACATCGTGACGCCAATCTATTGATTGAGGCTTTGCGGTTAGCGATTTGAATTGGTAAAAGGTGCCACAAATTGGCTAATTAAACACGATATAAATATGAAACTAAATTGAATAAGTGAACGCTGTCGACTCATGGGCTTAAAATGCTGTATTACCTAAGGAATTTAGCTTATATAGAATAAATACAATAAAGTAGCATCTTAGTCATTTACATTAAGGAGAAGCTGTTAATGTTGGAAGGGCTCTCAAGTACAACTGAAGTATATACTTTACGGAAGTAATCATAAAGTAAATTTAGCAAGGAGTCACATTAACTAATACCTAGACACATTGATTGTACATTACACGCATTACTGAAAACCCACAGCTATATAAAGATCGAAATGGATTAATAAATAAAGAACACTTCGTTTGCGACTACTAAAGAGAACATCAGCTTTTTGTGCCTCCTACACAAAAGTAGAGTATACAGAAGAGTAAGAAAGTAATTTTTAAATAGATTTTTAGGGAAAACAATTTACAAAATTTGAACTGCAAAAGTATACAAACTTCGGCTTCCCAAAGATAGCTTCCTGTTTATACTATAATTAAGAGATCTAACTCTTACCCGGTGTCTGTAATCTCTGCAGAGGCAGCGGCTGCTGCTGCAGATTGTCGCTGAAGAAGCCATGATTGATGTTGCCCGTGCTCCAGATGCGGCTGCGGTCCTCCATTGCCATGTCATTGAGTCACTTGCACTCCCTTAATTCATTCTCTGGTGATTTTTTCTGGATTTAATCCATCAAATTTCCCTGGGTTACTGGTTCTAACTCGGTGATTTTTCCAAGCACTCTAGGGCATATCAATGAGCTTCTCATCATTTGAATGCACGTCACAACGCCCACATGTTGCGCCTTTCAGAGGAGTGAAGCCGGTCTGAGAACAGTTACGCGGGCAGCTGGGAACAGTTTATGTACCAATATTTGCTCGCTCCACTTATCGCTTTTTCCAGCAGTCGGCAGTTGCATAATTTGGCATTATGTGCCGGCAAGAATGTGCAACGAGAACTTGGAACTCCGTAAAGTAAAAGCGAGTGACTAGTGTGGAGCAGCGACTACCGGCGGTTTGGAGCCCGGGCCTCGTCAACAGAGCGTATTTATACGGCACCGATACACCTGCCTGCCTGCGCCAGCAGCAACCGAATAACAACAATACACGTTCCCCACACAAAGCCAGTGGCAATAATACAGCCAACAAACAAATCAGGCAACGGCAACCCCCATTAACTCCTTCGGCCATGCAAATGTGCTGCGGCAATTACGAAAAGGAACCCCAAGACCCCCAGACCCAACCCAACCCCTCTCCAGGCAAAAAAAAAAACCTTGTCAGTGTCTGACTGTCCTGCATGTTGTCCGTATTTCTGTTTGTTCCAAAGTACCCCTTGCAGGGGCAGTCCCGGGGTCCCTGGGTTCTCTGCTTAAGTAGAAGCTTCAGTCTTTTGCTTGAAAACTAATTATTTATGAATATGATTCAGAAAATATTTTACGAATTATGTGATAAATATATGAAAGCTGAACGGAAGTATATAATATATATGTATGTAATCTGCATATAAAGTTATTATACTAAAAATACCTAACTGAAATCTTGTAACCTTGTATATCCAAGCACACCTTAAAATTTTTTAACTGACTTTAACTTTAACTTACTTCAAAACACTTGCAAAACAGATGTTTTAACTAATGAGTTGCATCATTAACTAAGGCAAAAGCACAGAAAGAAAGAGAAAATATATTTCTTGAGTAAAGTCTCCTCTGAATCACCGCATAAAGCAATCCTTTGTATTACTAAAAATTATATTATAATGACTCAGAGGGGTATGCAGAAGTGCGGATACCAAATACCTCTGCTGGTGTTGCCACAGTGAATCAGAACCGAACACCAAGTGGCCACCATCCAGAGGCGTAATGAGAAAAAAGCCCAATACAAATGGGAACTCTCACTCAAACTCTCTGAGGAAGAGATATATGGATAGTTGCTAATTGATATGGACGCGGGTGTTCGGAGGCTATTCGGAGGCGCATGATTGATGACCCTGAACCGGGCAGGGACACGATACTGGGAAAAAGGCAGCCTAATAATAGTAATTAAATGGTGGCACTTTGCCCGCCCATCGGCATTCGCATTGCTCGCCCCCTAACTTTGACATAGTTTATTGTGTTTTTCGGAATCGATAAATACTATTGATTTCTACATGTGTTGGCGCATCGCGCATACGCCCCGCTGACAGTCGAGGAACTCCGGCGAATGCAAAGCCCTTCGGTCCGTGTTTACACTCACTAGGGAGTAATTGGTTTGCTCGACTATTGTTAATAATCAAATAACTTGTCCGCCTTCCGCAGGAGACACTGTCACCAGCTTTCAGATTCAGGGTTCAAAGAACTTTACTTTGCTGGCATGTACTTGCATACATTTATTATACATTATCTTGTTTTTGTTGTTCTTTTTTAACATATATTCTTATATAGTTTTGTGGTGTTTTTTTCCTTTTTTGTGTGTGTTTTTTTCTACGACTAATTGCATGCATTTCTAGCTTAAAAGTTAGACAGGGAAACAAGTCATTATGGGAAATATGACACGAATAGGTTGATGTTGACTCGATTTAGATTTTTAAAATTATTTTAAACGCAGCCTAAGGTGGATTCTGATTTGTTTCATTAAAATTAAGATCAAGGGTACAGATTATGAAATAAAACAACGATCCCCTGGACAGTTTGGCCTGCCATTCTGTTGTGGGTGAAACTTTGATGCTGCAACGAAAAAAGAAGAGAAATGATTCGGTAAATAAACGAAATCCAACTAATTAGCTTTGTAAATAAAGTGTAGCCCTGTCAAAGCAATTTATCAGTCTGAAAAGTCTAACTAAAACTCTCCCGTATATATATACATATCTCAAAAACAAGAACTTCAAGCCGAAATAGCACATTCCAAAGTTCTAATTTTTTCATTATTTTATTAGTTCGATAATCGTCTTTTATCCCCTGACCATGGACCGCGTCTTCGGCAATGTCGAGTATAAGTTCAGGACCCTGACAAAGGATGGCAAGGGCCTGGCCCTAAAGCTCACCGGATTCTATGCCGTCGGCTGGACCCTGCGCAAGTTGGTCAAGTAACGGCTTCGCCACCCTTCCCAGAAGGATGCCTGCCTCGTTAGTCGTTTCCTTGTTTCGTGCAAAATCCCTGTCATGTCAACAAAAATAAATATTGATCTCACCTCCAAAATCACAAATCTCATTGAACCTGGGGCCACGCGCCTCTCACAGGTTTTTCACCAGCACGCATTTGCAGCAGGAGGGGATCTTAAAGACGTCCTGGACCACGTCCAGCTGCCCGCTGTTGGGAATGCTGGCCAGGTTCCGCATCACAAAGTGCTGCCTGCAGACGGGCTTGTACCGCTGCGGGAAGTTCTCGGCATAGCCGCAAGGCAGGTCCTTTTCCCTGGGGATTAAAACGGATAAATAATGTTGCCGCTTCCTAGCTCTCCCCTCTCGACTCACTCGCATTCCTCGATCTGAATGCCCTGCTTGAACTCCTCGTCATTGACAATCAGCTGCCAGGAGTTGTCCGCCTTCAGGCCCTTCTTCGGGTACAGGATCCGTCTGTTGGTGCGGCACAGGAACACCTCGTCATCGGCAGTGCCCACACGGGCACTCACATCCTGCGGCTGGAGTTCGTCGTTGAAGAACCTGGCAAACTTCCCGGCCAGCTTCTGCTTGAGGGCCGAGAGATCTGGGTAATTGTCCACCTGGGTGCAAAAGGACTTGGACTCCTGGTTGGGCTCGTCCCCGCACTGGGAGCTGTTGGATACGTTCAGATACCTTTTCTCTGAGCCTGGGAAGACAAAGGCTAAAAGTTAGGCAATCGCCAAAGGCAGTTGGCCAGGTGAGTATGGAATCGATTTAGTTGTTAATTGTACACACTCGAAATCGGGAATCGCCTTTGAATTTATGTAATTAATTTTTAAAAGCAATAATAAATTATTTAAAAATTTACAGTGCTGACAGCGATTCATATTTCGAGTGCAGCATGTTTCGAGTATCGAATGTATCTGAAGGATCTTAAACTACTTGGCGGTACTTACTGTCCGACGGCGGCCTACGGATGTGCGGGGCAGGAGTCGACTGCTGCTGGGGCTGTTGTTGCTGTTGCTGAACTTGGGCTTGGGCGTTAGTACCCTGCAACGAGACGAAGGTGTCGTTAAAGACCAGATTCAGCTTGCCGTCCGGGGAACGCTGCACTTTGAAGTATTGATCTGGTTGGCTCAGGCCATGGTACTGATGGTAATGGCTGGTCTGGACCGGGGACTGTCTCTGACTCTGACTCTGGGGCTGGGGCTGAGCCGCCAGCATGGTGGGTATGGGCATGACTGGTGAGGAGGGTGCACTGTCCGCGGTCGTTGTCTGTGCGGGTAGAATTCACTCGTGTTAGTCTCTCAGCCAAATCGAAAATAAACACACAGAGACAACACACAGCCCACACACACACACACAAGATGTGATCGAAGATGAGAGGGGGTGAAATGGGGGTGCCAGAGAGTGGGTGAAACATGGGAGTAGAAAAATATAGTGGATGGAAAATTCGTCTTTTAAGTTTTAAAAATATGTTTTTACAGAGAGGTGGTTATAAAAAAGGTAATTTGTTTATAAGTATATAGAAAAGTATATATTTTCTATACCCATTCAAGAAAAATCTTCCCAAATCAATAAAAACTTTTAAAACTAAAAGACGAACTTGTTAACAAAAAAAATCCAGGAGAAATTTTGCTGCTTACATTAAAGAGGTGTAAACCCTTATCATCGTTCACAATGAAGAGCTCTTCCAGGATTTTATTGAGATCCTTGGCCTGCAACTGTAGCGGAAAAAGACAGGACGACAGGCGGTTTAGTCTGGGTTTTGACAACATAAAATTTAGCCACAAAGACGACACAATAATCGGGGTGGATATGAGGGATACATATAGGGGGAAGTCTTATAAGGAGTTTTTTAAGGAAAAGGATAAGCGACTGGGTCTGTGTTCACACCTCCTTGGTCTTATTGGGTCCGCGCAGAATCGCGAGCACATTTTCGGACGTAAAGCCGGACATGTCGACGTCGGAACCTTTGGAATTTCCTGACGAGCTCCCGCTGGCGGCGGCCTTTAAGGCCGCCAACTCTGCCGCTGCATTCGCCGCCGCCGCCTCGGCCTCGCGCCGCTTCGATATTTCGCTATTGATACAAACTATCTGAAAGATACAGGTGGAAGAGTGGAAGGTTTGTTTCGTTGTTTTCGTATTTTCGGTTCATCAGCATTGCCAAGACAACTAACTAGGTATAGTAGCTACTCGGAGAGTCGGTTGCTGTTGTTTGTTTGTCTGTCAGCGGCACTACATTTGCGTATTTGGAAGGAGTTTGAACAGCTGTTTCGCTCTGGGCAAGCGCAGTTTCTGCTTTCAAATTCCATTGAGTTAGGACCCGAACCCGAACTCGAGATAGCAACAGAGCGAGAGTTCAGTTTTCGAGGTGATAATTCTCGGGCAACTCGCCAGATTAGGCAGAGCTTTCCAAAAATTATAGAACCTCGAAATCCGTTTTTGATTTTTCGGTTATCAGCGAATTAAGTGATAGAGAGAGAATGAATAGGGAAGTGTTTATGAGATAATGCGGGGATGGGATCTATTACAAAAAGCTGGAAACTGACCGACAAAAGATAGATTTATTATCTACGGGTCAATAAATTGCTTAGAATCAATTATTAATGAAAGACCCTAATCTAGTTTTGGTTTTGTTTTAATGAATTTTAATGAATTTTAGTGAATCTTTATTATTTCTAAATAATAAACCAAAAACTGATCTCATTTAATAAATTTTAACACTTTAGGTTACCCGAAGGTATATAAAATCTCTTTGAATAGTATATTTCTAGACTGACATTGAAGAATTTACCCAAATCGAAATTGGGACTTGCCACGCTCGTATAAAACCCGATCTTAAGTGCCCACCCATAAGCACGTAATCGCCGGAGACTTTTGTTTTGCGATTTCTCGGAAATGTTTTTCCCCAAGCCGCCTGTCATGCAATTAGCTATCAAGCTTTTTTTATTATTATTATTATTTGTGTGGCAAACATTGGATAATTCTTCCATATCAGTTTTAAGGTTTTCCACAAACCCCTTGGAACTTGGATAAAGTCGAAAAAAAAAGTGATCTTTGGAACCGAAACGGATTGGTCTTTAGATTTCCTAGGAAAACCAGGCAGACCGAGTGACAGACGTTCTAATCATTTTCCAATTAATTACCGGGCGGCGGAATCCCTTTTGTTGGCGACAGTAAATTAGCTCGGAAGTCGTGTGCAGAATCACTTGGCATCACTTGCTGTCAATTAATGCACATTATTGCAATGCCGATGATATGCATTTATTATAAGGAGAATGATGAAAATTGCACATAGCTCACAATGCCAAACGGGTTTTCAATCTCTCTAAACTATCGTGTATATTTACACTTGAAAGTGCCCTTCGGCTTATGGTAATCCTCGGTGCTGGCAAGGAAAATCTACGGTAATCGGAGATGAGGGAAGTAATGACCCAAAGCCCAAAATGCATGAGAGTAACACACACAACACAAAAACAACAGAGACACTGCAGTCGAACTTTCATAACTGGAACAACCAGCTGTCTGGCTTAAATCGAGTTATAGCGAGACTTCCAGTTGAGTTAACAAAGCTTCTCTAATATTCTATAATATTTGGGATCATTTAAAGAATTTTAAACACTAAAGAATTCTGGTTAAGTATAAAAATTAATTGTTGCGCTTGATTATTAAGTTGTTAATTTTTTATAATTTTACAAAAATTAAATTCGAATTTGAGTCACTATTTATGATTAGATCTTGAGAAAAACTATGGAAACTTTAAAGTACATCTATCAATGAGATAAACAATATTAATACCTCTCAAATTATAGTCTATCATACCTGGGAATATCTCAAAATAATTGGAAATAAATCACATACTCTTAATTGAAAAATCAAAGTATAATTAAAATCAAAGGCTAGCAAAAAAAAATATAAAGCTCTTCCCTACATTACGTTTTTCTATTTGAAATATTTCTTTAATTCCAAATATAGTTCGAGTTATGGAGGTTCGACTGTTGACTTAGAGAGGACGAGAATGCTCACCGTGGTGAAGAGGGCGAAGAGCAGCACCAGGACCTTGATCATCTTGAACCACATGGGCGGCATTTCGTCCGTTTGTCTATATAACTATATATATTCTGAGGACGGCTTCCGTCTGCGTCGGGATCGGGGCTTAATATACAGAGCAGGGGATCCGCGAATCGGTTTCAGACTTTGTTTATATCTCGATCTGATATTTTTTATGGGGCCTGCTTGTGTGTAAGTGTGTGTTAAATAAACAAACTGGCACGACTAAATGTTAATGCCGGTCTTTATTCGCGTTGGTTATTATTATTATTATTGTTGCCGTAGTTGTAGCCGCCGGATTGGTATTTATTTATAAATATTTTGTTAGCTATTAGGTGTTGCGCCGTTGCCGTGGCCGTTGCCTATTCCGTTTCCCGTTTTGTTTGTTTCCTTTGCACGTTTGCGAGACACAGACAGACGAAGACACTTCAATTAGTCGGTTTGCTTTTCACTTTAGTTTCGCTCTCGCCGCTTTAGTTGAACCGTTTTTGGTCGCTGATCGCGGTCTCTGTCTCCGGGTTTTTATTGTTTCTTATTTCGGTGTGGGTTACGGTTTTGGCATTGGTTTTTGGGATGTTAAGTGATTTGGTCACCAGGTTTTTGGATCCCAACTTTAACGACTGTCCCGCGTTTGGATTCCAAGTTACGCTTGGAACGGTGGATCAGTGGATCGTGGTCGTTCGGTTCTGTGTGCCGGCGTGGAGTGAAACTAATGGGTCAGCGCGCATGCGCTTTTATGGAACCATCAGCTGCCACTGGCTTTTATCGTTTTTTATCGCGACGCGCGCTGGGCTTTTCCGACGTCGACGAGGAGGAGTTTCACCATATCACCCGGCCGGGTTGTCCAGCATTAACTAATTCTGAATCCAATTTTTAATTACGATTTCTCGCGATCGAGAACACACACACGACAGCGAGAGCGCGCGACTGGAAGCCAACTGAGCGGACGAGGGCTTTGACAGCCGCCAGCCGAAGTGCGCTCTTCAATTGACAAGTGCAGCTTTAGCCGAAGCTCGCCTGAGTGGTGGACGGACTGGGGGATATACGAGAGAGAGGGGAAGATTTATGGGGACAGAGAGGCAGAGAGGAGGGCGTGGACCGGAAGAGAGGGGGCGGTGTGGATTTTATCACAGCTGACTGCCGTTGCGCCGCTAATTTCTGTTACTGGTTCTCCACGGCGAACTTAAACGGTTTGAATCATCGTGCACTGAGAGAAACGGATCTTAGTTGCTAATTAAAATCATTTTATTTTAAATCATTTATTTATAATTGTATAATATGAATATAAGAGTATAACTAAATACCTTAGCAGGGTATTATAATCTTAGTCAGAAGGAGTCATTTCCGACCCATTAAATCATTAATATTCTTAACCAGCATCAACAGGACAACCAATTTAGAATTAATGCATTTTTTGCTTAGCTATGATCGATTTTCACTTGGGTCCTTCAATTGAAAACTGCAAGGGTATTCCAAATTTCAGCTTCCCCAAGTTGACTTTTCTTCTTCTTTTAATTTCTCATTACCACCTATTACACCTTTATTTTTTGGGAAAAACCCCAGACACTTGTAGGGCTTTCGAGAGTCTCCTAGGCCGACAGTTGTTACCAACGAAAGTAAAAGTGCTGCCTGATCAAAGCTTTTCACCTGAGAGCTTTGCTTGAGAGAGCACACCTGGCCATAGCAGCTACTACCACTATCGGCATCCAAAGCCTAATGTCTAATAAATAAAATTAAATATTCCGATGGGGTGCGACACACGTCAGTTCCGTCGTCGCACGCGTCATGGGAGTCACAGAATCTCCTCCCAAGTGTATCTGTATCTGCTTGGAGCGTGCGAAGACGACGTTGGGAAAGACTGCCCTGGCGGGTGACTCAATCTGGGATTTCCGAGATCTCGGACAAAACCGCAGCTTGATATCGCACTGCATATATCTGTGGGCATAATGTATCTGTAGCCGGCATTCGAGCAGAGACTGACGTAGCATTACCTGCTCCCAGGCAATGAATGAATCTCATTTTCTGAAGTGCTCAGACCCGCTGTCTGAAGCCTTGAACTTGCCTTGACAAAAGGTTATTCGCTGGGACCTAACCACGTCTCCGCCAAAGGCGATTATTAACCGATGACTGATATAAACCGATTCCAGAGAATCTACAGCAATTCTCTTGAATTTCTTTATCAGCAAACAAATATGTAATAAGAATGCAGTTAAAGGGGAATATAGTTGTGTTTCATGTGTAAGTAGTTACGTGCTTGCCATCATAATCGCTTTTAAGTATTCTTTTTCCGATACAAAACTATATCAGTTCTAAAAACATCTCTCTGCTGACTTTTATTTATTTCTAGGAATTTAATTAAAGTGCATTTGTGCATTGTTTGATTAAACAAATTCCTTAGAAATATCTTTATGTTGCGCAATGTATTTAATTATTTTTGGCTAATGCTTTGCATACTTTGGGGCCGGTATATAATTTTCAAGCATATCTGTGGGATACTTTCGAAAATTTGAGATGAAACGAGCTAAAGTTTGTTGATGTTTAACAGTTTAGAGTTAATAAATACTTTGTTATTCAATATTTACTTGATTATTAATACTATCAAATTGTATTATTATTATTATTTATTATTTTTTTAGAGAAAACTATTAATTGAATATATATAAAAATATAAAATATATATTATTTAATTAAATCATTATTGCTTGCCTTAGTCCCATGTTCAACAATTTCATAACTATCTTTTAATTTAAACCAGGCTGAGATATTCTTTAGATCTTGATGAAAGGTATTTAAGTACTATGTTTTAACCGCAATTTTCAATGAGTCAATCTGTCCAGTTCAGGGAATTCTAATAATTATACAATTGTAAATACAAGGCTTACTTTTCAACAGGTGTTGCAATAGTCATCAAGGTTTTGTAATAAGTTAAATCCAGCCAAAAACTTCCAACTATTAAGCATTAAAAATATATAATTTATTTTAACCTTTGATAACAATTATTTGGAAAAACAAGCAAACAATTATGGTGCGTGTCTAGCCTTAATTTCTGTTTTAAAAACCACAAATAAAGTCCAACTAAGCCCATTTCAATTAAGTTGAGGTGAAAAAGGAAAAGTTTAGCTAAAAATGGGCTGCCATTTTCCTAACGACATGATCCAATTTACTTAATAGTTATTAATCGACGAGGAAACAACATCATTTGGCGGGCCACCTTGGCCAGCTGATATTGGCCAATCCGGCGAGGATGGCCCAAAAGTCAGGGCAAGTCAAGCGAGCAAACGCTCGGGTCAAGTTAACGAGAAAAAATGGTGAAATACACGAAATACTTGCCAGTAATGACAGTCTCTGGGCATGCATGTGTGTCCGAGTCTAGAGTGTGTGTGCCTGACTGAATAAATAATGAAATTGCATTGCACATTCGATAAAAAACATTTCCACCAGCCACAATTAAAGCGGCACCAGGCAAAAATGTGGACGCACCACAATTCAGCCGGCTTGCAAATGCCATTTCCATGACAGCGCCATGGCGGTGCGTTCGCCTCTAAAATAAACATAAACATAATAAATAGATGTGAAACAGGCGACCAGGACGAGATCGCAGCAGCCGGAGTCGCAGCAGCAGCTGTTGCTCAATTTGTCGGGCGAATCGATTGCATCATAGATATAATCCCCAGTGCACACTTTGCTGCTTTATTTTTATATTTTTTGGCGGGGTGACAAAGGGGGTATAAAAAATGGAGATGCCCCTTGTTGAAGTGCTAAGCAAATATCGGTGCAAACTAGAGGCAGGCTTTCACTTTTTCCCTGGCCAGCTGGCTGTCGTTCCATATCCATAACCACATGCACAGGAACACAGAGAATAAATTAATACATTTTTATTTTTGACAAGACAAAGATCTTTACTTCAAATAATAATAAAAAGGAATTCCATATGGAACATTTTTCTGTTTTTAAGAGAAGTAATTTACTCTATTTCTCATTATTTATACCCTTACAAAACCTCTCTAAATATTTCCAGTGCACAGCCCATCGACACAATAAAGCAAATTGAATTATGCCGTGCAGCTTCCGCTCGAAAAAAAAGATAGATAAAAAATAAATCACACGAAAAGTGCCAAAAACGAGTTCGCTTCCGATATGGATTTCGGATATACTTTGTCGCCCGTGTTGCAGCAGCGAAACTTTTCGAATTTGAAGTTGAAGTTGAAGTTCATTGCGCAACTAACGAGCGGCTGGACAGTAACAAAAATAAAGAAAACCCAAGAAAAATAAAAGAAAAACCAAGTAAAACTGCAGCAGGAAGTCGAGGAAGTGGAGTGGACTCTTGGTGGCTTTTCGGTGAGTTTTCTAGCATTTCCACATGCGCAACGCGCAGCGCGCGGCCTGTTATCGCATTTCGCGTTACACTATGAAAACTTTTCCCCGCAACACAAATTTTTATTTTTATTTTGCACTGGCAATTGCCCCATGTCAATTAAGCAAAGAAAAAAGAGGCAGCCTGTGAAGAGTGAGTGATAAATGAAAAGTACTTTGCTGATTAAAAAAAGGAAACCGATAAAGGCAGGAAGTGGCACACACTTAATATTTATGTATGAGAGAGGACACTATCCTCGAAATTCCTTTGACAATCATGCATTTATTTTAATTATTCCATTATGACGGTCCCGAGAGTGTTATCTCATCGCTTCTTTCATATGCAATTTATAGATTGAACGACTGACTTCCTTCCTGTTCAAATTTGACCGGCTGCAACTCTTAATATTTATATTTATTTACGCAATGAGGCAGTGGGAGCGGGCCAAGAGCCACTAAATCGAAACCAATTCACTTTCTGTACACTCAACCCGCACTGAATGGCCACATTGTCGGTTCAGCGGAAATTTAACTCAACCACAACGAATTATCCCAGGCAAGAGAAACATTTAAAAACTCCCCACCCAGTGGGAGACTTCAAGTTGACAACCCAATAAACAGTGGCTAAAAAAATGAAAAACAAAATTATTAAGACAATTGAGTGGCGGAAAGCTAAATTTCCACGAACTACAAATGACCTTCTTAGGGAAATTTATGCAAATAAAATAAATAAACATTATATATATATAAAATAAGATTGAAATATTGCTAACTGTAAGCTTTATTACTTCACAAATACTTGGAATATTTTCACACTCCTCTAGTAATAATTAAAAAACCAATAAACCTTTAATGGGTCCTTAAAAAGTCGTATTTAAACGAACAACACTTTTTATGAAACCCGTTCTTTGCCACAACATAAAGGATGACAGTTAAAATCAGTTATTAGTAACGGATTTGGGTTTTTATATTTATGAGTGTTACGGTTTGTTACGGCTACCGGAATTTTTATTTAAACAAATTCAAATTTTTTAAATCCTGTGTTTCAAAACTTAACAGTTTATCGCCGGGCATTCAGTTGACTAAAATCCAAGTCATTTATGTCGACTGCCGCCCCCGAATCGCAATTACATTGTCCCATTTGCATATATACGCGTATTCGCAGGCCATTACATGAGTCGCCGGGGGTTTTTCCATTTTATTTTCTTTAATTTTCTTGCTCATTTTCATTTATTTCATTGCTGTTTGCCTTTGCCGCGGCTTGTTTTCCTTTGGCTGTTTAGCAAATTCGCAGTTTGCTAACTGCGAGTGCTTAAGTATCATGTTTGGGCCAAGTTTTCCTCACTGCGTTTTGCATTTATGCATTTGCAGTAGGAGTTGGAGTTGCAGCAGTTGTTGGGTTTGTCTGGGCCCATTTCATTTTCGGTTAGATAACCAAAAGTCCGGTGGAGATGTTTCGAGAGGAGCTCTTACTCCTAGTAGGATAATGGCCTGTGACTGGGAATGGAGCTGCCATTGTGTTCGCCTTAATTGTGAGTTTCACATATTTCCACATGAACTGCTTCTGACATAGTGACAGTGAACTCTCATGAGAGTGTCGACTTGCCACTGCCACCATTTGTCGCAACATTGATAATTAGATGCCCTCGGGTTCGCATCTGTCTGCGCCTCTGTCTCGGAGTCTGCAGTTGAAGGTATGAGACCTCCAGGGGTCAAGGTTGCTGCTTTGAGACCAGGCGGGTCAAGATGGGCTTATGCTTTGGAATATTTAACGCTCATAAATGGATTTTCATTGGAATTAAACTAAGATAGCTCCTGGAAAACAAACTTTTAAAAATTTAATTTAATTTAAGCAGTGCTTGCAAATAATTTTAAAATAAAAACTCCAGCTTAGAATTGAATGAATGAAGAATGAAATGAATGAAAATACTTCGAAACATTTAAACGGTTCTAGAAGATTCATATCATTTTAATAATTTAGTTTTAAGGGTTTGAATATTCTTGTAAATTAATTAAAATTACAGACCAGCTTAGGATTCAAAGAATTCGCTTCAAAGTCCTTGGATTTAACAATTATTTTCATTAAATTAAAAAAATACTCCCTTTTAATTTTTCCCTTTTAAATCCGTTGCCTCGGTCTTTTGATTAAGCCGATATACCAAGTACCACATATGTACCAAGAACAAAATGCCAAAATACCTCAGACCTTAAGACATTAAGTGATTCAGTTTAGAATGGCTTCGATTTTATGACTCGTCCTTGCTTCACGTCTCTCGTGATGATGACTGCTCCTCTCAGCGATCACTCCATTTCAAGTTCGTTGCCTCAGTCATTCGATTAAGCCATGCCAGAAAACCGAGTCAAAGGTGTTGTTGCCATTCGTTGCTGCCCCTGCAGTCGAACACGTTTCAGACACCAAAGTTAATGAGCCGCATTGCAGTTTAGTGATTGCCACATGTGGCCGATGCCACTCGAAACGCATTGAACCCCACGCGCGCGCGCTCCTCCGTTTATGGCCAAGAGGCTGCTGCCGCAGTCTCGGTTTCATCAGCCAAAAAATTGTAACACCAAATTACAAAAAAAGAGCCACAAAAAAGAGAGAGAAGGTCTGACTGCCTCTACTCTTAACCAAAAACTGAGAAGAGACCCCGAAAAAAACGCTCAAAATGCACTCCGAGCCGCCGCTCTCCCGCGATTTCTTTAAATAAGCCGGTCCCAGTGATTTTCGAGCACAGTTCGAGCCCAGACGTTGCCGCGATTAAAGCCACAAAGCAATATATATATATATGAGAGCCAAAGACGGGGTGGAATCGGTGAAAGAAAGTCGCGAGTGAAATTTGTGTGCCGCCGAGACGAATGCCGATGACAAAACAAACGTAAATCGACAAAAAGTGCGCCGGCCAAGTGCCTGTCAATATTGCTGCAAGTGAGGAAAAATAAGTGAAAAAAGCTGGTGTAAGGCAGAGACAGCGATACCTAAAAGCCAAAAAAAAGTGAATTTTGATCTTGATTAGCCGCCCAGCTAATCCAAGGCCCAATTTGAGCTAATCCAGCCAGTGAAGCACAGCTGTCCGGCTCTCGAAATGAAGGTAAGTGCCCAAGGATGCCGCCGCAGTGAAAGTGGCCGCGATTACTGGACTAATTTGTGCATATCTTGGAGCTATCCCCACACTATATATCCATATACATATATATCCATATCTCGTTTATGCAATTTCTTCGGCGAACAAGTTCAAGTGCAAGGCATTCTGCGCCAAACTCGTTTGCCACACATCGCTGACTCTATTAGCTAAGCCCCCGGGCTGCGTGAAGTCTCTCCCTCTCGATGCAGAAATGACGATGCCCTGGTGTTATGCAATCGGTGGATAACCCAGAAAGCCCCATCGATGCCTCGCTGCACTCGATAGATTTTCCAAAGACCTTCAACCACTTCATTCACTCGGAACCTTATGTCACATAACGAAAGAAGCTCCAGTTGACCCGCCGCGAAGGTAAAGTGTCATGCATAATTATTATGTCAGAGCCACACTTCTACTTCGTCTCGAGTTGCTTTCGAAAATCGTGAAGAAATTTGAATAAAGCTCCAGGTGTAGTGGCTGCCAGGCGGAAGAAAAGAGAAGACGGAGCAGGTGGGGCGAGTCGCCGACACGTAAAAAGCATAAACGAGTCCGAAAACTGAACCTACCGCAATTAATTTAGTAGTCATAGTTGAAGAAATGTCGTGTGTATATCGCCGGGCAAGCAAATGACAACGAATTCTGCTCATTCACAATTAAGCAATTACACTGAGCTAAAAAAATTGAGTTTTCTGATTTTTTTTTAATTTTCTAAGGGAAAATAAAATATATTTAAAGTTAAGTAGAGTTTCTGAACTTATATAAGAAAAATTACTTTAAAAAACTTTTTTTAACTGAAAAGTATAGTAAACATTTAAAAATATATTTATTATAAAATATTTTGTTTGATGAAGACTTATAAACAGGTTTATATATTTTTTATACCCTTGCAGGGTATTATAATTTCAGTCAGAAGTTTGCAACGCAGTGAAGGAGACCTTTCCGACCCTATAAAGTATATATATTCTTGATCAGTATCAACAGCCGAGTCGATCTAGCCATGTCCGTCTGTCCGTCTGTCCGTCTGTCCGTCTGTCCGTCTGTCCGTCCGTCCGTCCGTCCGTCCGTCCGTCCGTCCGTCCGTCTGTCCGTTTCTACGCAAACTAGTCCCTCAGTTTTAAAGCTATCTGAATGAAACTTTGCATATAGTCTTCTATATGCTCTCACTGCTATATATGTCGGAACGGGCCGGATCGGACGACTATATCATATAGCTGCCATACAAATGTTCGATATATTTCTAGAAAAAAATTTATAACTTTGCTGTTTTTCAACATTTTTGCACCATTTTTTAGATATGGCCATTCTATATTATTTCAGAATTTTGGTAAAAATTTTATCAAAATCGGACGACTATATGATATAGCTACCATAGGAACGGTCGAGAAATAAATAGGAAAAAAAATTATAGTTTCGTTGTTTTTCAACGTATGTTTATCTACTCTGAGATATAATCTTTTTTTATTATTCTAGAATTATGGTATAAATTTCATAAAAATCGGACAACTATATCATATAGCTGCCATATAAACCGATCGGTAGATGTAGAGAAAATGTAAAACTGGGAATGTAAAACTGTAACTGTCAAACTGTAAACATAATAAGTATGGGGAAAATGTAATGAAACTCTGTTTTGTGAGTGTTTTCAGCATTTAAATCTATAATATAAACATCGAAACCAATCTGCAAGGGTATACAAACTTCGGCGTGCCGAAGTTAGGTTCCTTTCTTGTTTAATGGTAATATAGAATAATATATAAAATAAAATATCATTCCTTAGGAGAGAGTTTCAACATTTTATTTCAACTTGCCAAAAAAGGTATAAAATATTTATGTATTTTTTTTTTTGCACTTGTTTGTATTTTAAAAATAAACCTTAGATTCCAAATTTGTTAAACAGTGTAACTGCAAATATGTTAATTAAATGTGAACACGGAAAAAGAGAGCCAACTCGTTGGGGATGAGAGCGCGCGGCCACAGAGCCGGCAAGCACAGCACTTTCACTCTCATCTTCGCTTCTCCGAAAAAATGTTGGCCATAACAATGAGCAGGCAAAAAAGAAAGAAATAAAGAAACCACAAGCAATCATTGCCAAATGGCTGCGGCAAATATTGGCCAATAGTTCAATAAGCCAATACTATCCGATTCCTCCTACGACCATATCAGCCCCGAATTGCATTCCGCTAATTACCCAGCGCCGAAACATAATAAATAATAATTGTTTCGCCACATAACCGCCTCGCCACTCCCCGCCAATTAGCTTTCAATTATTTGAATTACTTTTCGCCACTGTTTTATATATTTGTTTATGCAATCGCACAATCGCAGAGCGAAGAACAATATTGATTTCGCTTAATTTGTGCAATTTGTATGCAGATTGCAGTGGGCCAGGGCTTAGCCCGCTCGAATTGTATAAGAAGACTGGCCCAAACCCCGAGTCCAACATATTTGGCCAGTCATAATTGAGGTTGCGCCATCGGGGGATCGATCGGGAGAAAGGCTGCCAGTTTAATTAATATTTTTCGAGGCGGTTCCACTTTAGCCCGAATAAAAAATGTAAAAAACTAATTTAAAACGCATTTGTCATAAATATCAATAGCGATAATGGTGTGTTTCTCAACTTATTTGCTGTTGACCCGATTTCGTTTCAATTTCTATGCAACATTTTGAGTAAGTGAATTGCTTGAAATCATTGAACCGAAATGAAGTCAAGCGGGGAAATATATTTTAAAAAATATTCAATTTTCTTAATGATTTCTGATTCACTTAAACTCGTTTCTGTTTAATGCTGGAAAATGATTAGAGCTTACGGAAATGACTGAGCATTAACGCATTAGACTAATATTGGAATCACTTGGGCAGGTTTTGAGTTGAGCGATTTTGTATTAAATATTTTAAAAAGGAAATAGTTTTAACTCTTCATGGATGAAAATCTCTCTACAGGGTATTACAATTTCAATCAGAAGCTAAAAACGCAGTGAAGGGGTCATTTCCGACCCCATAAATCATATATATTATTGATCAGGATCAATAGGAGAGTCGAACTAGCCATGTCCAAAAGAAACAAAAAATTTTAATTTTTTTCAAAAATTGAAAAGGGGTTACATCATAAAAATTCTTCAACATCGAATAAAAATTCGATTTTTTTAAATGTTAAATTTAGTATGCAAATTTGTTAACATAGAAAAGGCTAGCATGGAAAAGCTTCCCAAATTGATTTTAATGCTTTTTTGACTTAGTTATGACATTTTTAGACTTTGAATTTTCCAAAAAAAAATATCATAGTACCAAATATAAATATTAATTTAAAGAATTCAAATATTTTCTTAAATTCCTTTAAACAATATTATTATATTTTTTAGGTGTATACAAAATAATAAAATCCATTTAACTGAAATTACAATTTTTAAATATTATTATAAAGAATATTTTGAAAGAAAGTTTTTATCTGAACACTATGGAATACATTTGGATTTATAAATGTTAAAAATGTTATTAAATACTTATTCTGGCTCTTTAAAGTCAAAATTAAATAATAAATGTTTAGAATGGTACCTTGGCCTTTAAAAAATATATTTTATTATACGTAAAACCCGACTCTTTCTAATAATATTTATAAGCCATATAATTAAGCTATGCTAGAGAGCCAAATTAACTAATTAAATACAAAGTTTACAGATTTTAGTTAATTTAATTTCTGTATCTAAAAGAGTTATGTAATCTTAATAGTTTCGATAAATATTCAATTATCAAACAAATTGTAGATATACATATATTTATTTAGATTTATTTAATTATGAAATTAAACGTTTAAATTAGAAGGGTCTTTGCATTTCTGCACTTAGCATTTCGGCGGATTAATGAGGCATGAAACCGTACTATAAACACGCCCAATCTCAACAGACACTGGGCTTCCCGCTTGGCCAAATTGGCTATTAGACCATTTAAGCCACCTTCCACCCCCCCCTCGGCAATTAGGCAAAGTTCGCTCGACTGTTAACCAGGCGAAAGGGTCTGAAGTTGGAGGTAACTGGCTTTGGGGAGTTGGCATATGCAGAGCGGGAATGGTAGTTACGAGGCATGAGCTAGTAGATGGCAGATTATGATTGCATGTGGTGCGGGTATGTGCGTGTGTGGATGACAGTTTACAGTTGACAAATGAATGCACAAGCTCCTCGGTGAGGCAATCGGCGGAGCTCTAACCAAAAATGATGTCTGATGTCTGGCTGTGGTGCAACCATCGCCGCAACTGACACATTTTGGCAATTGAATTTCCCCGGTTTACCATTGTTATAGCTGTCACAAGAAATTTAAACTGATTCCTAAAACGATTATGCAACTCAAGCTGTCAGTTTCTGAATGGTTTTGTGAATGAATTGCTAAATATTATTCATATTTCCGCAGGTCATCAACAATAGTTACTTGATTATTGCTTAGCTCATACTCGAAGGGATCTATTTCATATATTTTCCTAATAAATAATAATTTCCTTTACCCTCATAAACAGGTCCTCAGCCTGAGCCTGCTACTGGTGGCTCTGCCTCTGATGTGCCGCTCCCTTCCTGCCACCGACAAATCCTCGCTCTCGCTGGAGGACACAGACCTCACGGACAACGAGCCGGGCGAGAGTGTCAAGGAGTCCCAGATCCACAAGCGTTCGGGCAGCTTCGACTATGTGGCGCACCTAAAGTCCGGCCTGCTGTCTGGCATAGGCCAGGCCTCCGCCTCGATTGCCTCTGGCAGTTCCGGCGGAAGCAGCGGCGGCGGGAATAGCTACAAGTCCCACGAGATCGTTGTCCATGTAAGTATTTGCTCTCGTTTCCTGAGATTATCTCTGAAATTTGAGATCAATAAACTGTGAAAAATGTTTTCCCCAGGGCAACTCGGTGGACTATGACCCTTGGTCATTCAAGAAGTCCGTGCTAAACACCATCTTCCAGGCGGTGAAGGCCATCACTGGCGGGGTCACGGCTCTCAAGGGTCAGCTGATCAAGGGCAGCGGCTACGCCTTGAGTGCGGGCGGCAACCTGGTGGCCGCCGGCGGAGACAAGGTCACCGACGTAGGCAAGTCCATCATCAACTCAGCGCACATCAACTCGCACACCTATGCCACTAGTCACTCCTCCAGCGGCGGCGGCGGGCTCTTCGCCAAGCTGAGCTCCCTGTCTGGCGCCTCCTCCGGCGGCAGCAGCGGTCACAAGTCCCCAGCACCTGTCCTGCACACCGAGAGTAAGTAAAGCTTTAAATTTTAGGAAGTTCTAAAGGCAAATGTCTTGAGGTACTTCCCCCCCCTTGACTTGGCCTCGAGATCCCCTGGTTAGGCTCTTCCAAGTTCAGGTGCCGTCGCTCCGCTCCGATTGTCCAGCGCTTATGCAATGCCTTTGAACTGAACCAGATCCATGACAATTAAGCCGCCTAATAACCAATACACAAGCCCCAGCCCCAGCCCCAGCTGGCCAAAACGGAAGAGACGGCTTCGGCTTTGGCCAAATCAGAGCGTATCGCGTGCATTGAACTCGGCCAGCGGCAACTTTCGTTTTTTGCCACTAACCCGTTCCGTCTGCATTTGCGTCTACCCCTGCCACTGTCCCATTTTAGAGTCTAATAGTCTCTCTCTCTCTCTCTCTCTCTCTCTCTCTCTCTCTCTGTTGCAGCGATCACCACATACGAGATACCCACTGGCCATGCCAGCTACGGTCCGCCCTCGAAGCCGCCATCCTATAGCAGTGCCACTCATCAATATCTGCCACCGGTGGGTGGGTCCAATTACGTGGGCGGCGGGGCGCCCTTCAGCGTGAGCCACCCGGCGGCCTTCGAGTCACCGCCGAGCAACTATCTGCCATCGGCCTACGGACAAGATGGTGCGTAAAGGGAGTGGGTTTCAGAAAATTAAATTGAAGGGCTTGGTTACCTGTAAATAATCTTTCTTGTACATATTTTCTTGACCTAATCCAAGGTGAAGGGTTTTTGGATAAATTCATTAGGAAATATTTTTAAAGTACGTGTAAATATTATTTATATAATGCTGAGAAAATGTATTTTAAGATAGTTGAAAAGTTATAATCTTAGGGTATTAGTGTTAAAAAAATACCAAAGATTTCCTTCAAACTTCTTTCTAAAACTATATATAGATGGCTTAATATGTTAATAATGTTTACTATAGAATATAAAATTTATAGACTAAAGGGTAAACAATTTTAATATAAAAATAAGAGTATCTAAATACTTGTATTATATATATATAAAAATTACTTTACTCACCGAAAAAAATGTTTAGGCTTTTTTTCTATAATTTCAAATTACACAAATCTCATTTTTAACATTTCTTACTCTACAAAATTTAAAAGTTTTCATAACTATCAAAATGTATCTTAAGATAAGAAGATTAAGCTCTTTTTCCGTTAAAAATATTGAATTTCTATATACAATTTATGTTTAAAAATTTCAAAAAAATGGCAAAGACAGGCGTTGGCTTCTCTCATCAGCAAATCACTCAACGGGGTTTGCATACACTTAACCAACAGCCAACCGCCGCCCTTTGCGCGTCCCTCGACACATTTCCGCAGAGGAAAGTGAAAGCATCGTCATCAGCTGCTCATAATTCGTTGAAACGGGGCTGAAATCCCACAACAGACATTGTAAACATTGTAAATATTAACACCGACTCTCACTTTTAGCTGCCGAAGTTGGGATAGGACAGGCTTGGATCTTGTTCCAATGACACATTTCCTAGGCTAAGTTTATTCGATTTTTTAACACATTGCGCAAGCCACCATTAATCGATTCATTGTACATGTTTTAATAACCACCTATCACGTCATCTGTGTATATAAATAGTACCTAAGCAAACTGTACAGCTATTAATTGAGCCATTTGCAGTAGCAACATGTCGTATACTTGATAATATTGCGCATACGTATTTAGTCAGTGGCCCATTAGACGGTCTAGCGAGAAACCTTCGAAAGGAAATTCTGAAAAACCAACTACTACCACGTAGTGTCTTCGCCCGCCGACTCCCATTCAGCTAACCCAAAAACTAAAACCGGATCTCATCTAAGATCATTAAGAAAATCATTTGAAAATCATCAGAATGCAGTGAACAATTGCACAAAATATGTGTAAAGTAAACAATCATCTGTATAAAAAAAAAGTCATCTAACACCACACTTACAAAAAGCAGAGAAATAATAATAGAAGATAATTAATGCTTCTTTGAAAATGTAAAAAAAGGGTTAGGAAAATTTTTAATTGATTAAAATTAATGTAAGTAAAGTAAAGTAATTATTAAATTTATGAATTATTATTATACTAATTAATTATATAAATGCCAGCAAAAAAAATCAGACAAATCTAATAAAAAAAATAATTTTTGATTAGTTTTATGAACATTTTTATAATATATTTAATATAAAAAGGTTTGAAAATAAAGTGCTTAATAAATTGTTAAAATATTTAAGCAGGAAAAATATTGAAATTTGACATTTAATATTATCAGTCAGAAGTATTATTTTTTCTCTGTGCAATCGACAAAACACTCACAACTATACTCGTACATGCCCAAGACCAAGTGTAAATACCCCACATGAAAATGCAAATATTTAAGATGCTGGTTAATCTAATGAAATCTCACTCATTGCATACACACCTCCACCTCCACCGCAACCTCAACCACAACTACAACAACACCACCACACTACACTCAAAACAAAAAACAACAACAACGACACGCACAACACGGCAGCCACCAGTGCCAATAGCAATGACTTTAATATCTACGGACGCCACACCAAGTTGACGGATGAGGAAGCCCGCAAGGCGGCTCTGCAGCTCCAGGAGATCCTCAGCCTCCTGCCCAATGGCAAGACCGAGTACACAGCCTCCAAGACGGTGGCTCTGGACACGAGCAGCGTGCCCACAGGATCGGGCTTGGAGCAGGCCGAGGTCTACAACAGCTATGGTCTGCCACTGCCCAACAATCTGGGCACCCTGGAGTCCTTGTCGCACACGGAGTCCATAACGGCTGCCTATAATCCAGTGGCTTCAAAGAATCCGGCGGATGTGTACCACCAAATGGCTAAGAGGCCGAGTGCCGAGGAGCTGTACATCCAGAAGCACCCCAATGAGGGCTATGACTACGCACCACCGTCATCGGGACCTCCACCTCTACTGCCCACACCAAGGCCGCCATCGTCAGCCAGTGATTACCGGGTGGAGAACTACCATGCCTCCAAGAGTAACGCCCTCAAGGATCTGACGCCCATCATAGCCGCCCTGGAAGTGGCCAAGCGGAAGGGCAATAGCCACAGCAGCGGGCCGCCCGTCTACTCCATCGAGAAGCAGGTGCACAAGCAGCAGCAAGCCCCCTTTCAGTACCTGCCGCCGGTGGTGCAGAAGTCCAAGTACGTGTACAGTGCACCGCCGCATCACCACAGTGGTGGCTACAAAGTTCGACGGCATGTGGCGAGTCCGAAGCACCCAAAGCGAAGCGTCTTCAGGCCGCAGGACTACGAGATCCAGGACCCGCTGATGTTCAACCGGTTGATGGAGGTTTAGGGAACCAGCCGGAAACCCTAGTTAGGCCTCATCATAGCTCGTACTCCTCTAAGTCATGTTGCAGCATTTACTTGTAACTTATTTATGTTATCCCTATCGCTATCGTAATTAATTATTTATTGAGCTTCCCGATGGTTGGCAATAAGGGTGAACCCCACATTGCATCCCGAGCACAGCATGCCCCCTGAATCAGCACCCACCACCACTCTGTCCCACTCTGTGTCTCTCTCCCTTCTTGCACCGAAAACCAGACCAAATAGGATTCCTTCTCACCTCTCACCGCTCTCTTTGCAGTCTACCATCCGTAGAGGACGAGGCGGAAGGACCTCTGCGGACCTCTGTCCATCTCCACGTATCCTAGAGTTAGTCAATCCGTAACCGTTCCTGCCTATTCCGAAAACTATTCTCATTCTATATATACCACATATGTTTCCCACTCCAATCTGAATTTGAATCTGAAACCGAAACCCATTCGCGGGCGTCACAGAGGTGCAGTCAGTTTGACTGTGCTTACCCATTTTAAGTTTAAGTATTTAAATTAAATAAATCGTTGAATACATAGTTCTGCGTTTTTTCTGGGCTCTATATTTGGTAGAAATTTTGTAAAATTCCTAAAAGTATGCTTGGGAAGAAAGGTAAGACATGTAAAATCGTGTAGTTAACAAAGAGAAGCGAATGTAAAAAATTGTCGGAGCATTTGCACTAAAGCCGACTTATTTATTTTTTTTACTCATTAACTAAATGTAATTTAAATAAATAAGATATATATTTAGCATTATTTAAATCTTCAATATTTTTATACCCTTGCAGGGTATTATAATTTCAGTCAGAAGTTTGCAACGCAGTGAAGGAGACCTTTCCGACCCTATAAAGTATATATATTCTTGATCAGCATCAACAGCCGAGTCGATCTAGCCATGTCCGTCTGTCCGTCTGTCCGTCTGTCCGTCTGTCCGTCTGTCTGTCTGTCCGTCTGTCTGTCTGTCTGTCTGTCTGTCTGTCTGTCTGTCTGTCTGTCTGTTTCTACGCAAACTAGTCCCTCAGTTTTAAAGCTATCTGAATGAAACTTTGCATATAGTCTTCTATATGCTCTCACTGCTATATATGTCGGAACGGGCCGGATCGGACGACTATATCATATAGCTGCCCTACAAATGTTCGATATATTTGTAGAAAAAAAATTATAACTTTGCAGTTTTCCAACATTTTCGCACCATTTTTTAGATATGGCCATTTAATATTATTTCAGAATTTTGGTATAAATTTTATCAAAATCGGACGACTATATGATATAGCTGCCATAGGAACGGTCGAGAAATAAATAGGAAAAAAATTATAGTTTCGTTGTTTCTCAACGTATGTTTATCTACTCTGAGATATAAGCTTTTTTTATTATTCTAGAATTATGGAATAAATTTCATAAAAATCGGACAACTATATCATATAGCTGCCATATAAACCGATCGGTAGATGTAGAGAAAATGTAAAACTGGGAATGTAAAACTGTAACTGTCAAACTGTAAACATAATAAGTATAGGTAACATGTTTTGTGAGTGTTTTCAGCATTTAAATCTATAATATAAACCTCAAAACCAATCTGCAAGGGTATACAAACTTCGGCGTGCCGAAGTTAGCTTCCTTTCTTGTTAGTAATTAATTCTGTATCTTGTCTTTATATTACAGCTCTTAACTTATATTTTTAGGCCTTAAGCCCAACAGCTGCCTTAAGGTATACATTAAGTTTTATGAAAATTTACAAACTAATAAAAAAAAAGTGTTTTAAATGAAAAACACAAATGAGTGCTATCCCTTTTTTCAGTTAAACACAATTTATAAGGAGCTTTCCTTCCTTAATTATTCTAAAATATTAACAAAAAATGCTCTAAATATTCTGAATTATTAAACCAATTTCCTTTAATATTTTGAAATAATAAATACATTCCCCTTTAAATCAAGAACCAAATTTATAAACCAAAAAAACATTAATTCTTAATAGGGAAATTTTTATTATCGCTTAGAAAAATCTCAGGGGAAAAAATCTCGCACATCCGTGCGATTAGGACCTAGAAGCAAGGAATCTCTGGAGTATTTGGGAAGCTATCTCCGAGCAGCAACTCAGTAATAGCCAAAGGTGATGTCGTGCAGTGGCTGGGCATTCCCCTGGGGCAGGGCGTAGTCCCTGGCCAGCTGGTCCAGCAGACCAGCTCCTCCTCCGCCGCTGCGTGCCTGCGGCTGTGGCTGGTAACTGGGCTGCGGCTGCTGCTGCTGGACAGGACGGGCGGGCACGGGAGCCTGGGAGTGACCAAAACCCACGGGCTCCAGCAGCGGACGTCCACCAGAAGCGGGGGCCAGGAAACCCTGGGCACGGGCGCTGCTTGGAGCGGGAGAGGCGGGCGGCAGGGCGTACACTGGACGGGAGATCCGTACGTTCGAGGGGCCATCGCCAAAGCTCTGGGACTGGGAGTAATCCGGCTCCGGACGGGCGGGACGCTGGAGCGGCGAGTAGAGTACATCGGTGGTGCGCTGGGCGCCGGGTATCTGGAGGCGAGGTGGCGCCGGACCCAACGATGCCTGCTGCTGGTGCTGCTGTGGCAAAGGCTGTGGCTGGTGCTGGGGCTGTGGAGCATACTGGATCCGACGTGGCGGCTCCTCCTCCTCCTCGTATTGCACATACTGGGGCTGAGGCTGCGGTGGCGGCGGCTGGGGGCGGGGCACAGGAGCAGACTGAGGGCGTGACTGGGGACGATTAATCCGCTAAAGTCAAGAAAAATAAATAATTGATTACATACCTATATATATTTTTTTTTTATTTAACTCACATAGGGCTTTTGGGGACGCTGGGGAGCAGGCTCATCTGCATAGTCGGGTTCCTCCTTGGCTGTCTCGTCCACCAAGGTGGGTGGTGCTACCGTTATGCCCTCGCCAGATGGCTGGAAGCCATACTTGTTGGCTCCGTACTCCACCACTCGCACCTTGCCGGTCTCGTCCACATAGCCGTACTTGCCCTTGACTTCGCCGGTGGCCAGTTTAGTCTCGATTTTGAAGGAGCCATCGGCACCCTCGTAGCCGTAAGTATAGGAGCCATCTTCATTGTGTCTGGAAGGAGGATGATATTATTATTATTAATTATTAATTACCGAAAATGTTGTGCACTTACTTGTTAATCTGCTTGAGAATAGGCACTGGAGTGGCCCTTTCTACCTGGGCAGGAGCGGGATTTGTGCGCAGGCGCAGCGGTGCTGTCCTGGGTGTGTTCTCCTGATAATCCTGGTAGTCCTGGGACTTCGCCAGACCCACTCCACACACCAACAGGCAACCGACAAAGAGCAAGCGCTGAATCTGAAAGAAGAACTGGAAGTAAGTAACAACAAAAGTGGAAACAGTAGTTGATAGAGTTAGGACAACCGGTTCGCTAATTCTACCCTGTCAGACTGAAAAGGTTGGATTTCCATCTCAGTTGGACGGCGGAACACCTTGACAGTGTATCCGCACCAAGAATGCCAGACGGCGACGATGTCTACAAAAGTCTTAACTCAGGCTGGCTTTCTGCCTTTCACTTTTCCGCCGGCCAATGACACCCTCAATGCCAAGCAGGAACCAATACAGTTGCACAAATGCACTTAGGGAAAAGGTATACATAAAAAAGTATTTACTATATATTTCATAAAAAGAAAATAAATATTTTAAGTTGAAGGAATAACTTTTCAATAAAGCACAAGCTCTTTAAATATTTATTAAAACATTTAGTTAAAAAAAATATATCAGTAAAGATATCATTACCTCCTCTTATATTGTTTGTACTTTTATTTTAAGTACTCTTCAGTGCATTCACATTGAAGTTGCATAAATCCCCCGAGGAGGCTCCCCCGACACCCAATACCAACTGACACGCGATATGGCTTGGGCAGGGTTTAATTGAAGGCCCAAAGGTGGCAGAGAAATGCGGAGATGCAGATGGAGACGGGATGCAGGGAATGCCAATTATCGTCTGGCCAGCCTCCCACATGGGCCGCGATTGGGTAATCCAGCAGCGAATTCAAGAGATGGGAGCCATAGACGTTATGTGAGGCTGGGAAAAAGTTCCCACACTTGCCGAAAAATGTGTTGCAAGTATATATACATACATATATATATGGATAGGTGCAACTGGGAGTCTGGGAAGATGCATTCGGCGGCATGCAAATGCCAAAGAAATTTGCCAGAAAATTACTGAATCAGTGAGTAAGATAAAAGAAACTGACAACAATGCATGCAAAATTGCTCATGCAAAGCGTCTAAAAAATATGTGAATTAATGAATTGAAGGCTGGAATAAATAATAGATATACCACACAAATCTACTATATATATTTTTCGTATTTTTAATATATAATTAAGAAATACTAATACCAGCTAGGGCATTGCTCTTTTGATTTAACTTTCTGCTTATATGAGTTATTTCAAATAATTAACCAACCTCTTAAGTTGCCGAAATGTCTCTTAAAATTCTCAAAAGTATGTGTCATATATCCACCCCTTTGAGCAACAAATTTCTTAGGCAAAGGTTAGAATATCAGCCAAATAAGTAGGATCTTTACCTGGCTCCTACTCCTCTTTTGGCCTTTCGGACTATGGCTTTTTTCCACCATTCCGCATGCCAAAACCTTTCACTATCTAGGCTCCAAGTGCCGCAGCCTTGGATGCGATGGACAGCTAAAGAGATACCAGTGCAGATACAGATACTTTTACACTTGCAAAATTTACGGGGGCTATAATTTAAATTTAATTAAAATTCAAATCAATCAATATATGGTATATTACAAGTTTCTTTAGTAATCTTCAACCAAGAAAAATTTATGGATTACAAGGAATCTTTAGACCAAAAATATTTTTAAGAATAAATGACAAAGTAACATATTTTGTTAATATATTTTCTGAGTGTACAGACGTCCACATGGGGACCCAGTGCACCGGCGGCACAGATTGGAGTTTGGACCAGAAATACTGACCAAAAACCTGGCTGGCTACCGCCGCGTGTGAACTGAACTGAGCCAGCAACAGCCTTTGATATTTTCGCGCTTGGATAGATGCTTGGATGGGGGGAAAAAGGGGGGAAAACTAAGTATTTGAAGCCAGCTTGTTAGTGGAAACTTTGGCTGATTGAGGTTCCTGCAACTATTTCTGTTTTTCCTCTACGATTTTCCCAAGAAGCTGCTTGCTCTGCCTCTGCGTTCGTTCCATAAATTATGTCAAAATCCAGTTACCAAATTGGGTGCTGGAAAATGGATAAGGGAAAATGTGTCGCTCGCTGAACAATTGCGATCGCGGGCTGGGAGCTAAATTAACGGTTCGCTCGAATTTGCATAGCAAATTATGCGATATTTGCACAACAGTCGCCGCAATTGATGGTGACGTAAGTCAGCCCCTCCGATCCGATATCTCGATCTCGATCTGGATCTGGATATCTCTATATTTCAATCTAATGCCACGCAGCCAGGCGGTGGGTGACCTTTGCTATTTATTGCCCCGTTATAGGCTCTGGCCCACCCGCTCACTCACATACCACTTTCATGTTGGATCGGCTCTATTGGCAGTCAGATATTTCGAGTCGAATCGATTAAAGCCAGAAAGGCCTTCGCTGGCAACACCCAGGCGGCTGAATGCGAATCCGAACAAAGCACTTTCAATTCCCCTAATGAACTGCGACGGCGACTGGAGCGGGGTCTGGTCTATGTCGGTGGTGTCTATGGGGCAGCTCGGACCGTGTCTCGAAGAGATCGGATCGCGTGGAGTAATGACTTGGGGACCGGACGGCAACTGAGCCGCCCAGGTTGTTGTATTTCGCTTTATATACCCCGAGATCGAGCGAGGAAAACCTTTTTCGAACTGCTCCCATAACGGACACCAGAAACACCACAATGGCCAGCCACAAGACTTCACCAACGAAAGGACGGAGAGCGGGCTCTCTGGAGAAACAGAGCAGAGAAACGGGGAGAGAAATATGGAGACAGAGGCTCCAGCAGAGCTTGGGCCATTGACAATTCTCTCTCTGTGCTTTTCAGCGAGCTTTTCTTCAGGAAAATCAAGAATGGCAACTACTGTTCAGGGGTTTTTTAGGGGTAATAATGTTAAGAAACAAAATTAAATTAAAATTATTTACATGTTATTTTATTCAACTAAAGTTATTACATATTTATATTTGTTTATTTAAACCAAATTTAAATATTTTCTTCTACTCAATGTGTACTTTAAATGTTTGTGGTTGTTCCCTCAGCAATTTTAAGTCCTCCCCTGACCTCTTCTCCACAAAACAATAAATATGAAGTCCCCTTCTCCCTTATCTTCAAGTACCAGGCAAACAATTTAATAAATTTACCACATTTAACAAATTACTTTTCCGAAATCAGGGCGGAAAAAGACTTTTACGAGAGTCATGGCAACGTGGATGGCCAATTGAACAATTAATCAAGACTGTGAGGCCCATAAAATGTTGAAAAATGAAGCAAAGCCGACTGGCCGAATGGCTAATGAATGAATGAAAGTCGGACAGAGTGAAATGAAGTGTTGCGAATGCCAGTCCTCCAGTTTGAGAAGAGGTCCCTTCAGACCCTGACCTTCAGGGTAAATGTCGCGTTTTTTTCGTTGCTATGTGGTGTGTTTTTTATCATAACAAAATTACAGAAATTTAAACAAGAACACACGAATTTAAATATTGACATAAGCAAATGCTATGTTTCCTTATTACTAAAATTAAAACAAATATATATGTTTTACTCCAATTTTTTTGCAAACATTAAGTTTAAAAAAGCCATAACTAAGTCAAAACAGCATCAAATTCAACTCGGAAAGCTTTTCCTTGCTAGTATTTTCTGGCTTAACAAATCTGCATACAAAATGTTAAATTGCAGAATATCGAAATTTTTGTCGATTTTTAGGACTTTTAACGATGTAACTAACCCCTTATCAAATTTCGGAAAAAATATTAAAAAAATTTTTTCTGGCAGACACAGTCAGTTCGACTCCGCTGTTGATGCTGATCAAGAATATATATGATTTATAGGGTCGGAAATGACTCCTTCACTGTTTTACAAGCTTCTGACTGAAATTTTAATACCCTGCAGAACTTATGTATTTTAACCATAAGCCTGATATCCCATCTCCTGCGGAACTGTATCTCGATTTTTTCTTTGACATGTTTGGCTGCCACTATGCAACAGTGCGTATGGGTGATGTCAAAGAATGTAATTTCAGGACAGGGCCAGAAACCGAATCAGATTCCGCCAAGACAAGACCGAAGAGTGTGTGTGTGCTGCACTCCACACCCTCTGAAGTGGCCTTGTCGCCAGTCACTCCATTGGAATTAATGACACACCACAAAGTCCCGCACCGTTATTGCTGCAAAAACACACACTCAAAACAAACACACAACAGAGTCAACGCGGGGCAGAGCAATGCAATCGGTGATAGTTCAGCTCGGAAACTGGTTACCTGGTTACCCGGTTACCTGGCCGCATACCAGACCAGGAAACCGAGTCAGTTGCTATTTAAATCCCCTCCATATTTGCCTCCTCCGAGTGCCGCCCCTGACGCAGGGCAGCTGTCAGACTTCAAGTGCGTAAGATTGTTATTTCTCCCACTTCTCTGAATATCTGTTGGCCACGTTAAATACTAGTTTCTGGCCCGGGCTCGGCCGGGGGCTGTAATGAATGGGCGTGCACCTGAACTTGTACGCACTCGCAGACGCACTTGAACGCACATGATCAAGGTCGTTGGAGTTTGCGGAATAATCTCTGGAATTCTACCACGAAATTTTTATACTCTAAAGGGAAATTTTTAAAATTAATCAACGTCAAAAAGGCTTTGTTGGGGTCTTTGTCTTTAATTGGAAATTCAAGAGGCTTCATAATAATGTTAAAATAATTTAAAAAAAATTTTATTTCACATTTAACGCTTTTACTATTTCTAATTCTTTATTAAAACTTGTATATTTTTCTCTTGATGACCCTTAAGTACTCTCCTTTTACACAAAACAAAACATTTAGTACTTGCCTGAAAAATACTTTGCTCAACGAGCGATAAAAGCAAAAGGAATGGACGCATTAGGGAGCAGGATCTACCAACGTATTTTCGCAGCATGGCAGCCATAACAATAGCCTTCGCTCTGGTATCTCTTCGGCTGCTGCAGAAACTCTGTGGAATTGTAGCAGCTGTTCCCGAGTCACAAGGCACCAAGTCACCAGCCCCAAGCCACCAGTCAGAGGCCACAACAAAGAGACAAATTTACAGGAAATTCTCGAGTCATGCCAACGCCCCAGCGGAGGCAGACCAGTTTTGCTTCGCAAAAATTATATAAACGCTCAAAATATACACAAATAATGCCCAGCTTCCATTGTGTGAGTGTTTGCATTGGTCTACCATAATGGGTGCAGTCTGGACTTGATTCTCCGTTACCAACGTTTAAAGTTTTGACTTGGCCAATAGCAGGACAGTGGTAAAGGAATTTTAAAATTATTGAATAATATTACTTAAAAATATATCTGGGGTAAATCTAGATGAAATACATATTTTTTTAAGAATTCAAGAAGTTTTGAAATATATTTTATAAATATTAAATGTTCAGAAATATATTAATATATTATTTAGCTAATAACAAGAGAGTATTTTTAAAAATCAATCCACAGTTCTATTTACAAAAACAAATATTTAAAACGATTTTGTATTAAATAAAATTTTAGAATTTACTTTCTAACACACAGAAGTGGTAATAAACATCAATGAATGCCTTAAATTCTTTGTAAGGAATAGAGAATAGAGAACTCTCTAAAGGCCGAAATCAGAGTCTCACGAGATAATAATAATAATTTATCCAAGTTTTCTATCTTCATACAAAATTGTATAACAAATTAAAATACAATTTAATGTAGCTTTTGAATCCCAAAACTCAATGCGCATTGATATCGATTATGCAAGGAAAAGAATTAAATCAATTTCATGACTTCCACCATTTATCAATTGAATAAGTTAATTAAAAGCCAATTATGCTAACGACGATCTCGTCGTATCTGGCTGATTTGGGCCCTACCTGTAGAGGGGCTATTCCGAATTAACCCCAAACCACTGCCCAACACAGCACTTGGCTCACAGCACACGGCGTTTGGGCCAACTGGTCTGGCCATTGGTAGCAGTGCATTTTGAAAGTGGTTTGGGGCCAGAGCCCGGCACAGCACAGCACATTGCATAAGTGCACCAAATTCCACTCAACGGCTAAAACCACTTGGCTTTTCTATCTGAATCGGCCGGAGTCTTGTGCTTCGATTTTGCTTTTTTTCTGGCCCAAGCCCGATCATTCTGTGTTGACGTAATGGCCAAACGATTATTGGCCACTTGCTGGGCTCTGGTGGCCAGGTCTGGCCTGGCTTCGATATCGGCTGGCGGGGCGGCTTAATTGAAGCGGAACCTGGTAGTTGGCCAAATTGAATGCCAAAGCAGATACTTGAAATACTTCTAGGCAGTGGAAGCAATGGAATCTTGAGCTCTTTATATTAAGACATTAATTCCGAGGGTTCTTTATTCCATAAATATATTTTAGAAAATATTTCTTGCAGTATCTCTAAATTGATTAATATAGATTTAGATAAAAACTTTACTTTGTTTGCATTTCTCAATTAATTAAGACTCTCTTTATTTTAAAACCCCTTTTTCCCCTTCTCTGTTATCTTTTCAGGTCTCAAAACTCGATTTATTCCACACAGACAAGAACATACATATGGTACATATACAGTATATAATTATTATTTAGATTACGTGTGTGGGGTGTGCGAAGTTGACTGATTTATTTGGCAGTAACAAAGTTGACATTGTCCCCTCTTCTCGCGGACACTTCAGTCGCTGTCTCTCCTCCCGTTCCCTGCAACAGCAGATCCTCCCCGGAGACCTACTTCCTGCCCGTATAGTCGATGCTGTAGGATCCCGTGTACAGGTTGAGGTTCCTCAGAGACGGATGATGCTGCTGCGGCAATCCTGCATAGGGTTGCTGGTGCGGCTGGGGGTTGTAGTAGTTGTTCTGCGGCTGATAGAAGCGGGGCTGCGGGGCCGGGGGATTGTAGTACTGCTGCTGAGGGGGGGCAGGGCTATAGTAGGGTTGCTGGGGCTGCTGAGGGGCATAAGCCTGAGGCTGCTGCTGGTGGCCACGTCCAAAATCATTGAGGCTGAATTTACTGGCCGGCGCTAGGGGCCTGTTGAACTTCTGATCCTTGTAGTAGACGGCCGGATCCTCGCGGTACTGACCATCGTCCAGCTCGTTAGGGCCCAGCGGATACGGATTGCTGTTGGTCAAGGTCGGGGGCGGAACATTGATGTGACTGCCGGCGGGCTCGAAGCCCCGCTTGCTCGCCCCGTACTCAATCTCCCGCACCTTGCCCTGGTCGTCCACGTAGCCGTACTTGCCGTAGACCTCGCCGTTGGCGTACTTGGTCTCGATCTTGAAGCTCTTGTCCGCTGCCTCATAACCGTAGGTGTAAGATCCGTCGTCGTTGTGCTTGTCGATCTGCTTCAGTATGGGCACGGGTGTGGTGTAGTCCTGGTGTTGCGCATACGCACTGTGGGCCGCCACCAGGAGGAGGACAAGGGTTGCGCTTAAGGGCTGTAAGTACACGTAGAAAGACACAGCGCATTTTAGCCAAATAGTAAACAAAGAGATATCAATACGAGATATACATTTGCAGATCTTAGTCACTTTTTCAGGCACACCCAACCGTAAAGGCGGCAATTACTCGGCTCGAACTCGACTCTGGCTTTAATGAGTCCACTTTTGAGCAAGTATTTCAAAATATCTCCAATTACTGGCCGCAATTATCACTTGCCAGACACTCACTCAAGGACAACCGGTTAACTAGACCGCATTCTCGGTAAATCACTGCGCAAATCCACACTTTCCCTCGCGACCTTACCAATTTCATCGTACTGCCGAAATTCGCTTGGGAATTCAATCAATGTCGAGTCGAATTTTCACCAATCTCCGAAATATATTTGTATATTCAAGGCACTGCACTCTAGACGCTCTGCACTTGCACTCGAGACTCTGCGAATCGAAACGACAAACTCGAAAGAAAATCAGGGCGTGCAACGCCTTTTATACCGCCACCAACATTTCGCAAAAGCGCGCCAACGCCAGGGGGAAAAAACTATACAAAAATATGTGCAAAGCTTCGAGCTAAGGCCGAGCCGAAGTCTCTGGATCGGCGATCAGCTGCGATCGAGAAAACGAAACTGAAAACGAACTCCCGATACGAGAACCGAACCGTTCCGATCCGACCTGGCTTGGAATGCAGCATAGAAATCGAAAGCAGTTGGGCGTGAGTACATATGTACACCAACTCACAGCTCACCTGGACAGGTACACACACAGCCCGGGCTGCCCGAGAAGTAATTTCCAATCAGGTTATTAACGTCGTCGCGGCGAATTCTTGGCCAGCAATTTATGCTTCCAGATCGCACCCGCTCACGCATACGCAATGAGACCTCAGTGATCCGCAGTGATGAGCAGAACTTGGCTATTAAATAACATCTATAATAATGTTGTCCCCGAATTTGATAACTTGTTTTTATATTAAAAACAAGATATAGTATACTTATACTATACCTCCAGGTACACACTATAAAAACCCATATCTTTCCCATCTCTAGCAGCCACAGAACCAGAACTTTTGAAAACTGAAAGGTGCGGAAGTCTGTTCACTTGTTTGGCATTTCAATTATGTAAAACGAGCCCCCCCCCCATTCTCCCCATTCAACTGTTAATCGATTGCACTCACCTGCAGGCGGACACCTTACCTGGCTTAGTCACTCACTCACTAACAATAACAATCTGCAACCGCAACAAGCAATTTGACTTCAATTTGCGGCCATTTCTCTAGAGCTGTCAAAATTCACACTTGTGGAGAAGAAACACTAAGACTTGGCCTGTCTGGTCTACTGACCTAGTCAATATGCTTTGGCCACAAAAACAGGTTGCTGCCATTACGTCAAAGAAATGCCAAAAAAAAAAAACAGCAAAGACTTGTTACTAGTTTTCATAAGCGATTTATGACTTTACTTAGTTGCAAATTTTTGAAACTTTTTTAGTGACGTAAGAAAATAATTAATTAAGAACTTTGCCTGTTTTTTGTTTTCTTCTTTGGCTAACCTGAAAAGTAAGTTTATAATTAAAGCGTGTTTACCTCTGCCCAAAGAACAACTCACAAACCACAATTAAAAGTGCTTCCATTAACCCATTAACCAAATAGTCTAATTTAAAACAATTTAAATTCAAAAAGGGTAATTTTTGCACCTGTGACGTTTTAGCTAATTTAGGAAGAAGCACTTAAAAAAATAATTATTAATTAAAAATGTTACTTAAATTTGTATGTATACATTCATAAAAATCATAACCCGTAAATAATTTATATAAGATTAAATCAAATATTAAAGCTCATGAAAATTCTGGAAGCTACCAAGATACACATCTTAGATTGAGATTTTGTGTTGTACAAATCTAGACGGGAGTTCATTAACCCTAAAAACGGCAGACCTTGGTCATGGCTGGCTGCAGGCAAAAATCAACAAAGCTACCCTTCTGACTTCACCTTAATATGCAACTAATTTGCAGAAGCTGTTTCCAAGATATATCCGTAATTCACGTATGTCTGAAAAGGCGATCTATAAAGCCACATAAATCCATCAACAGTTCGGTTTGCAGTCGTCACAATGAGCTGACATTTTTAAATGGTCTTGCAAAACCAGTTTGGCCTCAGCGAAAGTGAGATAATCGCTGGCTAGAACAGATATAATTTTTCTACACTCTACATATATTAAAAAATATATTTATATATATACATATAGGCAGTAAAATAAATGAATCAGTGGTGTTGCCAAAGGTTAATTAATAAACCCAAGCTTGACGCTTTTTCGGGTTAAGATCTTAGACACCCTGTATGAGCCACAACAAGTCTAAGGCTGACAAACTTGTTTACTTACTAATTGTATCCAAAACAGAGCAGGAATAAATAAACTTAATAAATATATAAAACGTCGAAACAAAGAAATGATTTAAAAAGTTGCCCAAATTCGAGCGTTTCAATTTTAAATAAAATTCCCTCGGTCTGTGCAAAATCGTCATTTTGTTCAAGGTACTCGTAGCAGACAGTTCTGTTTTTCGGAAGGAAAAACCCTAGAGAGAGATGCTGATCAAAGTGGCCAAGTTCCTGAGTTTTTTGGTGGCACTGGCAACGGCCACCGAAGCTGCCAAATATCTGGCTGAAAAACGTGAGGCTAAATTAATTGAAATAATAAAGCTAATGAGAATTTATTGTAAAAGAAATCTTTTAAACTTTATGGATATTTTGAGCGACTTTTATCTATAATTCCTGGTATTTTATTTGCTTTAATTTTAGCCGACTTCCTTACCCCTTGCGTCTTGGAGGATGCCAACTTCAATCGCTGCCTGAATGCCAATTTCCAGGCATTCTTCCGTCAGTGGAAAGATGGCATTCCCGGCTATAATGCTGTACCCTCCTTCGATCCCCTCTACATCAAGCGGGTGAAATTCGCCCAGGATGCCAGCAGGACTATAGCTATAAATGCAGATCTAAAGGAGGTCTATGTCACAGGAGCAGGCCAGGCTGTGGTCAAGGAAGCCAGGTAAAACAAGAAATGAAAAAAATTATATAATTAATATTTCCCAAAAATAATTATATATATTCTAAATTAATTTCTGTTATTTTTAAATATATATTCTATTTACTGATATTTTTAGCTACGATCCCCAACGATATGTGGCCAAGGCCTTGATACTTGTTCCGAAGATGCGCTTCACCTTTGAGTACAAGGTCAAGGGTCATGTGGTGGCCCTGAATCTAAATGGGCAAGGCACCGGTTACTTTGAATCTGGTACGTAAAACCCCCTCAAGCCTGGGAAAATAATTTTAAACATAAAAAATTTTCCAGAAAACGCTCTGATTTACCTGGAAATGCATGTGAAGCCGCGGGTCACGCCCGAGGGCACCTTCGCAGATGTCCAGAGCGTAAAGGTCAATTTCCGAGAGATCAAGCAGTTCCACATCGAGCTGAAGAATCTCTTTGGAGGCAACAAGGATCTGGAGGACACCTCCCACCAGCTGTTCAACGAAAACTGGCGCGATTTCTACGAAGTTATGCGTCCTGCAGTGGAGCAAACGGTTAGTGGAGTGCTCCTAGATCGATTCAAGAAGACCTTTAACTATGTGCCAGCCACCTACTTGATCAAAGACTTTCACTAAGGCAAATACACCGAAAGATAAACCCAACACTTTCTTAGTTTTCATTTAATACAAAACTCTGATGACTATAAATGCCATTTTTGGAGTTAAAATTGTAAAAGAAATTAGTTGTAGCTGGTTGTTATTATTTGTTTTAAATTATTCGGTGATAAAGGTATTTTATAAAGCAAAGTTATAGGATTAATTAAGGGTTTTATGAAATAATAATGGATATAAAGAAAGGTATGAAACAACCCCAATTATTTATTACTTATTCTTGCCAAGTTCCAAGATTTAAGATTCAAGATCTAGGGGCAGCCAGGAACTAAGTTAAGTTTAAAACTTAATTAATATTATACTAACCAAATTGCACTTGGCCCCGGCATCATTAAGCTAGCTGTAAGTCGTTACCATGTTGAGAGCTCTCCGAACTCGAATCTCGAAGCTCAGAGTCTCGCTTCTCGAGAATAAAACGCCGGCGCACAGCCAGCCGCTGGCTAGTCGGCGGCTTAGCGTGACACCGTTTGATGCGGCGACTTTTCAGCTACTTAGTTAGTTACTTGCCTAGTTAGTTACTTACTCAGTTAGTTACTTACATCATGAGCAGCACGCGTCTTGGCTGCCTCTGCGGTTGGCTAATTGCCATTATCTTGAGCCTGAACGAGATCCACTTGGAGGTCGAAGCCGTAGCCTATTACACAGAGAAGCGTAAGTTCCATGTGATATAGCTGGATATTGAAATTATCCTGCCTTAACCCCAAACTTCCAGCTGCCTGGCTGCCCTCGTGTCGCATCTACGAGCCGGGCTTCACCAAGTGCTCGACGAACAGCATACAGAAGCTACTGGATCAACTGAATGTGGGCATCCCAGAGGTCTTGGAGCGCTTTGGTCCCTTCGATCCCATGAAGGTGCGGGATATAGTGTTCAAGCAGGACAACAACGAGGTGGCCACCATCAGGGCCAACCTTACCGAGGTGGTGGTCAAGGGATTTGCCAAGACAACGGTCAAGGAGAGTCGGTAAGTTGAAAGATCGATCTATTATCTATTATTTTTATGAATTAAAATTTAATGAAAATATTCTTTCTTTTAATTCTTAACTCCTCCTCAGTGTTAGCAAAAAGGACTTTGGCTGGCAAACCAAAATATATCTTCCCAAGATGAGGCTGGATGGCAAGTACGACATGGCCGGACGAATACTCCTCATACCTCTGAGCGGCTCTGGCAAAATATTCATTGAGATCGGTAAATTAAAATGAATTCCCAAGCGCATAAATATATAAATTTGTTGAAAATTGTGTAATCCGTTATATGTAAATTCAGTGACTCAAGCTCATGTCAATGTTAAACAAGCCGAATTATTCTAACGCATACGTAATTCCTCCCACACAGACGATCTTGACATCTTGCTGTTGACCAAAACCCGTCTGTATGAGAAAGGCGGCTTCACCTTCGACAATGTGACCGCGGTGCGGGCCCAGCTGAACATCTCCAAGGTGCGAACCTATTTGGACAACCTGTTTAATGGCCGTAGCAAGGAGGTGGAGCGCAGCACCAATGAGTTCTTCAACGAGAACTGGCGCGACTTTTACGAGGCCCTCAAGCCACTGATCGTTGAGACTGTGGAGAACATCCTGTACGACGTGATGGGCACGGTGTTCCATCTAATCCCTGCCAACTTTTTTGTTGAAGATATACCGACGCCCCAGCAACTATACGGGCCCAAGCAGGCGGCTTCAGAGGGTAAAAAGATTAGTACCAAATAGAAATCATTTATTCTAGTTTTAAGCTTAGCCAGAGATGTGATTAAATCGGCAATAAAAATAGCTATAAACCAAAAGAGGGGCCAGTGTCTCGCTATTCCACAGGAAAATCCAGTTTCAGTTGTCTATTGAATACAAAGTAGGCGTCTTGATGGAAATCCCAAGTGAAAATGTTTAATTATTAATTAAATATTGAGATTGTTGTGGGTTTATTTGTCTTTTAAATAAATATTGAGATTATCATGGGCTTGTTGCCTTTGAAGATCAGGCACGAATAACGTCCGCCTTCTTGGCTGAGAAGTAGACACCAAACTGCTTCTCTGCAAGAATATAATGTAATTCAATTGAACATTGAACATACATAGTTTAAATAGTTTGATAACTTACCTCTGTCATCCACTCGATACGAATGCTTCTTAAAGATGTAGCACATCAGCAGAGCTATGACCAGGGACAGGCTGGCTGCCACTGCCACAATGGAGATGAACAGCCACTTGAGGTGGTTTCTTTGTCTGGATGAGCCCAAATACTGAGACCCGTCTTGGGGCGACTGACACAGATACCCAGCCGCTGGCAGTCCGCCGTCGTAGCAAGCGCACGTTCCTGGGGACTCGCAGTAACCGTTGATGCACTCCGTTTCGCAGATGGGTAGGCAAAGGAGGAGATCATCTTGATCCCCGTGCAACTTGTAGCCGTTGCCACATGTGCACTCCTCATCGAGGCAGGTGCCATTCCGACAAAATTGTTCACAGTCATTCTGGGGGGATTTTGTAGTCATGAGAGAGGGAGGAAAAGTGGGATCTGTGGCTGCCACCTCCAGAGGCAGACAGCTGACAGAGGAAGAGTCGTAATAAAAACCCTCTGCACAAACTGGAACGCAAGTCGTATCCGACTCCCTTAAGAAACCTTCCTTGCATAAACACACTCCTGGAGAGGAGCAAAAGCCATTAATGCACTCATCCTTACAGGTGGGGGAGCAATTATTAGCAGCTTCCAGATGGTAACCTTCAGGGCAGGAGCATACTCCTGGAGCGGCACAGAATCCGTTCCGACAGCCCGGATCGCAGAGAGGGGCACACTTGTTCTCAGCACTCATCTCGTATCCTTCGTTGCAGGTGCACTTTCCAGGAGAGGAACAGTATCCATTCTCGCATTCCTCTCTGCAGACTGGCTCACATTTGTCCTTAGTATTCATCTTGAATCCTTCGTTGCAGGAGCATTTACCAGGAGAGAAACAGTATCCATTCTCGCATTCCTCGTTGCAGACTGGCTCACATTTGTCCTTAGTATTCATCTTGAATCCTTCGTTGCAGGAGCATTTACCAGGAGAGGAACAGTATCCATTCTCGCATTCCTCGTTGCAGACTGGCTCACATTTGTCCTTAGTATTCATCTGGAATCCTTCGTTGCAGGAGCACTTTCCAGGAGAGGAGCAGTATCCATTCTCGCATTCCTCCCTGCAGACTGGCTCACATTTGTCCTTAGTATTCATTTTGAATCCTTCGTTGCAGGAGCATTTACCAGGAGAGGAACAGTATCCATTCTCGCATTCCTCTCTGCAGACTGGCTCACATTTGTCCTTAGTATTCATCTTGAATCCTTCGTTGCAGGAGCATTTACCAGGAGAGGAACAGTATCCATTCTCGCATTCCTCGTTGCAGACTGGCTCACATTTGTCCTTAGTATTCATCTTGAATCCTTCGTTGCAGGAGCACTTTCCAGGAGAGGAGCAGTATCCATTCTCGCATTCCTCCCTGCAGACTGGCTCACATTTGTCCTTAGTATTCATTTTGAATCCTTCGTTGCAGGAGCACTTTCCAGGAGAGGAACAGTATCCATTCTCGCATTCCTCGTTGCAGACTGGCTCACATTTGTCCTTAGTATTCATCTTGAATCCTTCGTTGCAGGAGCACTTTCCAGGAGAGGAACAGTATCCATTCTCGCATTCCTCTCTGCAGACTGGCTCACATTTGTCCTTAGTATTCATCTTGAATCCTTCGTTGCAGGAGCATTTACCAGGAGAGAAACAGTATCCATTCTCGCAATCCTCGTTGCAGACTGGCTCACATTTGTCCTTAGTATTCATCTTGAATCCTTCGTTGCAGGAGCACTTTCCAGGAGAGGAGCAGTATCCATTCTCGCATTCCTCCCTGCAGACTGGCTCACATTTGTCCTTAGTATTCATCTTGAATCCTTCGTTGCAGGAGCATTTACCAGGAGAGAAACAGTATCCATTCTCGCATTCCTCGTTGCAGACTGGCTCACATTTGTCCTTAGTATTCATCTTGAATCCTTCGTTGCAGGAGCATTTACCAGGAGAGGAACAGTATCCATTCTCGCATTCCTCGTTGCAGATTGGCTCACATTTGTCCTTAGTATTCATTTTGAATCCTTCGTTGCAGGAGCATTTAGCAGGAGAGGAACAGTATCCATTCTCGCATTCCTCGTTGCAGACTGGCTCACATTTGTCCTTAGTATTCATCTTGAATCCTTCGTTGCAGGAGCACTTTCCAGGAGAGGAGCAGTATCCATTCTCGCATTCCTCCCTGCAGATTGGCTCACATTTGTCCTTAGTATTCATCTTGAATCCTTCGTTGCAGGAGCATTTACCAGGAGAGGAACAGTATCCATTCTCGCATTCCTCGTTGCAGACTGGCTCACATTTGTCCTTAGTATTCATCTTGAATCCTTCGTTGCAGGAGCATTTACCAGGAGAGGAACAGTATCCATTCTCGCATTCCTCCCTGCAGACTGGCTCACATTTGTCCTTAGTATTCATCTTGAATCCTTCGTTGCAGGAGCATTTACCAGGAGAAAAACAGTAACCGTTCTCGCAACTGCCGGCGCAGAGCGGAGAGCAGACGCTGTCTTGCATATCGTATCCCTCGTTACACTCACAGATCCCGGGCGCCGTGCAGTTGCCGTGCATGCAGCCATCGTCGCAGGTGGGCACACACCGCTTCTCGGCATTCCGGTGGTACAACTTGTTACACTCACACAAGTCCGGCGCCCGACACACACCGTTTCCGCAGCCGTTCTTGCATACCGGCTGGCACTGAAAGGAATTGAAGTTCGGCTTAGGCTCATAACCCTGCTGGCACTCACAGCGATTGGGCGCCGCACAGAATCCATTCTTCCGGGCGCAATCGTCCTTACAGCTGGGCAGGCACACCTGCGTGGTGGGGTTGAGGGAGTAGCCCTCATTGCACCTGCATCGGTTGGGATCCTCGCAAACGCCATTAGGGCAGCGGCTGGGACAGATGGGCAGGCAGTTGCCGGTCTTCGGGTCCAGGACATGGTTCTTGTGGCAGGAGCAGCGGTTTGGCGACTTGCAGATGCCACGATTGCAGCCCTTGCAGAACGGCACACAGCTGTGGACAGAGAGGATACATTAGAGATACATTCTGACGGAAATAATTGGGGAATTCATCAACGGGGAGGTATCCCTAGGATCGTGCCTGATACACATGGATTTCCAAACTGAATTTGTTCGAAATCGGGATGGGATTTTCTTCATAGAATTCTTTATAAAATAATTTCATAAAAACGCTTGATAAGTATAATTTACTTGATATCAAGGCCACAAAAAAATTTTTTAGCAAGATAAAAAATGAACTTTAGGATGGAAGCGATTCATATGATTCATTCACACCGAACTATGTACTCATATTATTTATGATAAGAAAATTGAAACGTATAATTTGACTTATGAATGCCACAAATATGATATAATTGTTGTTTTATAACGATCTAAGTAGAAGAATTGTGTAAGTATTTAGTATGCATTAGTATTATGCATCCTGTTTCCGTTGTTACTCACCGATTCGACTTCAGATTATTTAAGTTAGTGTAACCCCTGTTGCAGGTGCACTCATTCGGTTTCGTGCATCTTCCACTTCCGCAGTTCACAAGGCAGGTTGCTAAGCATCTCAGTCCCTTCTTGAAACTCGTGTCTCTTCTGTAGCCGGGACAGCAATAATTTATTTTTTTTTGCTTAATCAAAATTAATAGGGAATTAGCTATTAGAAACAAATTAGCATTGCTAGACTAACTATGCGTTTTCCATTGACAGTTTCCGGATTTATCTTCGAACAGATCTGGGCAGCGGTTAGGCCACAGAGTAGGCAAAATATTACTAGTTTGCCAGTCCACATGGTAGCCTTACAAGTTTCAACTTAAAACTAAAGAGACCTCGCCAAATATAAAATCGCAAGAGCCTCTTTTTCTGCGATCCTACATATACATAAGTATACATATACTTGATACAGGGCCTCTCATTGAAGAAGGCTTATCGGTCTAAGACCACGAGTAGAGCGTCGCAGCTGGGAAAAAAATGTACCAAGCTTGGGAGTCGGGAGACAGAAGACGAAGTCCGAAGGCTTCTGTTTCTTATCATCACCCGCGGGATGCACTCTCTTTATATACATTCTAATGACTAAACATATATAATAGATTTAGATATGTATAAGACCTTAAAAGTAAGAGAACCTATAAGAAGTGTATATAAATAATCTCTTAGAAAGCCTATCAAATGCGAAACAAGAACCAAGGGAATTCTTGACATATCAACAAGGCCGCGACATCGTTAGGGAATCAGAAAAGCAGCGCCATATAGCAGAGCATATAGTATATTCACTGCACTATAGCAGTACAAAGTTCTCGGATTTCTATTTGTCATTTTGACGAGCGAGAAGCATTGAGATTGCTTACAAAGATGCTGCCGCCTCTCCATTTAATGATTTTATTATGGCAGTTAAAGTTTTTTATTTCACCTGACTCGAAGCAATTAAGTTTGTGAGGTTCCAGTATGAATACAAGTACGAGTTCGAGTATTTGTGCAAACATTTTTTGCTTTGCCTTATACACATGCCCATGTAGTTGGCGTATTTTCCAGCCAGATATTAAATTAGCTTACCGGTTCGGCGGCAAGGTGAAGTCGCTACAGTTTCAGAGCTGCTGGTTACAACAGCAATAACAGAAGCTAGTAACTAGTACACTGGGAGAAAGTTTTATGTTGTGTTTTTATCTACTTATGTCATTTATAATTATTATTTAAATAATTTCAAGTTTGTATATAATTGAATTTTATGAACTTCTGTTTATGCCACTATGACATATAAAATTCTAGATAATACCTTTTTTAAATAAATATTTTTGAGTGCACAAAACTCGTACTTTATATGCATTTATAAATATGGAATAAATTGCATTTCATAGTGCGAGTAATTGAAAATTGCTTGATTCTGGTATTACCCAAAGGCCTCATGCTCAATTCATCAAATGCTCCCAAGTCGTAGGCTATATATACATACATATATAGTTCAGATAAAAGCAAACACCGTTCCCAGTTGTAACTCATTCGTTTCTGGCGCGCGAGAAACTCGATTAGGCAGCCGCCTCTAGAGATTCCCATTGTGACACAGTGAGAGTGATTCCGAGACTGATTCTAAGAGTGAGAGTGACAGTGACGACCACTTTCCACGATGCACATAATTGGCTTACTGATACTGCTCCAGGCCGGCCTCCAGGGAATCGAGTGTGTTGCATTCTACACGGAAAAGCGTAAGTGAGTTGTATAACAAATTCAATTTTAAACGAAAAAGTAGAAGAAAATTCATAAAAAAAAGTATATAATAAAATAACTGGCTTTTAGATAAATTTATAATAAGAAAATTAAAAATTTTCTAGCCTCCTACATAGAGTCCTGTCGGATTTATGAACCGGAGTTCACAAAATGCTCAACCCGCTCCATTCAGGCCTTCATGAACCAGCTCATCAAGGGTAATTCCTCTCTTAATTACTAGATAATAAAGAAAATATATTCCATATTATATATATTTTCCAGGCATTCCTGAGATTCAGGAATCTTTTGGCCCCATCGATCCCATGCGGCAGGATCAGCTGGTGTTCCAGCAGGACAACAGCGATGTGGCCACCTTGGCGGCCAATCTCACCGAGATGAAGATCCGCGGCTTTGGCCAGATGGTGATCAAGGAGAGCAAGTGAGTTTGGCATCGATCAAAAGCTGATTAAGGTCGTTGTCGACTTGTTAGCTTTCCTGAAATGATCTTTAGACGTAAAATTGGAAACTAATTAGTAGCCTTTTAAAACGATTTAAGGCTGTAATAATTTTGTTTAAATATAATTAATTAATAATTGAAAATGGCTTTGTTTTTTAAAAGCATTTAGTTCCATAAATGTATTTGAACATATGATACAAATATTTATTCCTTGAAAATTAAATATTTTGACTGAAAAAATTAGCCTAATTAAACTTAAATCAATTTAATTTATTATACATTTTCTTCCAGAGTAAGCAAAAAGGACTTTAGTTGGCTGACAAAGATCTACCTGCCTACGATGAGCATGGATGGCATGTACAAGATGGTCGGTCGTATTCTGCTGGTGCCCCTTCATGGTGCCGGAAAGATCTCCATGAAAATAGGTACAGTAAATGCATTAAAGCAGAACCTGCCCCTCCTTATTAACCGTGTCTATATTGACAGATGATCTGAACATTCTGATGAGCACTAAGACCCACCTGTACGAGAAGGGCGGCTACACCTTCTACAACATAACGTCCGTTAAGGTGAAGCTGGAGGTGGGCAAGGTGTATACCAACATGGAGAACCTGTTCAATGGACACAGCAAGGAGGTGGAGAAGAGCACGAATCTGTTCTTCAACGAGAACTGGCGGGATCTGTTCGAGGCACTACGACCCTTGGTGGACGAGACCGTGCAACGAACCCTTCACGACTTGCTCCACAAGACATTCTCCATATTCCCTGCCAGCTTTTTCGTGGAGGATATACCCAACTCCCTCACCCTGTACGGTCGCAAGTCGCAGATGATCAGTCGGAGCAGTCCCTGAACTTTGCATTAAAACTATCTTTTCACTCTTTGAAATGTATTTAGTATTCTTGATTGGTGAAGAGGAGTAAATCCCTCTTCGCGAGCGGTTAGATTAGTTCTGGCTGTTAGTGTAACTTAATAAATGCTTAATTTAGAGGTATCCTAATATGGGATGGCACACTGCTCCTCCTCCTCCTCGCCGGCGTCGAGTGTTCAGTAGAACCAGTCGTACTTGAGATAGTCGCCCTCGTGCTTCAGCGCCGCAATCGAGGTGTGACGCACGTGGCCGGTGCGAGCGAAGATCCGCCGGTTACCCACCGGCTGCAGGGTCCGGAAGTTGTCCACCAGCGCCCCATCCTGGGTGTCCGACAGCTGGCGGAAGCGGGAGATTTGTTTGGGCGAGATGGGGATGGGGTCGGGGAACAGGATCCAGGTGACGGCCTCCGAGCAGGGCGGCGTGGTCAGGGAACCTGCAAGTGATTGAAAGGTGGAGTTAGGGTTGTGTATAGATATTGATATTCTCTACGATTGCTAGCTGGGCTGATATCACAAAGATTAGGATCACTTGTAGACATCGATTCGCTGTCAGCTAATAATCATCAGCTGCTAAGAAGCTCTGGAAGTCTGCCCTGAATGACAATTGCCACTGAGGCGCTCCCTCTTGGATCTGATAATTGTTTTCTCTACTTTGAAGTGAATCATCTCCTAATAATTTTCTTCCCTGTACCTACCCTTGTAAGTGTAAAACTTGTCCACATCCACGCCGGCAATAAGCGATGATAGCGAGAAGGTGACGTTGAGCGTGGCCTCCTGGTTGGCATCGGCAATCAGATGCAAGTGCCGGTTAATGGTCACCAGACCCTGGCCCTCGTCCTCATCCAGCTGTGCGGGATAGAGAGTTTACATATCATTCGGCATGAGTCCGCCTCACCCTACTCACATTGAAGAAGAAACCCAGAACGGCGGCTCCATCGGGATGATTGAGGGCCTCGCCAATGGTGGCGTACTTCTTGTTCCGATGCACAATGTGCATCTCCATGGTGTAGCGGATGTCGTTGATGACATGCTCGGACCCCCGGTTGTTCTTGTCGCCCCAGTGGAAGTGCAGACCCTCGATCTCGAACTCCCCGGGCAGCTTGGCGCCCCGGATGTAAGGCAGAAAGTCCTCGCCCACCTCGCTCACATTGACCTTGGGTATGCCAATGGAAACTATTTGGAGAACAAGAATTTAGGTTAGTTTATGAGTAATCAGAGTTCCTATTATATTACTCACCCGTGTGTCCATTGTTGACCATTTTCAGGGGATACGGCAGAAGGTTGTGGTAGCCAATCATGTCCACCGCCGGCATGTGGACGGATATCGTCTGTAGAGGTCAACAAATGCTAATTAAGTTTGTCTGATTGCGTTCTGGATTCAGGCAGGTCTTACCCGGCTGGTGGTGATGGCAATGGGAGATTGGGTCTTCCCGGCACAGTGGCCATGATGACGAGCCCAGCGACGCTGGTTGGGCTCGGAGTAGCCGAAGACATGGCTGTTGACGGCTGGAAAGGAGTTAAGTTATGATTAATTACATTAGGGTTTGATTTTTAAATTATTTTACATTTTTTAAAACGATTTTTTTCTATTTCTAATTTCTTCGATAAATCAAATCTTAAAAAAAATCATCATCATCATCATCATCAGAAAAATTTGAATTTTGTTTCGGAAAGCTGTACTGAGTTGGTTTTTATAAGGATAATAGAAATGCATATAGCAGTTAATTTTTTTTAAGTAAAATTTATACCATTATGCAACAATTGTGAAATTGATAATGGATTATTTTTTGAAAAATCAAAACTTAAATATACATAGCTAATTTAAAAAGGCATCCATCTCAATTCGGAACGCTTTTCTATGCTAGTTTTTTCCAGGTTAACAAATCGGCATACTACATTTTAAATTTTAAGAAATCAAAAATTTTTCGATTTTTAAGAATTTTAACTATGTAACCCCTTATCAAATTTTGAAACAAAAAGTTCAAAAAAAATTTTTTTTCCCAAACATATCTAGATAGATTCTCCTGTTGATGCTGATCAAGAATATATATACTTTTTAGGGTCAGAAATGACTTCTTCAGCAGTGAAGCAAGCTTCCGACTAAAATTATAATACCCTGCAGTGGTATATATAGCATTTCCATCAACAAAAGTTAATGTTTATTAACTTAAAGTTGAGCTAAAAATATAGGCCACACGTCAAAAGGTTCTTAATTTCAAATTGAATTGGTTTTTTTAGTGAGAACTTGTTAATATTTAAATACCCAATACAAATTTATTGTAGAATATTAAGTATTAACTTTAAGGGTTTCCCTTTTTAAAACCAAATCAAACATTTTATTTCCGCTAGCCTAAAGCTGCTATTTATATAAGCATTAGCTCAGGGCTTACTGGTTTCCCCGAAAATAAAGTCACCATCAATTTTCCATAGGAATGCGAACCTTAGTCCTTAATCGGACAAATTAAAGTGCTTTCCCCCAGTTTGCAGACAGCCACCGTCAGGCGCAATCTGGAATCTCGGAGCCCGAACGATGGATGAGTGATCACGTGCCCCATGCGGGTCTTTCAACCCCTCCGCACTTGACCTTCTCCCGTGCGTTTTCCGGGGCTATCTCTGACATATACGAGCACTTGTGAATTACGGAATAACAAATGGGGAGGCAAGCCAATATTTAACGACTTCTTTCTTTTTTTAGTCAATGGCTGAGCAAATAACTAAAGTAAGTAAAAAATAAGGAAAGCGCGCCGGAGAGTGTGAGCGTCAAGGGCACTGCGCGGTAATAATAATTAGATATCGTTGCGATTGATATTGATATATAGTAAGTAGATCTAGATAATGGCGGGCGCAAACAATTTTCATTATTTTCCATGGAATCTTTTGCAAGGCGAAAGGAAAGCGCTTATTTAAAGGCTAATTTGCATGTGATTGGTGATAATTTCTGTTTGCAGAGCTCCCGGCTCGGAATTAACGTATCATATGACAGGCACCACACACACACACTTCTGATGAATTGCTCTAATTAGGTGTTTATTTGTAATAATATAATATATTATAATATTTATTTCAGGCCTTAGATAATGTATATTGCTTAAAAATTAGTTTCTTGTCAGGTATGGCCATCAGCAGTCATACATACATATTATATAGATATTAATGTTGTAATCAAACTTTAAATTTAAAAGCCTCTGAGCCTGTTAGTAGTTAAGATAGTAGACCGTCTAGACGGCAGATGTTCATTTGACTGTATGTAAATATTATTTATAGAGCTTCCTTTCGGGGCACAACTATTTGCATATTGTGATAGGCTGCGTAGAACAGAATGGAACTTCAACACCTAAATCAAGTCGGCCAGCAATAAAATGTCTTAATTGACAGCTTCAAGTGGAATAAACACCATTAAACTGGTCGAAATTAGTTTCGTGAAGTGTGTACTTATGGCTGCTAATGCCCAGATCCCCCTAATATCAGGTATTGACATTTCGTAACTGATATGGGCTAGAGTCACACGCGTTTCGAGAAGAGCTCAGTACAGAGAGAGAAATAAAATGATTGAGTTCGTTCCTAATTGTATAAATATAATAGTCAAAGGATTTTATAAATTATCTTTGAAATGGTAATTTTGTTGGTATATGTGTGGAATGTTAAGGAAAATATTTTATTAATATATTCATTGTGCAAGAATTATATAAAATAATAATTAATTATCTAAGAAATTCACGCAAGACATTATTTTTTGCTTTTAAATACTATTTTTATAATTACTACTATTTTTCGATTAATCAGCTCTATTATATTAAAGATAAATCTATAAGAATTTATATTTAATTGTGAACTTATTTATTGGAAATTTTACTTTTCCTATTAATATACAAGCCTTTAAAAACTTTTCTAATTATGTCACTTTTCTTACTTATACAACCGGAATGTACTTAAAATTTTTGACTGTGCACTCTTATACAAGAAAATACCCTGCAGCTATGACTATACCGAGTAATACGTAGTCACAGGAACTTCGCCCGAATAGATATCGATTTATGGTTATTACTGTTTTGCTTCAAAAATAAATATCTGCACACCTTGAACCCCCGCACACAGGTGACTCAGGTAAAGGATGACGTTGAAATATTTCACAGGAATCTGCAAATATAATTACCTTGCGTCCAGCAGAGCACCAAAAGCAAAACCTCGCAGATAAGGGCAAACTTCATTATGATAGATGATGGGTAGATTCTCTGAAGAGGACTCCTGGCTAGAGGGAGAGCGGGTATAGCACCTTACGATCGGGTGACAGATTCTAGACTGCGCGGACGATTCGCTGGCGGAGCACCTTCACAACTTCGTCAACGAACTACTTGAAAATTCGAAAGCTAAAATCCCCGCCCGAAGCGCGTGCACCGCACACAAACACACTTGCGAGTCGCACGAACGCCCGACGACGACGACGACGATCGATCGATATATGGGATCGGATCGGATAGGAAATGGAATGGGTATAGTAGAGGGCATAGTGCAGGCCAAGCCACTAAGTCACCCCACTTAGGCCTATAGCCTGCACCACCCGGCGTATACTTAACGCCCCGCCACACGGCGTATACTTAACGTGGCCAAGAAGGAAGCCAATCGCTCGCCGCCCTTGTCGATCAAATTCCCTTTTCCATTTCTGCTGCCAAAAAACTCGTCATAATTCGCACCTAATGCCGCCGCCACAGCCAAAGTGGTAACTGCCTTCGATCATTTCTGATAATATTTTGTTTTGCATACACAATTTGCCCGATTTATTATTTATTTGCTCGCCGTTCGCTGTTTTTATGTTCTGCTAAGCGTTACTAAGCCAACGAGTCAACGCGACGACAACGTCATGCCGAAAGTTGCTAATTGGAAGCGGGGTCCTCACAAAAACCAGGCGATCGATCGCCATCGAGGCAAGGTGGCATATTCATTGAGCGATTTTTCGCACGTTTTACAGTTTCGATTCGAGAGCTCTGGGAGTTTCATTATTTCGATCTCTGTAACGTCGTCGTTACACTTGCCCAGAACGGCAGTTCGTGATCCACATGGCGAATGTGTGTAACTATTTGGAGCAGAGGCACTCTGATATCTATTTATATCTTTATGGTGGTCACACGAACTCGGATATATTTGCCATTGAATTGTCCAGACAGACATTCAAGTGCCAAGGCTCAGACAGTCCATAAAACTAAGTGAATCCTCGTGATGGATGCCGAGGGAAAGCAACCAAAGGTTTCAATAAAAAATTATATCAGTCAGAACTATGCTCATAGGGAGAGTTTATTCGCCAAGGTTGGGCCCGTGTTTTGTTTTCGATTTGCTATTTAACCGCAGACGTACAAAATGGTGCATTTATATAGCGATTATTAACTGTAAACAAAGTTTTCCAGGGGCCCCAACTTACGCAATTTTCAGTGGCCCAACCTAAACAGTAAATACAAGGGTATGTCTTTTATCGGAGTTATTTATGAATGAAAATTAAATAACAGTAGGTGAATTGTGCTTTTTTGATTTTAATATATGTAAAAAGTACTTTGTACCTTTTTTTTAAGGACGAAAACTAGAATTAAAAATTTACTCAGCCCCAAAAGGTTTTCCATTGTATAAATCCACTCCATAATTAAAAAAAAATAATTTAATAATAATTTAATAATGGCTGGAAATTTATATGCTTTTATATGCAAATATTGTATTTCCTATTAAAATTATGCCAGATCTTCAAAAAAAATTTTAGTTTACTGACATAAACGAGACTAAACTAAAATAAATATTAAAAAAAAAGAACACATTACCAGCCAATCCAATCCAATTAAAATCAGTTAATCTTATTTTGCAAATAATTTGCTTACCGGTTCTAGTCGGTCCGTTCAGCTTCAGTAGCAATCAGCGGGCTTTCCCATTGCTAATTTAATTGTTTGAACACGATATTGTGCGGAGAGCCGATTGCCCAAAAAGGTGTCAATATTTGTCAGAAAATAATCGCATGATTATCACATGAGCGGCAGAGATGGTTGGAAAAGGAGGAACTCCTCCGCGCCGATTGATATGATATGTTATAGAATGCAATTGATTATGCAAACGTCAGGCAACGGAATATCTTAAATATTTGCTATCGATCACTAAGTCCACACAACGCCATCGAATCGATCAATAACGCCGGGAGTAGTTCATCAATATCGCAGTGTGTTTTATCTGAGGCTCACGTGCCAGCAATTAGCAACATTTAGCCGGAGCTGTTTGTTGTTTATCTTGGGTCCGGGACTTGCGAAATTCATAGTTCGTAGATGAAGACGCCAAGATAGGCTAATAAAAGGCTGTAACAAAGCACAGATCACACTTAAAATGCTCCGCGAGTCGCAATAACTCAATTATTTGGCTATAATAAAGCAACATCAAATCGAATCGAGACGATTTTACGAGCGATCTGGTAACTAGACGTGCTCCCTGCATGATAAATACTTAAAAAGACATTAAACGAGGCGCTGGAACACGAATCCCCGAATACCAATCAATCTCACGGGTACACACTCTATCGCCCAGATTTTCATAGAAGGCGCACCTGCGCATCCGTGCCGGGAATGCCAACCGTGCGCTACAGTTTTATCAATTAAAAACACCTAGACTCGGCCAAGGAATCCGCGCGGAATACTCTATCAGTGCCTGCGATCGAATATAGCGCTGGCGTCATCCGAAAGTCCGACAAACATGTCAATTCCGGCGACACTTGAGATTTATTTTTGGCCAGAATAGCAACTTCTCCGTCATGAATGGCTTAAAAATAGCAACATTGCTTATCAGGCCATAATTGATTGGCTGGGAAACGCAATTGGATGCTCAATCAATACTTCAGCCTTATCAATTGTTTTTCCCCTATCTTTCGTTTACATCTCGTTGCATATTTTTCCGGGCAGCCAGCGCCTAAAAGATGCAACACAGCTTCCGTCGAAACGTACAAAAATCTTTATTACAAATATGCAATGCACTTAGGTAGGTTATAAATTACAAGATAATAAAAATAATAATTATAAATGATGGTAAATGACTTTTCTAAACAATATGCAACAAATTTTGGGATAAGGAACTGCTAAAAATGGCAAATATCGTACTGAAAATTGCAACTTTGGCAACAGTTATGGCTTACTTTGGTTTCGAATTTACAAAATCAATGCAAATTAAATGCTACAAAATGCTAAAGAGGGTTTTGACAAAACTAACAACTACTATTCGATGAGTTTGCACTTTAGGTCAACGTTTGTCATGATTTATAAATATAAATGTATAGAAATATGAAGTAGAATTGACTTCCTGCTCCAAACCCTATCTTCTTTTTCGCTTTTTTTTTTGTGTTTTTTTGGTTTTCAGGTTCAACGAGTCCAAATTCTTCGCCAACCATCCATTTAGTATTAGGTATAGAGAGAGAATTAATAGCTGGCAAGTCAGAGTGATGTTTCACTTTTTCTTTTGTGTTTTTGGTAGGCAGTTTAGTCCTGCTTCTCCTCTTTGGCCGACATGAAGAGCTTCTGGCAAGTGAAGGTCATCGAGTCTATAAAGGAAGACAAAGAGCCATACAATAGTTGGACAATTGGGGGTTACTTGGTTGGCGTCAATGCTCACCAATCGCCTGCTGCACCCATTTGGGCTTATTCTTCCACACGACGCCGCCGTAGTAGAAAGGTATGCCAATTAGGGTGATTAGTACCCCCATGCCGACCTCGTAGGGCGCCACATAGATGGGCACGACGACCAGAAAGGCGCACACTATGACGAATAGGGCGGGTATCCACACGGCGACCTGTTAAAACATTGAAATTGTTGAAAGAATTTGAAATTGAAGAAGAAAAAATTGAATTTTAAATAAATATATAAATATTAATATTACAGAACACCTCTTTTAAAATTTCTCTTTTCATAGAATAAAGACAACAACAACAAACAGCCTAAAAAACTAGCCAATTTTGGCAACTCCCATCAACCCAAACTCACCTTAATGGGCCGATCCATGCTGGGCCTGGTGTAACGGAAATAGAGCACCGCCGACACCGACAGCATTATAAAGAACGATTCCACAATGCTGGCGTAGGTGATCAGCACATACACATCGCTCACCACCAGCATCACAATGGAGAGAAAGCACTGCGAGTGGGACAAAAACCAAATCAATTAGGGATTAATTACGTAATACATCTTTTGTGCGCTAATTGAGGGGCGCAGCGCTCACCAGAAACACGAGCGAAGGCAGCGGGGTGTAACTCTTCACGCTGATGTGCGACAGTATTGCCGGCATATGCCCATTGCGGGCACCCACAAAGCAGATGCGGGAGGAGGTCATGATGTGCACGGAGAGGCCGCCAAAGGCCGATATAGCCACCATGATGGGAATGACCAATGAGAAGGCGCCGAGAATTTTATCCCCAAAGGTCTGTGTACGAGAGGGGGAGAACAATTAAAATCTGTTGACAAAGTCGATCAATTGCGTCTCTCAGATCAAATGAATTAACATTTAAAAGCTATAAATAGTCCAGAAAATTGCTCAATTAAAATTCTACAAGCTAAACCCTAGTTCGAGTTAAAGTTCAATCGTTCTCTGATATGTTTTTCCGCCTTATCTGATCGAAAAGGGGATCAGGGTCCCCTGTATACTCACCACAGCGATAGCATTGGAGGCTATCATCTCGGTGGGCGAAAGCACCGCCAGATAGGCCATGTTGGCCAGCACATAGATCCCGGTGACTAGAGGCAGTGAAATGTAAATGGCGCGCGGCAGATTGCGGTACGGATCCCTTAGTTCCTCGGTCATAAAGTTCAGATAATTCCAACCGGCATACGAAAAGATGCCCGAGTAAAAGGCCACCGACAGCTTGCCGGGATCAGTCTCGGTGTTCTCGAACGGCCTCTCAAAGTTCTCCACGTTGCCCATGAACATCCAAACCAAGCCCACGATGATGATCATCACTAAAGCGGCGATTTTGGTGAACATGATAATGTTCTGCATCTTGGTGGTGACTTTCATGTAGTACGAGTTCAGGTAGGTGAGGAAACAGATCGTTATGGCCGCTAGCAGCTGCAGGGCCGCCTTGGGTATGTGACAAGCGCCGCCAAAGAAGGGTTCCAGCACATACGAGGCGAAGGTCAGGCCCATAATCGCATTGGTTGTGGGTCTGCAAGAGATAAGGATACATAATCAGTGGAAAATTTACTGACTGCAGACTGCATGTTTATTTCGATTATTTTCGCATGCAACAAATGGAAAAAACAAATATTTTTGCTTATCACAAGACTCGAAATGTCAAAAATAGCTGGCAATAAAACGGTTAGTGCAGCACCAGCGGAACTGCCCCAATAAATAAGTGTACAGAGTGTAGATTACGGGAGATAAGGCTTCACTTTCTATGTTAAACAACCTTGCTTAACCAGCTAAATGAATCCCACTTTCTAGCCTAGACAGGGTCTTATCAAGGAAAGTGCCTTGAACTTGACCCTGTCTTTGAAATGAGAACACCAAAGACAAGAGCGAAGACACAGAAACCCAGCACTAAGGGTTTCTTTGCTTGTAGAAATTGTAAGCTCTGAATCTCTGACAAAATATCAATATCATTTTGATAAGGAATTATCAAATAATTATCTCTTTTGTTATGAAACCTATAAACATATGTATTCCTATTTATAATTATACTGATAACCAAATCAATCAGCATTTAAGGGATTTTTACATACAAAATTTGCCATGAAAAAAAGTAAAAAATAAATTTATAAAAAAAAATGTTATAAAAATCCTCAAAAAGAATAACTAAATCAAATCTTCAGCAAAACTCACACAAATATCATCATGGCATCCCAGAGATATAGAAAGGCCGGCAACGATCCATACGCCTCAAAGATGTAGGCATAATCCCCGCCAGACTTGGGTATCGCAGTGCCCAATTCCGCGTAGCACAGAGCTCCGATCATGGACAGCAGACCGCACAGAACCCAGATGACCAGCGATGTGCCCACCGATTCCACCTCCATAATCACACCCTTGGGCGAAACAAAGATCCCGGATCCGAAAATAATGCCCAGAATGATGGCCACGCCTTCAAGCAGGCCCAGCTGCTTCTTGATCACCACACGACTGCTGTCCGATTCAGCAGATCCTTCGCGGTTTTGTGACGGTCCGGGTGGCTGACTAGACGGATTAGTGCTGTTGCTGGAGGGCACTATGCTGGATGGTGGGTTCCCTGAGCTCGGTGTGAGGAGGACCATTTCGCTCGAAGGCGACTGCAATTCATCGGAGATGGCCATGGTTCGATATTAGCTGGAAGGGAAAGAACACAGGAAATAAAAAAAACCGTATATATTAAATGGAATTTAAGGGAAAGCTATTGTTTTTGGTAGAATATGTATAATATTTACAATACTTTACTGACAATTTAGTCAAAGAACAAACTTAGAAGAATTAAGAGAATTACTTTAGGGAAAAGCTGAATAGCTGAATTCTATAAGATAAACAGATACTTAGGAGATATTGCATAGGATTTAAAGAAAACTCTGAAATTAGGAATCTCTCCAAGGATAAAAATATAAAAAAAAGGATTTAAACCAATACGAATAATTAAAAAATACTGCAACCAAAAAGGGTATGACAGGTCGTCTATAGATTCTCCTTCTCTTCCTTTGGACCGATAAAATACTTTGATATCCTTATCCTGGGGCGAGCGAAGGAGCTCTCGCCGGTGACACAATCTTCGCACGCGACGCTTGGAAACGAACTGGAACTGGGAATCTCTCTGGCCGTTGTCCCGTTAATTGATTAAACGAGGCAAGTGTATTTGTGGGTGTGCCTCACTCGCTGACTGGTGTGTGGGTGGGTGTGTGCTTCCCCGGAGAGTGTGTTTATTAATGTGTATTTTTCAATTGTATGCGGCGGCAGGGCTTATCTTCTCCTGACTTTTGCTGCTCGCTCTTCCTCTTATTCGCCGCCGCCGGTTAGCGTTACTTTGTTTTGCTCCGCTCTTCGTCAGCTGCCTATCTCGCTCGCACTGCCACCACTCACACTGCCGCAGCTGCAACTGCTTTTTTCGCACATGCAATCGCGATTTGAACTTAAATTTGGACCTTGCGGCACGCGGAATTCGGTTAATGGGTCTGATAAATAAGAGCTGACATCGAGCTAACCGCGAGATATTGCAGTCTTTGCGGTTTAATTGTTGAATTGGCACAGTTTCGCTTAAAGGTTTTTCAACCCCACGTTTTGGTCATATTTCGGGCGGTGTGACCAGTCGATGTTTGAGTCGAAAATACCTCATTGCAAATCCCCAATAAAGCGAATTTAAATTTATTTTTTATCGAGCAAAGTGGTTTTATTTAAAAGTACTTTTTAAAGTCCCCCTATTCAAAATCCTAACCTTGTACAAGTCTTTTAATTTCATCGTCAGAAATGTTTAATCAGAAATGTGAAATCTACTTCTTGTCCTTGGCCTGCAGCTTGTTGTGGATCATGTCCTTGAACTGCGACAGGATCTTGTTTTCGCGCTTCTGGCGCTCCTCCTTGCTGAACATGGCCAGCGCCCGCTTTTCGTCGGCGGAGTACAGCTGGTTCTCCTTGCGAATACGCACCGCCTCCATGCGCCGATGCCGGCTGCCGCTCATCACATAGCCCACGGACTCAAAGTTGGCTATCTCGTCGGACGTCAGACCGATCTCTCCACGCCGGGGAATCCGCTTGCCCTCAGCGATGTAGGCAGCCATGGCAGCTCCTTCGCCGGGCAGCAGGGCCTTGCCAAAGTCCTTTTGATTGAGGCTGCCTCCGGTGCGTAGGGAGGGACCCACATCCTCGTCGTTGTGGTTGGAGCTGTCTTTGGTCTTCGACCTGCCGGAGGAGGAGGAGGAGCCCTTCTTCTTGGACTTGGCCAGCTCGGACTTTCTCTTCTTCTTCTTCTTCTTCTTGGATTTCTTTTCCTTTTTGCCTGCTGTGGACTTTTTCTTTTTGGGTTTCTTAATGCCCTCGGCGGTTTTCTCCAGCCAAACATCTTCCTCAGATTCATCCTTGCTCGCGGAACTGGAGCTGCTGGTGTCATCACTGGAGTCATCGCTGCTGTCCTCGCTGCTGGATTCACTGGAAGACGACTCCTCCGAGGAGCTGGACTTTCTGCTCTTCTTCTTCTTCGATTTTTGGGATTTCTTCTTTGATTTCTTTTCGGATTTGACTTTCTTCTTGCCCTTCTTCTTCTTTTTCTTGGGTCCCACGTAGGAGCCCTTGACCAGCTCCACATCGTCGTTTTCTGGTCGCGTTGGACTCTTTCCCCAAACGTCGGGCACGCCCTCCTCGCCGATGCGCACCCGCTGGTTCCTGCGGGCATTTACATTGGCATTGGAGGGATGGCCACCGGCGGCACCGCGACCTCTCTGATGGCTTCTAGTGGACGGTTCGGCAGGATCGTTGATGAAACTGCCCTCTGGAGCTCGGCCGCGGAAGGGATTTTGTCGCCGGTCGTTGTTCTCGTGGAACCGATCGTTGGGCCAGCGTTCCACTGACTTCTTTTGGGATTTTTTATGGCCAGAGGAGCTTCTCGAGGAACTGGGACTGCCACTGCTGCTTCCCGAGCTGCTAGAGGACAAGGAGCGGGTGCGACGACGACGAGGCGCTGCTGCGTCCTTCTCCCTGGAACGTCGGGAATTCCGATTAGAAGTCCTTTCCTTGTGAAGCTCCCGCTCTCTGTGTTTTTCCCGCTCCTTAGAAACTGAATTCCGGCTCTTCTGGGAGCGGTAACGCCCTCTGGAGTCGGATCTGCTGCGTCTGCGGCGGTCCCTTTCCCGGCTGCGACTCCTGCTGCGTGAACGCATGGCGAAAATCTGAATTTTCAATTAATTTCACCGGAAAATGCAAAATATTTGTTTTGTCTAGAGGTGGTCGATAGCCAGGTAATCGATAACCGATAATCGCTATCGGTAGGCATCAGCTGGTGGTGTGCGGTCACTCTAGAACTAAGAAAAACCAATTGCAAATTTTGTTTTGCCAAAAAATACATAATTTAATGCCAAAAATGTTGTAAATTAGTAAATAAAGTAAAGTAAATAGCAAATAGCCATGGCGCGCATCACGTGGAGAGGTCACTCCAGCCAGGAGCTGCTGTAAGTGGACTTTAGCTACACATTTCCAAAGGATGCAATGTTTTTATTTATTATTTTTGCCTTGTGTGCCGGGCGACAGCTCGCTTTGTCGCCTGCGGTGGTCCTACATGAAGCACTGCTGGCACTCGCTGACCTTCAACGCCCACATGAACTCTTCCTACGCCTCGGACGTCTGCCTGACGCCCATTTTCTGGTTCGTGGACAACTACACTCACTGCCTGGGACCGGTAAGATTTGGCAACAAACTTTAAACTCATTTCACACGGCTTTATCCCTTCAGTTTTTTGTGGTGGGGGTGGCTGCCCTGACCACTTCCGTGGTCAGCATTGCCTACTGGATTGGCCTGCCCTTTTGGTGGGCCAAGAGCCAGCTGGTCACCTACTTCCTGCTCGTAGTGGGCAATTGGCTGCTCCTGAATGTGATATTCCACTACGTGATGGCTGTGATTACGCCGGCTGGCAATCCGCCGGAGGGCGTGTCTCTCGTGGAGGCCGTCAGCATGTGCGGCAAGTGCATAGCCCCGAAGCCGCCCAGGACGCACCACTGTTCGGTGTGCAACCGCTGCATACTCAAGATGGATCATCACTGCCGTGAGTATCACTGGGGTTTTCTATAGTTTCCCGAGCTATCTTTAATCTGTGCCTTGGCAGCTTGGCTGAACAACTGCGTGGGCTATGCTAATCATCGGTACTTCTTCCTGTACATGATGTACACCACGCTGGGATGCCTGTTCCTCATACTTGCCGGCCTGGAAATTGGCCACAAGTACCTGTGGCTGGATCATGGCGAGAGCTGGACGGAAGTGGAGCCTCTGGAGGGGCAGCCGGTGAAATTCAATCTGAGTGGCCATATTATTCCCGTGGTAGGTCACCTACAATCTCGATGTCCTGCTTTAAAGAAAGAGTTTATTTAAGGATTTCCTTTCTTTCAGACCCATCCCAATGAGTACGATGACTTCATGCTGCCTCCAGCTGTGCACAACCTGCCCACACCCTTGGTGGACACGGATGCCCCTTCGCCTGGCAGACGTCGAGCCCTGTGGTTCATGGCCTTCACGCTTGTGTCGGTGGTCTTGGCCCTAGGCAGCCTCTCCATCTGGCATGCCAAGCTCATCACACGCGGCGAGACTAGCGTGGAGTCGCACATCAACGAGGCCGAGCGCAAGAGGCTCCTTCAGCAGCAACGAATCTACATTAATCCGTACAATTTTGGCACCAAAAAGAACTGGAAACTGTTTCTGGGCCTGGTAAGAGGCAGGTGAGTGGGTTTCCTATTGAAAAAGTTGCCTGAATTCATTGGCTTCCCAAGTAGATCCTTTTGGCGTACTGTCTTGCTGCCCTCCTGGCACAGGCCAGAGGGAACTGGCCTTAGTTTCCACACGGTGCACGATGCCCCCTTCGAGGACGAGTGGCCATAGACGAGGCTCTTGTGATGTCATAATAGAAGAATTCCTTAGTTTTATGCTCAAAGTTTAAGTCTAGTTGTAATTATTCTTCCGCTCCAAAGTTCCCTTCAAATAGTCATACCAGGACGATTATTTCCATAGCAACTAAGAGGCACAATGACGCTTTTTAAGCTTTTTCTAAGTAAATAAATAAAAGACTCAACTGCAGTATACGAAACTCACCTGTTGTGGTTGCCCTTGACAGCCTGTGGCTTGGGGGGTTTTGTCAATAAGCAGGTTTTGTGTAAAAGTTACCGTGCAACTTGAACTTGAAAGGATGTCAAAGGCTTCGGGCTCCGAGGATGAGCCGCTGGTGCCCGATGATTTCGATGATGATTTCTACAAGGAACTGTGCGAAAAGATACCGGAGGCCACAAAGGCCCTGCGGCAAAAGGACACTCCCAATAATGCCGACAATGTCCAGCGCTTGCTTATTTGTGGCACTCGGTACAAGAGCGACCTGCGCCTGGAGAAGGAGCGCAGCCAGGAGCTGCGTAGGGAGATTGAGGGACTCGAGGCTCGCCTGGAGACGGCGGCGCGGGTGAGCAAAATGGACATGGCCACCATTGAGGAGCTAAGAGGGGTCATAGGTAGGCTTTACATCTATTTTATATTTATTAAAATAAATAACTAATAATATCCACGATTAGAGGGCGCTTGGAAGCAGAAAGATGCTGCCCAGATCCGGGAGCAATCTGCCCAGGATGAGGTCTTGAATTTGCGTGAGAAACTCGACGAATCGGAGCAGATGGTGGCCCATCTCAACGAGAAGCGTCTGGCGATGAGCAAGCGGGACGATGGCAAGGAGCGTGAACGCCTCACCGCCGAGATAAACGATCTCAACAAGCGCCTCAACCTGCAGCGAACCTATGCCGCCGAGCTGGACAGCACCATTGAGGGACTGGAGGCCAAGAACAAAGAGCTTCTCAAGCTATTGGATGTAAGCTAGACTTGTAATTATATTCCTTATATTCTGAAGCTAAGGAGGTGGAGCTGCCCCCCAGGAAACCTCCAGCGATGCCATCAACCTGAAACGCAAAGTCGACGCCCTGACCAAGGAGCTGTCCACGATGAAGACCGAAGAGTCGCGCTACCAGGAGCAAATATCCCAAATGAAGTCGGCCAACGAGATCCTGACCAAGGTGAAGGTGCGTCAGAACCTGCAGATTCTGTCCCTTAAGACGAATCTCGAGCACCTGAACACCCAGCACAATGCCACCAACAACAAGCTGGCCAAGATCACCGTCGATCTGGAGTACACGGTGCAGGAGAGGGACAAGAACAAGCGAGCCCTCAACCAACGCATCAACCTGCTTAAAGTGCGCGAGGATGAGCTGATCAAGGTGCGACAGGACAATAGCAAGCTGGCCAAGTCCCAGGAGACCATAGCGCGCAAGTATGCGGGCTTGGACGAGGCCAAGAGGGAGGTGGAGCAGGAGAACATAAGACTCAAGTGAGCTAAAATTCACTTGAAGCTACAGGTGGTAAAAATACTAAACTTTCCAGGACCCAACTGGGCACCCAGGACAAGGAGCTGGAGTCCATGCGACGCGTGGTCCACCACTTTGAGAAGAACAACGAAAATCTCACCAAGGAGCGGGACTCCCTCAGGCGGGAAGTCCAAGCGGAGCACCAGCAGTTGGAACAGACCACCGCCCTGCATCAGGAGGCGCAGCACGAGGTGCGAGCCCTCAAGGACACCATTAGCACCATGGACATTAAGTTGAAAAAGCTCAACGAGGATGCCTGCAAGCTGAAGAAGGAGAAGACCAAGAAGCTGGATGAGATCCAGCACTGGATAGACAAGCTGGATGCCATGCAAAGTTCGTATATCCTTGTGACCACTCTTTTTTCATTTTCCACATTTGCTTCTTTTCCAGACGAAATCCACCTGAAGGAGAACTACGAGATCGAACTGAAGCGCACCATCAGCGATTTGGAGGCCAAGTGCTCCAAGTTTCAGCAGCAGCACGAAGTCCTTGTCGGCGAGCGGCAGACTCTCCAGCGCAGTGTCCAGGTGGCCGACGAGGATCGCCAGAAGTTGCGCGACCAGCTGGTGAACCTCCAGGCTCTCATCGAGAAGCTCAAGGCGAAGATCGGCTACCGCGACGCGGAGCTGTCCAAGGTCCAGCTGCAGATCGATCGCATGGAGAAAGAGCGCCGCTTGCTGCGCAACGACATCCGGCACGCCCAGCTGGGCCAGCAGCATACCAAGGCCGAGCTGCTGGACAAGCGGAAGGAGAACGACCGGCATGCCAAGTCGCTGCAGGAGGACGAGCTGAAGCTGGCCCGGCTGCGCAAGGATGCGGACAATCTGATCAACGAGAAGAATGCCATCAGTGCGGTGCTGACCAAGCGGAACGAGGAGTACGAGCGGCTGAAGCACAGCCAGGAGAACCTGCAGACGGTGTACGATCAGACCCAAAGGAAGTACACCCAGTGCCAGGATGACATGCGCCTCATGGGCGTTGAGATTAAGAATTTGCGCACAGAGAGGGATGTTTTGCGGGCGGACAGGGAGAGTGCGGCGGATCTGCGCCAGGAACTGTTGCAGATGCATCGCATGCTCAACCAGGAGCGAATCAAGGCTCGGGCCCTGCAGGATGAGATGGTCACCCCCATGAACGTACACCGCTGGCGTTTGCTGAGCGGCAAGGACCCCGAGAAGATGGATCTCCTCAGCCGGATCAGTATTCTGCGCAGGCAACTGCTGCAGCAGAACGTGGCCGCTTTGGAGCAGGAGCGGGCCCTCAACGAGGCCCAGCAGCTGTACGCGGCTCTCAAGGAGTTTATGCTGAAGCTGCCCAGTCACAAGGTGCGGGCGGAGCTCAACAGCGTTAAGGTGGGTTTAGTCTCGTCCTTCTTTTCTTTAAATATTGTTTTTAATCTCCTCCCGCAGGCCAACCTATCCGCCAAGGATCGCAAGCTCAAGGTCCTGAAGGCGGAGCTCAGTGCCAGGGAGGCGGAGGAGAAGTCCAAAAAGGAGAAGCTGGAGGAGATGCGTGTCAGTCTGGCCATAACCAAGACCCAGTTGCTGGAGGAGAAGAAGCACAAGCAGAAACTCCTGGAAGAGCGGCACTTGCTGGAGCAGATGCACTGCTTCTCGGCCCCTGCCCAGCTACCCAGGACCCTGGGCGCCGGCTTTAAGATGGTCAGTAATTTGCTGTAAGAGAAGTGGTATTACGTATTCCTACTCCCATTATAAGAGATTCTTCGGGTAATAAAAGGTATATTTTAATGCCTTCGTAGTAAAAAATGATACCTCAAAGATGGTGGCTCCAAGTTCATATTTTTTAACACTTCTTCAGCTGACTTTCACACAAGTTCTTTACCAAGCTGGATGAGGATTTAAAGGGCTTGTCCATACACCAATCGTCGCCCGGCTGGGCTTTGTGTTCTGGCGGGGAATGACTCACCCGATGCTGCTGACGCAGCTGCTCCTGGAAGCCCACGATCAGGTGATCTCGCGTCTTCAGGTCGATCTCGTTGATCCGGAGCTCAGCGGTCAGAGCCTTGAGGCGGCGCTTCTGCCGACGATTGATGGTTTCCTGCAGGAAGAGCTTGTCATGGATCTGGGGAAAGTCCCTCCGATCCATGTGGCGCTTGTAGTCCTCGTGCAGGCTCTGGGCCTCCGCCAGCTCTTTGGCCAGGTTCTCGCGCTGCACGGACAGGCGTAGGTTGAGCTTGAGCAGGGACTGCACCTTGCGTATGAGCTCGAAGCGATGCGGGTCCTTGCCCATGAGCACACGCCAGCGATGGATGCGACAGGGGCGGGACAGCTCCTCCGAAAAGGCTGACACCCTCAGCCTCTCCTGGTTGAGCTGCCGCTCCAGCCGGATCACTTCCTGGCGTAACTCGGACCTATGGCCCACCTCCTTCTGCATGCACTCGTGCGACATCCTCAGGTTGGTCACCTCTAGCTTCAGCAAGCGGATGTCCTCGAGCCGCTGGTTGTACTGCGTGGTGCCCCGATCGATGGCATTCTGCATGATGTTCAGTTTGTCCTGCAAAAGCCGTAGCTTGTCGTTCCGCCTGACCATCTGGAAGCCCACCAGACTCTTCTCTTTAGTCACCTCGTCGAGGGCACAGGACAGGCCCTTGAACCGCTTCTCATCGTTGTCGATGGTGTGCTGGGTCTGCTCCACCCGGATCTTCATCTCCCGGAGATCGCCGCGTGTGCTGGACAGCTGCAGCTGGGTGGCATGGATCTCGTTCTGCTTCTGGCGTACCGCCCGGCCCAGCTGTTCGTTCTGGTTCTTCAGCGAGTTAATCTCCTTCTCGTTGGCCGCTAGCGCGGTGATCTGCTGGTTGATCTGGTGCGTCAGCTTGGCCATCGTGCTTTGCATGGTGGTGCGATCGCGGGAGCACATGTCCAGCGACTTGATCAGCATCACCTTGTCGGAGTGCAGGATCTCCAACTGCTTCTTAGTGTTGAAGAAGTCTTGCTGCTTCTGCTGCAACTTCAACTGGGTGACTTCCAGGCGCTCCGCCTTGTTGGCCAGCCCTTCCTCCAGCCCGCCGATCTTCTTTTCGGCATCGTTTAGCTCCACGAACAGATCCTGCTTCTCGTGGGCTATTTTCTGTACCTGCTGATTCTTGGCGTCCATCAACTTTCGGACCTGCGCCAGTTCCATCTGCAGGGATTCCTTCTGGTTGCGCACAACGTGGATCTCGTGCCGGGCGAGAGCCAGTGTGTCATTGAGCCGAGTGATCTCCAGCCTCAGCTTGTCCCGTGTGCGGGTCATGTCGTCCTTTTGGCTGGTCACTTCCTCTAAGCTGGCGCAGAGCACCGAGATCTTCTTTTCCAGCAACTTGATTTCGTTACTGCAAGGGGAGAAAATTAGAAATTAATAAAATAAAAATTATATAAATAACAAGAAAGAAAGCTAACTTTGGCCAGCCAAAGTGTGTATACCCTTGCAGGTAACAATTAAAATATATCATAACTAAGCTAAAAATGCATTAATTTCGATTCGGAAAGCAGTTTTGTGTTAGTTTTTACTAATTTAAAAAAACTGCATACCAAATTTAAAATTTTAAGAAATCAAAATTTTTGGCCATTTTTGCTAATTTTAATGATGTAACCCCTTATCAAATTTCGCAATAATGGCAAAAAAATCGATTTCTTCCGGACATGTCTAGAAAGATTCCCCTGTTGATGCTGATCAATAATATATATGGTTTATGGGGTCGAAAATGATTCCTTGGCTTAGAAAAATATTATTTTGTATTATAAAATCGGATTTTTTATATTTAAAAACTTCTTGATTTTTTAAAATTAAAAATATCATAACTCGGTCAAAAGAGCATTAATTTTAAATCGGAAAACTGTTCTGTGCAAGATTTTCTACAGTTAATAAATCTGCATACTTCATTTAAAAATTTTGAAAATTCAATTTTTTATCAAAATCAAAAATTTTAATGATGTAACCCCTTATAAAATTTTGCAAAAATGGCAAAAAAATCGATTTCTTCCTGACATATCTAGAAAGATTCCCCTGTCGATGCTGATCAAGAATATATATACTTTATAGGGTCGGAAACGTCTCCTTCACTGCGTTGCAAACTTCTGACTGAAATTATAATACCCTGCAAGGGTATAATAATTAATTAATTATACCCTTGCAGGGTATTATAATTAATTAATAAATTATAATTTTAAAGATTTTTTTTGTTATCCTTGGTTGCTTATATGGGTACGTACTGATTGGTCAGCTCCTGGTCATTCAGATCCACGTTCCTTTTGGCCAGCTGACGGAACCGCCTCTCCAAGATCATCGACTCGTCCGCCTTCCTCTTGGCATTCTGTTCGGCTGCAGAGCGGGCCAACTCCAGTTCTCCGTTATTCCGCCTGTGGACATTGATCTTTTCCTCGGCCATCCTTAGGCTCGCCTGCAGCTGATTCTTCTTTTCCTCCTGCTTGCGGCGAATGTTCGAGAGATTGTGGTTATTTTGCGTAAGACGCTCGTAACTCTGCTTCAGAGCCTCGTGGGCGGCGGTCATCGCAGCCAAGTCCTTCTGCACGTGCTGCAAGGCGAGGTTCTGCTGCTGCAAGGCTGATATCTCCGTGCCCAGCTGGTGCTCTCGCTCCTGGGTTCTCTCCTGGGCCAGGTAATTCTGGCGCTCCAGCTTAAAGTTGACAGTTTCGCTCTTCTTCAGCCGGTCGCTTAGTTTAGATATGTTCTCCTGAGCCATCAGCAGCATATCCTCCAGGTGCTCGGAGTAAATGCGGTGCGTGGCCAGGCGCTTCTGGTAATCCTTTAACTCCCCGGCCAGGCGATCGCGCTCGCGAAAGACCATTCCCCGGATACCACCTTCCTGGCTGTAAATAATGATTAATAATTAAATTATTCCAAGAATCTAAGGTCTTTTAGTGTTCACCCTTGACCCGGCTCTCTGGCTATCTTCGGACTCTCTGACTGATCCGCGCGCACCAGGTTCTGCAGCTGGATTTGAATGTTCTCCTCGCGACTCTTGATGGCATCCTCGTTACGCCAGGCCTCCTCCAGGGACTCGCGCATCTTGTTCATCATCGCCTCCGAGATGGAGGTGGTGCGCAAGGCCAGCTCCAGCTTCTCGTCCGCTGAGCGCGCCTTCAGCCGGAGCGTGTTGACCTCGTCCACCTCCGTTTCATAGCGGGCGTGGAGTCTAACGAGGATGTCCACGTAGCGCTTGATTTTGCCAGCCACAAAGGAGTCACGTCTGCTGAGTTTCTGCACCAAGAGGTAGGAGTTCTGGAAGAACTCTTCGTCGAGATCCTTCAACAGATCGAGCTGAGCCGGCTCCACGGTATCCCTGAAGAGTTCAGCCAAGTTCGTATTGGAACTGACGGATGTCTTGGACGCCTTTCTCGGGCTCACCTTGCTCTTGATTGGCCTTCTTTTGAACAGTTTCATCTTAAGGGTACCGATTAGCGAAGGAACAGGTGAAAAAACAAGGATTCACGAATTAAAACAAAAGAACAAAACGAAATTAAACTTGAAATAAAAGAAAAAATCGAACTGTATTAGTGTGAAGTAAAAGTGTAATGCATTATGATCGGTTTTGAGCCCCTGAAATCAAAGGGGTTCTAAATTAGAAACCTTAAAATTGGTCTTTTAATTTAACTAATAATAGCTTAGCCAATTTTAGGTAATTTTGCCATCAAAATAAAATTAAATATAATCTATTTAATTTATTTTATCTACTTTCCTATAAAACCTAAAAATAAGTTTAAATAAAATCGATTTAATTGGTTTTTTGTTGTTTTATTTAAGCATAAAATTGCATATATTTCTTAAACTCAATTTACATACGTTTCTCATAGTTTTCGTTACATTTCTTTATACAAGTTTGAATCTGAAAATATATTATATATGTTCGTTTACGTTTAGATTGGTATAGTGTTTTAATTATTGTTGAAATTCAATTTAAGGATTTCATCTTGCCAAAAAACATACGTCTAGGATTTACTTAGCTACTTCCAGCTAGGGGGGTCGGATATTGAAACGCTTTAACATAGGGGAATTAATACATATTAAATTACGATAAATCACAAAGAATGTTTTCGCAAAAATTTCTGCTACAGTTAACGCCTACCATATAGTAATCAGCTCGATTGATATAATACCCCAAAAATATACATTTATCTATATAGTAAGGCCTTGGCTAGTGACAAAAGGAATTCTGCAAAGTTAAAGCTAAGGTGTGCTCTTCCCGAAAGCCCAAAATAAATCGAAAAACGACAAACAAAACGTATTTAGTTTAAAATGCAAGGAGCCATCCCTATCCCTATCCTTTGATATGAACCAAATGTCGCTATATATAGTACAGGATCGAAGCTTTATTGTACAGACACACTCGTTTGATAGACGCTCAGTTGTTGGTCATTTGTAAATAAAAAATATAGTTATGGTTATATATAGGATATATATACGATCTATATACGCTCTCGCTGCGGATTGGGTTTACGTATAAAATAAAGAAAACAATGTTTGCGATTCACAGTTTGCTTTTCCTCCTTTTTGGTCATCAGCTGCGCCTGCTAGCGCCAGGGGCCTATCCTAAGAGGCGGTGGCGGTGGGACTCTGCAACTGTACGCCCTGGACTCCCTGCAGGCCCGAGCGCACCTCTCGCACATAGCATTCCCGGCAGACGCGCACCGCCTTGGTCAGGCCGTATTTGGGCAGCGGGGCCGAGGAGTTGGAGCAGACGCCGCAAAAGACCCCGCCGCAGTTGCGGCAATGGTGGCGACGCCGGAAGGCAGTGAAGGGCGTCTGGCAGGCCATGCAGCGCGGCGCCTTGCCATCGGGTATCCAGGCGGGCGGGGCCAGTGTGGTCGAGGCGGAGGCTGGCATCTGGGTTTCGTTGTTGCTCTGCAGGCGACGCCGACTCCCGCTCCTGACGCTCACCGGGGAATTCTGCTCCGAGCTGGAGCTGGTGGAGGATGCGCTGGATGGCGTGTTGCTGCCCACGGAATTGTTTCGCTGCCGCTGCAGCTGAATTTGCAATTGCTGCTGCTGGTGGTGCTGCTGCTCCGGCTGTTGCTGCTGCAGCTGTGTGCTGCTGTGGGCCGACTCCTGGTCCCCGAGACTCCGGCTCCGCGTCACATGCGAGCGATTGGCGGCCCCAGCATTTCCCTCGCCGTTCTGTGCCGTTGATGCCAGATCGATTGTATGGTTCCGCTGCATACTGGCGCCGGCGGAATGGCGCTGGGCATTGGCCGGGTTACCGTTCCTGGCACCTCCTTCACCGCCTCCGCCGGCGCTGAACACATTGTCCAGCTCGGGATTCACCTCCTCCGCTGAGTAAATGCTTTGGTTGGAGCCGGCGCTCTCCTGTATCACATCGTTCTCGGAGGCCCGGAACTCGAACAGCTCCGACTCCTTGGTCTTTTCCGGTATGTCGATCTCCTCCTGGGCGGACGACATGTTCATGAGGAACACACTGCGCAGGATATGGCGCAGATCGGAGGCAAAGTTCGTCTGCAGTTGGTCGGCAACGCCGGCAATGCAGACGAACAGGCGATGCAGCAGGTTCTCGGTGCTCCTGTGGGAAAAAGAGTTTACATTTTCGGATTACACAGGAGCTGGTTGCCACTCACTTGAACTTGAGGCGTGCCGTGGTGTTGCGCATGGCCAGGGAGACATCGTCGGACAGCGAGGAGGCGGCACTAGTGTCACCGCTGGCCAGGATCTGTTCCCTCTCGGGCTGACCCATCGTCTCTACAGGCTCCGATGATTCCAGGCTGCAGCGCTTGCGAGCACTGCGCGTTGTGCGATGCGGATGCGGCTGCTCGTGGTGATGTGTGTGGTGCTGGTGATGATGATGATGGTGGTGACTATGCCGATGATGGTGATGACGGTGACTATGCTTATGGCGACTGCTGGGCACGGGCGGCGGCTGCTCGGACGATTTGATTGTCGTTGTGTGCTCGGCCAGCGGTTCGCTGTCGCTGCTGGGCAGACGCAGCCGCTGCAGGGTGTGGCTGGCTGCCAGCATGGCAGCACTGGTGCTGGGCTCCTCCTCCTGCCGCTGCGGCTCCCCGGTTCCGTACTCATCATCTTCGCTGGCCACGAAGTTGTCTGTGAGAGGAACTTCCTGGGGCTGCAGCAGGTTACCCAGATTGGTGTTGGGTATGAGGTAGCCGGAGGCACAGTCTGCAGCAACAATATCCTTGAGCAGCTGCTCTTCATCCGTGTCCTCGTCGCTGCTGGAATTCAAGTCCTCCTCCTCATCCACCTCGATGTCTGCTTCCTCATCGTCTTCATCCTCGTCATCGCCATCACTCCAGTCTGCCGGTGGGTTTGTGGAGCTTGTGGCCGCCGACGAGGTGGAGGCTATCGAGTGCGAGGGCGTCGGCGAGGGTGCGGGCGAGGCGGTGGGCGTGCTGGTGGCCGACAGCGACAACATGGACGGAGAGCGCAGTGCGGACTCCTCCTCCACGGCTGGAGCAGCACTGTTGCTATTGATGTTGTTGTTGTTTCGCTGATCCACCAATCGCTCCACAGTCCTGTGCGTCGCCGTGCTGCTGCTGTGGCTGTTGTTATTGTTACTGCTGCTGCTGCTGCTTGTGGTGGGATTTGCACTGTGCTCCGGACTAGGTGCTTCGATGCTACTCGAGCCCAGGGGAACCTGCAAGACATATCTTTAAAATTTGCCAAAAAAAAAAAAAGGTCCCTCCTTGCACTCACCTTGGTGCTGTTGATATCCTCGTTGGTGCACAGCAGCTTCTCCAGCTGGTACAGCTCCTGGTGGTTGAGGTTGCGCAGGAGATCACGGATCTTGATCAGAATGGTGCGGAAGGGACGGAACATCTCGGACAGCTGATCGCCCGGCATGTCCATGTTGAGCGGCCCCTTGGCATAGACCACCAACCCGGCGACAATGGCCAGACGCGGAATGGAGAACATCAGGCCCGGATCGAAGGCATCCACCATGTCTTGATCGAGAAGACCGGTCTTCAAAGCACGCTGCAGCGTCTCCGAGAACAGTACACCGATCCACTGCTGCATCTCGTACTCGTGCCGGGATTTCACCTGCACCATGGCGCTCACATAGCTCAGCTCAAACTCGGCGAACAGTCGATCGAAGATCTTCAGGCTCTCGTACAGCTGCTCCGTGGTGGAGTCATTCAGGTCCAGGTGCAGGGTCTTGCTGTTGGGCACATTGTTGCGCAAACACTGATCCCTCAGCAGGACCCGTACATTGCCCAGACTCTTGGTCACCGCCTGGGCCAGGGGCCGCATCTCCTTGCTCTCCGTCTCTCGGTTCATGATCGAGGAGCCGGCAGCCAGGCACTCGGCGCCGAACCACAGCTGCCCCGCCAGATTCTCCTGCAGCACTTCCTCGGGAAATTTAGCCCGGAAAGCCCTGGGGTCGCGATCATCGCCTAGCAGCTCCTCCATGATCAAGTTCGTGATGGCCAGGACTTTGTCCTTTAAGAGAAATGGAAATTATGATCCACTGATTGGTGTATCAGACTTTCCCCGAGACTCACCTGATTCTGTCGCAGCCTGCTGACCAGTCTGGTGCACCGATCCGGCTCTGCCCGTCCATCGAAGCTGTCCAGTTCGCTGGCCACCGCTGTGAGGGATCGATCCGCATGGAAGAAGCGGGCCAGCAGCGATTTGTCATCAGCCTGCAAGGAATAAAGAGATGCAATTCGGGTGAGTAAATGGTCGTAGATAACGGGTGCTCTCTTCTCTCCTGCTGCTCATGGCAGGCTTATCGCTTGGCAAGTCCAACAAATTGTAATGGCTGAACTTGAGGAGGGATCGTGTGACAAGTGCAGTTCCGTAGGTGGGTTTGGGTTTGGGGTTTGGCCAGCGGGTGGCGGAGGTGGGGCGATGGCGATAACGATGACTCAATGAGCCACTAAACACGTAGACGCTATCGTTCAGGCATACAGACGACCGGCTTAATTAACACCGCTAATTTTCGTTGATTTCACAACAAATCCACAAATCACGTATGTAAATATACAATGGTGGTCAGAGCTATAAATCAAGGGTACCTTTGTAGTTGTAAGCAAAGGGAATAATTGATATGATATGTAACCCTTATCAAATTTATATATAAAAAAAAAGGGCAAATTTTCTGCCAAACATGTCTACATTGATACTGGCAAAGAATATATATGATTTATAGGGTCGGAAGTAATTCCTTCCCTGAGTTAGTAGCTTCTGACTTATATTATAATACCCTGAAAGGGTCAAGCCTCAACATAAATCATAAAATGTAATCACAAATAAATTCATGGAAACTTATTTATATTATTAACCGCAACTGTGATAGCACCGGAATAATCAATACCGAAATATCAGCTGTAAGCTGATACTACGAATAACAAATGTTTGTATGCCTCATAAAAGAAAGAGAGCCCGATGAGGAGAAGGAGGAGAAGGCCAACCCATCAAGATGATGCAATCCCAGAAGAGCTGCTTTTTCCCCCACTTATCCAACATGCAACAAGTGGCTGCTATGTGTCTGAAATTTCAATGATCCATTAAATCACGTGGCTCACTTAAGCAGGGCTGCCAACCTCAACAAATCGCACGAGATTTACTTCAACCAGGGGGAAAATATACAAATACAAAATATAAACTTAAACCTAACGAGAGGCGTCGGAGAGCTGGACGATAAAGCGAGTTATCGGCAGTTGAACTTGTTTTCTCGGGGCATTTCTGTGTGTGTGCGTTATGTGCTCCGTTTAAATATTAAAAGCGTAAAAGGAAACAAATGTATGAAGCGAACGAAATGTGTTTATTATAAAGGTAAACACGTCAAGTCGAAGCGTTGACTCTCCGCGGTTGCCGTCTTGCTGCCTTCAAAACTGCGCAGTTCGGCAGGTTTATCACTGGATTTCGGTTTGGGTACGGGTACGCCGGAGAGCCGGAGAACACAGCTGCAAGTTGCGGACAGTTGGCGAAACTTTAACTCACACACAGCGGATACGTACATATATAGCTATGGTTAGACGACTCAAGGGAAATTTGTGTCCCAGCAAAGTTTAATAAAGTTTCCCCGCTAGATTTTCAAGCACACGGAAAAAACATGCATTAAGTTAATGCTGCAAATAATATGGCGCTTGGGGAGTTAATAGAGACGCACCCTGGCTTTAATTAAAGGTGATATTACCTAACAAAGGTTTGTTATTCTTAGAACTTAAAATTATATACCATTCAACTTTTTATTTGTAAAAAAAAAAAGTAATGGTATGGGATAATGAAATTATTAAATATTAAATTAAGAGAGTATAGTAACCAGAATAATATATAAATTATACTTTTTTAAACAACTTTTCTGAGTGCAGTTACGCCATGAAATCAAACCCAGCTATAATGATTCCATATGGGCGAATGCAAGTGAGTGGTTATGAATGAATCACCCCACGCCATTCGATGAATCGGTGCAACAGAAAATATCGTATTCTCTTTTTTCATTTCGTCATAGGCCCAAGGGTAAAGTTGTGTGTTTTCTGTTTTGTTTTTAGTATTTTTTGCCATTTGTTTACACAACAATTAAATGGGCAAAGCTCTAAAGATGTTTGAGGTTCATTTCAGAGTTGCGTGTGTGTGAGAGAGCCACATTATTGGAAACGCCTGGCCGCAAACGAAACGACAGCTACGAATAAGAAATCCAATTGAGAATTATAAATTATATAAATTGAGCAAGGCCATGCGTAAATAGTTCAATGACTGCCCAAGAAGTCCGCTCACCTCAACGCCCGCCCGCCCGCTTCACGGGAATCCCGCTCCCGGCCATTCTATTGGCCGTCATGACGACGTTGGCCAAAACGTTGTCGACGACGCCAGACCAGGCCAGGCCGGGCCGGGCACTTTTTTGTAAGTGCCAGTCGTTGTAGCCATTAATTAGCGTCGCAATTTAGAAACAGACTGGTTGGCAGGGGAGAGTCTCAGGGGTGATATGAGAGGTTTGGTTCTCTATATAACACGGATAAGGAAAGCACTGGGTTGATGCATTATTGAGCCTTTATAGAGCATGGTTTTCAATAAAAGTTTCCACAAATGAAGAACATTCTGTACATAAGGCACTCTCCCTAAGAATAATTACAATTTACAAAATGGCTAAAATTCCTAAACATGATTACGAAAATCCTCTGTAAAACAGCCCTTACTTAGCCTTCAAGTTAATAATAATTTAATACGAAAAGGCCATTTACATGCCTCATAAATACATAAAATATTTAGCCAAATCCCAAATGTAATTAAAGAGTTGAAAACCACGGCAACAGCAGCTGACAAAAAGGCAAAAGTTAAATGGTAATTAAAAATTTTAAGCTCGTTCTGAGCCCAAGCGGAACGAGAGGTAAATGGAAGCGGATAAAGGTCTCATTACCAGTATTACTCCAAGGATTTCCTTGGCAATTCTTACCGAGCCTTTAGGCGGTTGGTTAACTTTTAAATCAGAAGGTGCGAGAGGCAGAGGAAATTACGCTGCGTGTATTAATCATAACAAAAAAGTCGTGCTAAAATATTTAGTACCTTCACGAATCAAAAATAAACATTTGAAGAATTGCTTTCGGTGGAAATATGGCGAAAACAATATTTGCGAGGTTGCAAAAGTTCTTTGACATTATTTACCTCATAATACAGACCGCGCCTTCGAGTTAATGGTAATATCTGATGTTAATATCCGAGGCACATTTGTTTTTATCCACCAGCATGGTTGGAAAACGTTTTTGTCTCGAGTATTTCAATTGTTTTTACAACTGGTTTCTGTGTGCGTTCGTTCAATTAACTAATTAAGTATGAGTATGTGAGCAACTTTCTGTTTATGGTTGATAACAAACAAAATATAAAAAATAAAAAAAACGAACACATTTAGAGCCATATCTCATTTGGAGGTGAAACCAAATTTGCTGTTCATTTTTTGACGTGGGTGAGAACCACTTTCAATTCGAGTTGAAAAAGAAAATAATTTATGCCAAAGTGACTGAAAAATGCAAATCATAAAAGGAAGTATATTGAAGCTGACATGGGAAAGAATTACCCGTAAAAGCCTGCAAATGCGAGCAATGAGTTATTATAAGTTCAACTTTCTAATCTTTGATAAATCAGCCATAGTTTAGACAAGGCTTTGTATATTGTAAAGAATTTGAACATATTTCTTATTATACATTTTGTAATAATTATAATTTTCCAAAAGAGCACAGAGACTACTTCGATTGCAGTCATCTGGCCATTAAGGACATCTGTCCTGACGTCACAGCCATAACTTTGACCTCGCCACGCGCAACAGGCGTTCGCTGTCCCATTGCCAGGTCCACCCCCATTCGGCTCTGTATCCTTGACGGCAGGCAGGCAGCCGGGACAAGGACAAAGGCCAGACGACAGATAGCGTATCTACATGGACTTTTAGCTTTATGGCCCCCAAAAGGCCTTCGAGGCCCGCTCTGCTGACGCAAAGGATACGCAGAAAACATGCACTTGACACTGAAATATTCGCACGATTCTTTTGATGGCTGACTTTCGGCTTCTTCGCTTTAATTTCAATCAATTGAGCTGGGTCTAAAAAAACAACCACAGCAATGTGGCAAAATAAGGTCAGGACAGAGCAAATGTTGCGAACTCCTAACGAAGACAGCGTCTGTTCCAGCGGCACCTGCTGTCATCGGTTAATTGAGAAGATCTGGCTGGAATAAATATAATGAATACCTCCATAGCTGGCAACTACTACCGATCAATTGAATTCAATTTCTGCACAATTCCCGCGCAAACAAACTGCAAATTAAGCGTCTAATTTAATTGGGGAAAATTTGAAATATCAATTGCAAGTGCTAAATGTCGCAAGTTCTGGGTAATTTCACAGACAAACGATTCACAGTCAATATAGGAAAGAACAGTCACGTGACCGAGCATGCCATGTTATTAATTTTAAAATTAAGTTAAGGAACACTAATTACATGTATTCTAGAAATTTTAAATAATGGGACTTGTAAGTTACTAAATAGAGAGAACTTCACATTTAGACAGCTTTAATTATACAGATTTGCAAGATGCCCATAAAAATTCGGTATATATGCGCTAAAAATTAGCAGAAAATGCGTCGTATTTTATATACAAAGAAAGTAAAGTATGAAGCCTAGCCTATAGCCCACATAAAATATTTAAATACTTGTGTATATATATTGCCATTTATGGGTCTCAGAGGGAAAAGCCACACGAAGTATAACGACAAGAGTGATTTCTGAGAATCGGTTAATCAGTAATTTGTATGACTAATAAAAACCACTGTTGATGACGATATATAAGGCGAATTTCACTACTGCGAGGTCCCTGAAATCTCTACAAATAATATTACAACATTTTGGTAATCAAAAAGAGGCAGGGACTTTCTGCAGACAGGGGAATTACGGCCAAACAAAAACAGAAGAGAAAAAGACAGGGGCCGAGAAAAACTGAGTCACGGTCAAAGTGTATATAAATAAATGAGCTTCTTGATAAACAAATGAAAGCTAAAGCTGTGACCGTAAATACAAAGATTGAATATCAGAAGGAACCTATGACCAGCCTATATAAATATATAAATAATAAAGTGAAATACAAGTAGTACAAGGACAGGGATCAAAGTTTGCATATCAAATTCTGTAGGGTTATACTTCCGCTTAAGCTTTGA